TGTGAAAAACATCCAGCTCGGATTGCAGCTGAATAAAATTAAGCTCAAATATACATGGCCATGGTTTTTTTCATCGTCATCTTAACGGGTACACAAGGAGCGGCGGACAAGCACTACAAGCACTACAAGCATGACATAAAGGGAGTGAGTACGGAAAAAAATATAAGTACGAAAAAAAAAAGAAAACACCAGCAACGGAAAACGGATAACACCACCCCATTTAATTATGATTAAACAGATTTTTTTTGCTTAATTCGGTTGCACTGCTTACGCGTTCAACATAATATTATTTATGTCGTTTTCTGTGTAACAAAGACAGCACAGCGAAGGATGAAAAAAAATTATGAGCGTGGATTTGATTACAAAGGGACGCATTCTTTTTTCGTTCATTTTTCTCGTATTCATTTCACAATATCCCCGCACGATTCATCGCTCATAAGTTGACTACACCACTTTAAAAGTTCCATTTTTTATGTTGTTATGAGCTTGCTGTGTTTGCTATGTGTATATTTTCATTAGCTTTGAGCCCGGACAACGATTTTCGAGTCGAAATCAGCCAGCAATATTTCAATGTTTCGCTTTTTTGTCGCTCTCTCTCTCTCTTGATGCTCATCAAGCACTCTACTAACTACAAACAGTGTCGTTTATTGTATCTGAAAGAGAAAATATCAAACGCTTTGTGACACACACAAAAAGTCTTATGATACTCACATACACGTACATACCGATTCTCAATGTGTGAGTGTCGTAGCTATACAACAGCACCGCCACTTTCACATCGGCATACGAATAATGCTCGTGAATTTTTTTCCGGAGCGACCGAAAGATTGAAAATAAAAACGAACGAAAATTTGACCATTTATATTGAAAAACGTGCAGTCACTCTAGCGTTAAATTAAATGATATTGTCAATTTAAATAATATGGTTTCTATAGCTATATTACAGTTGTGATTTTGCCATTTATTATTATGCACATTATATTATCAGTCGCCCGGTGAGTGGAGCGCATCCTACATCCCGAATACCAAACGAAACGTTCGTTCGCTCGCTCATGATGCTCTGTAGTCGACATCGTTTTGAGCGCTTGAAACTTGCTTTTACGAATACGTTAATGCGAATGCTCACACTCTATAACACATAATGCGCGTCCAAAATTTATGTGTCACCAAACTTAAATTGTATTTTCACAGTGCTTTTCCACCTGATTTTCGCGCAAGAGAAACAGCAAAGACGAGAAAGAACGAGAAAATTTTTGCGGAAAAAGTGAGATGAGATCGAGATGGAGAGTGAGATTGGTTCATGCACGGAACATATCACGTCACCGATCCGAAATAAATTGAGAAATGTGCAAGCCCGACCGAGACAACCAACCGAGAGCACGAATAAAAAGAGTGTCACATTATTATGTCGATCGATTTCACAATCGTTCTATTGCAAATACACACGATTTGGGGTCTGGTTCTCTCATCTGCTATCCAAAGCTTGCTGTGTATCCTAACTAAATAACAATGTATTCGCAAACGATTCAAAACCCAAACCGAACAGGAAATAGTGTGAGAGAAAACCTTTCCACAATTTTAAATGAAAATTTATCCGGAATATAATCCGTTTGACTGAATTTGCTTTAAGGGTGCACTTTTATACCCGAACCTAAATGGATAAGGTTTCGGACATCTTTTTTTGCATGTTGGAAAAAGCTTTTGGCAGCATGAATGAAATGATATTGTATTCACGATTTCATTCATTGCACAATATTCATTTCGAATGGGAAATGTAAACCATTCAACTCATTGCTTATGCATATTCATTTTTCCCGGTAACAAAATCGAATGTTTAATTCTTTTTGTCTCATTGCTGACATCAATCAATGCGTATTATGATGGACCATATAATCCGGAAAACTACTATGAAACAAATATTCACCTGAACTTCCTGATCCTTCAACCATCTGAATAATAAATCAAAAAAGTAGAAAGTGTGGAACATCATGTGTAGGCAATATATTGACAGTTTATATACGAAGAGAAAAAGGTTTTTTTCCTCTTTCAAACGTCCAAATCAGTAAAGCATTCGCCAATGTTTCGAAGTTTCATTCGACCGTTCCATGAAATGATAATCTATCTGTCAGCATAAATCGTGATAAAAACCATATATTAAATATTAACGGTAAACACTTCGGCCGATATATTTCGTATACATATACTAACTATATATCGAACCAATCATAATACATCGTCATTATGCAGTGTTACCCTTACCCTGGATTGGCAGCGCACTAAAATGAGCGCGCTGATAGAATCGCATTTTTTTCGTTTCTCCCTGTCGTACAACAATGCTTTGTCGGTGCTGGTTGTCAAAAAATGGGAATGGACGCATTTTCCTGTCGAATTTTGGATCTCTATCGTTGTTTTATTCCAATTTTAGTCGACTTCAATTTTGCGGTTGCCCTTTGCCATGCGAACAGCTTTTAGAGAGAAATTCAACAATAATTTCATTGGATCGTTGTTTTTTTTTCTTTCATTTTGTGTTGTTCAAAATTCCAACGGCAATTCGCAAAAAATAACATGCCAAACAAGAATAGGAAACTATCACACAAACACGAACACTGTGAAATAGAGATGAATGGAATGGGGAGGCAAACGCGCGCGCTCAACACAAAAAAATGATGACGACAATTTTGTGGCATCGGCAAAAAGAAACAAAATGAAATAAAACGATATCCCGAATTGCTGTGAAATGCAATTTAAACTGTGTAAATTGTGTGTGCGTGGTGCTTCTTATGTCGAACGGTTGAATGCTTGGCCTCAAATTTTGGAGCATTTGTCAGCTAACACCGTTTTGTGTGCGTATCATATTGCCTGAATTTCGGTTCGTTTCGTTTCGTTGAGTTATTAAATTTTCCTTTTTTTTCTCTCGATACTCACCCTCTCTCTTGATGTAACACTCGACTCGGTGTAGGTTCATGGGGGTCGAATTGAGCTTTCGCTTGGTGTGTCTTTTCGTTCATTTATTATGTTAAATAGTATGATATCAAATAACAGTGAATTTTGCGATATGTGCTTCATCAATTCGATTGGGAGGGACTGAAATCGGTGGATAGTGGGGAGACCGAGAGCAAAGATGGTAAAAGTCAAGAATTGGCGAAAACAAAGGAAGCAAATATCCTAGAAAATACCCTCAATTCAGAATGAGCTTCGATGTGATTGTTCGAACTTTGAATGCTTGTGGGTTGCGTGTGTGTGCCATCACAATGGAACGAGACACTCTGCATTCTTAAGCACGTCGTTCGCTGTGGTTTTATGAGTTTATTACGTTACAGTCATTTTTTTTGCTTCTCTCCACTCTATCTCTCTCTCGCTTTCCTCTGCCATTCGGACCCCATTCCACTGCGTCCTTTATTCGCATTATACAATATACAATATACAATATATAATAATTCGGATGGCATAGTATTTTACCTTTAGATGCTGCGGCTAGCGCGTACACAATATATACAGTATACTCACATACCAGAGTGCCATACCATCGAGCAGCCTGAGCACACGATTTTGATTTCGATATCATTTTTCCACCTCAATAAACAAACGTGCCTCCTGTAAATTTCAATCAAAATAAATATACCGACTTTTCGTATTGGTTCCAGTGTTTGGTGCAAAAATACGGCGAACGTGTGCACCCCGAAGTAGAGTGTGATTCGTGCGCGTTAGAAAGAGACCGAATGATTTGATCGTCGTTGAGTGCCTCGTATTGAATTTGGGTACACACGCATAAAAAGTGTATGAAAATATGTCGGAGAAATTCAGCAGTTTTTTTCGATATTTTCATTTCCGAGAAGGAACAAAAATATAAAGGAAAACGAATAGCAGTAACTAACGTACGCACAGTTGCACATACGCATCACAAATAGAAAACGGCAGAATGCGTGAAAAATGTATTATTAGTACGGTATGGCCGCAAATTTATGATTGAATGTATATTTTGACTTTGTGGATTCTTTGAATTGCTCCAGATTTTCCATCGCTGCGGATACGCATATCACAGAACATGGTGATGCTGTGTTGTGTTGTGGGCTACTGCAATGTTTACGTTGTCAAGGCTATTCAGCATACCCGATGAGAAAACATTTTCCTCATTTCGAAACCAAAGCAGTGAAAGTGAACAGCAGATGAACTAACAACAATAAGAGCAGCTGCACAGAGGAGACCAACCGACCCACAACTACTTTGTGGATATGAACAACAGAAAAATTTCGGCCAGCAATTCGGTGAGCGTGTTTTGGCGCGCAAGCAAGCACATACATTCTGACACCAAAAATTTCAGGTAGGGTCAAACCAAAAATTCCTTTGGGGGTCAAAAAAATCAATTCTATCTAGTGTAAAATCGGAATCGGGAAAAAATCGATTCTATCTAGTGTTTAATGATCTCTCGGAGGCAAAAGTGAGGAACAAAAAAAAATGATCCTCACTTTTGAAAACAAAGTCGGAAAATGACAATGGGTCCGAAAAAAATAGTTGGGGGTCAAATTTCGCCAGCAGGGGTCAGGATCAACGAGATCAGACTATGTCAGAATCTATGAGCAAGCAACAGTATGGCCAAGGGTTCAAGTGTGGCATGCTACAAGAATTGAAGCAGCCGCATGTGCTCAGCAAAACGGAGCACGTATATACTTACCGGCAAAAAAAGATTAATTACTATGTCTTCCATTACAAGCTGGCCGCCCATCATCACCACCTTTTTCGGAGAACGGTGCCAAACCGAAACCGGACTTCTCGTCTCGAACTCGCAGCAGCATATGGTGAACTTTTGCTTCGAATGTGAACTCGATCGACAATGTAACACAATGAATGTCGAAACAGTCGACAGGCGTCACCCGACAGTCGACGATCCACAGCCGCACATATACACTGTTTGGTTTCGCCTGCCACTTTTGCTGTGCTAAAAAAAAACTAATGAAAAATTGAAGAAAACGCCAGTTTGTTCATTGTATTTTTCCTCAGAATTTTTTTGTTGTTCCTTCTCATTTATTGTTTTATTTAACTTTTTGTTCGTGTTGTTGTGAGTGTGAATGTGGTTTTGTTAAAGAATTTTTCCCTTTAAATATAATACGTCTTACTTCACTTAATTTAAGTTTTCATATTTATTACGTGAATAAAAAAAGTTTTCTTTCTTCCTCGTCCTCTCTTCTTAGTATTCCATATTTTTGCTCAGCTGATGTACACCCATACACGTGCCGCATTTATTTTCGCCTGTGTGATTGTGTGCCTTCGTCTCAAACAAATTTATAACATTCTCTAATGTGTACAATTAGGTTAAATTAAGTTGTAATTGCAATGGTTTTTTTTTTCTCGTAAACTTTGTCTTTTATTTTATTTTAGTTTAGTTTTTTTTGCTATGTGTTCAGTAAATCTAATTCCATTTATATGTTTATGTTGTTTGCTTCAAAATACATACAATTTTATATATATTATATTCATATTTATATTTCATAATTATATGTTCCATTTTGGGTGTTTGTTTGTGTTGGTGTGTATTTGTGTGAGTGAGTGAATGTGTTATTATTCATCGTTTTCCCTCGGCTCATTTAAACTCGGTTTGTCCCTCATTCCCTTATTCCATTTGCATTTATTTTTTGCATCAACTTTTTCGGGGTGGGATTTTTGGAAACAATGATTATTAATTTTAATTAACACAAATTTCAGCAGCCGATGCCAAACTGAACATATGAAATGTACAGCAGAGAATGGAAAAACCAGAAAGAATTACACGCACCGATACGTTTTTGTTCAATAATTTCCTAATGAAATTGTTCGTTTCCATTCACTTTCCCATTTTCGTGGATTTCATTATTTGTGCGTATGCAAAAAATCGATATTTACGCAAATGATCAAAAAAAAGAACAGGGTATTAAAGATTAAATCAGGTAACACATTAGCATTGATGCTATTTTAATTACATAACATGAATTGTTCAATTTCAATAAGTATATAATTTCTTTTGTCAATGTTTGTCCCCCCATTTCCCATTTCCCATATGCATGTAACAATATCGTCATCCATTCATAATAATAATAGTAATAATATTTAATAATAATATAGAAATGTCGGTTTTTGTGCATTTTATTATTATTAATTTTTCTCTCTCTCTGCTCTCGCCAAAAGAGTGTACAAAAATTTGATTTTCCGATTTGTGATTTTTCAGGCCGTGGATTTTGTGTGAGTGTGTGTGTATTCTATTGTTGGTTGGTTTGTTTGTTTGTTTGTTTGTTTGTTTGTGCCGGGACTGTCATGCATATTTACCATATTTATTCATAGTGGAATTTGGTTGGCTTCGTTGCAGTGAGCATTAACAATAAACTAATGAATTGAACATATGGATAAGCTTCCACTCTTCTTGTTTTTGATGTCAATATGTTTTTCCATTCAATTGTAAGTAAATACATCAAGCGAGCGGCTTTTTGTGTCAGCAAATATAATACGTTTTGCATGAATTCAATTAGTTTTTCCATTGTGCATTTTCTTAAACAAATAGATGGGCGGCTGACAAGTGGAAGAAAAACACAATCCTCTTTTCAGCGCTTCATTCTTTTCAATTCCTTTTGAAAATGTTGACGCGCACGCTTGCTTACATGCTAGCGTGCTGTGTGATGCTGACGAGCGCACCCATGGATTGTCGATATTATATTACCGAAAAATATAATCAAATCTATACACATTCATTTTCATTCTATATCTCTCTCACCCCCTCTCTCTCTCTCTATTTCGCTGATGAATTGTATATTTGTGTATGAGCGAGGCGCTTCATTAACCATCAAATCGAAAACATCAAGAAGAAAGAAATGCCAAGAGCTTTTGTTCAATTCGACGAACGAGAGACGACAGGGAGTGGTGGAAAGAAGGCAAAAAAGCCACACAGCTGAAATGAATTTCTGGAAAAATGTAACGATTCGATAAGAGCACGATGAAAAATCGACGAACAAATACAAGAACGATGAAGAGAAAGCAGGAGCGAGTGAGTGAGCGAAAGAAAGAAAGAAAAAATGGCAGGCGAAAAGAAGTCGCTCTGTCTGACACACACGTGCTTATTATGCCAAGTGCTTTAGCAACTTCGCAACCACGTACACATTCAATTTAAATCGGAGCAAATTTTATTCAGGACATTAACCCACGAAACACATTTGTACATATCACATACATTTTGAATTAAAAGTGATTTCTTTGCATCCATTTTTATTATTTGCGTTTTCTGTTTATATTTCTATTTTTCATTTTTTTTTTGTTCGCTTCATTCTTCATTATTTATTCGTCGTTACAATAAAACGTGCGGTTGGCTGGTGGAAATGGCGAGAGAACCAGCGGGTGCGTCGCTTATACACTTAATTTTTCGCCCATAAAACCAGAATGCGAGAGAGAATGTGTGCAGACGACAATTTGTGCCGTTGTGACGTGGTTGGAAAAAGTAAAATTGATGTTTAATGCTTCGACATTGAATATGTCTCGAAAAATGATATGAGCCGCTCCATTGTACGAGTGAGCGAGTGCATACAGTGCGGAGACGGCGGATCAAAGCAACGGCGGAGGTGGCGGTGACGGCACTGAGTGTACGATTTCACAAATAAAGTTGGCCGTATCTCTCAGTCTCAATTCTTTTTTTGCCTATGCGAGATAGCATTTTTCTCCTCCTCATCATCATCAGATTTACTTCAATATTAATGATATAATCTCTCTTGATTCTGTACCGCTGTATACTTAATCTCTATGTGTCTTTGTCAAGGGGGAAACTACTACTACCGCATAATTCATATTAATACAATCTAGTACAACACCAATTCTGATAAATTCCAAAGAATTCTGCGCAATTCAGAACAATTCCAATCAATTCCGATGTTTCTAAGTCAAATTTGATGATGATCAACTTCAAAAATTGCAAATATAGGGTCATTTAGCATCTCAAAGGAATGCTTAAGCGCATAGATGTTCAATCTTATCGAAATAACTTCAGATATGGCGTTTTTAATTGTACATAGGTCTCACTTCCAATTCAATATTTCACTTAAAATAGGTAAAGGCTTTATGATACATAAAATATTTTTAAAATGGAAAACAGAGCTAGAATTGAGTCTTGTAGATCAAAACAAGTCAAATATGTTCTGGAAGTAAAAATCTTCAATATGCATTCAAATGAATGGTAAATGTCCCTATATTTGCGATATTTTGAGTTGATCATCACCAAATTTGACTAAGGAACATCGGAATCGATTGGAATTGTTTTGAATTGCGCAGAATTTTTTGGAATTTTTCAGAATTTGTGTTGTACTAGATTGTATTAATATGAATTACGCGGTAGTAGTAGTTTCCCCCTTGGTCTTTGTCCTCGTATTCCATTTCACTGCATGTGTAATTCGTGCGATTTACGATTGGTAGAGCTCGGGGCTGCTGGTGTTGTTTAGATCAAGCATGATAGCGATGGGGTCGGCGGCATTGGCGGTGGTGAATGGTGCATGAATTTATGTGCGGTTTGATTTTCTGTCATTTTCAATTGTTATGCTACATTTGCGCGACGATTCTCGCTGGATACTGATGATGATGATGATGATGATGGTTGCGTTTTGCATTATACCAAACGAAGGTTGTCAGTATACTAGCAAATCCATCATAACAATCGCAAATAATTCGCTGCCATATTTGCTCGTGTTCATCATCAAAAACTAAAATATGCTGCACATAAATCTGCCGTTCGTTTGCTCCCACTCGATCTCTTTGTGCGCATTGTCACAAAGGACGTAACATTCGATAAATAACAAATAAAAGCAAAGTAAAACATGCAACATCAGCCGCTCGGCTCAAAACATGAACAGGATGTGATGAGCACAGGAGTGAGAGAGCGAGAGCGAGAGAAAAAAAATGGAAAGAAATGTTTTTTTAATATGCATAAAAGCAGCCATGTCAATCAATTTTGTCTTCTTTTCCCATGATTTTTGACGTTAATAAGACTTATACATTTTCAGAAATTCGCTCCATCTTTCCTTCATCTGTTTGTTAATATTTTTGCTCTGTGTATTTATTTTTGCTATTGCGACAGTATTCATATATTTGTCGTCGTTCGGCATAATTTGTATTCGTTTGTCAATGAAAAATAAATATTTTTCAATGAATGCCAGCGAAAAAAGAAGACACACAGAGAGAGATTCAATGACTACTATGAGTTTAGCTACTTTTCAGTCTTCTTATTTTCATGCGCCTCCGTTTTCATTTTTCAGAAACATCTTAATAATATCCTTCGTTTTTATTCTCTTCTTTTTTTCAACATTCTTTTTTTGTTCTTTTTCCCGTCCTTGTGGAGTGTGACTGTTGAAATGAATAAATTTTCAAGATGTTCGCCTCTCGAAATGAATCAGCCAGATAGGAAGTTACACAGAGCGACAGAGATAAATATAATTCGTTTGATTGTTGTTGTTATTACGGTTATTGTTGGTGGTGAATCGATGGAAAATATGTAATTTCGCTGGCATTTTTTTTCGGATTTGTTTGAGTATTGGTAATCTGTTTTCTGCTGTGCATCACGAATGTATTGTTGTGTATGTGTGTGTATGATGTACTGAGGAGGATGTCTACAATTTGTTGTGCGAAATACGCCGAAAAGAATATACAGAAAATAAGCGAGAAAGAGACCGAATACATGAAACATATTATATTGTTTGCCTCTATTTATTCCCTTGCATTGTGCAAATAAATTTCGCTCTTCTTCGCATGGCCCTCCGTTGTCAAACAGATAAATTGAAAAATTCGGAATAAAACGAAATTGGATCGAGCACAGTGGAATAAAGTGTATATCGATGAGGATGAGTGAGTGAGTGAGTGAGTGAGTGAGAGGGATATGGAGCAAAAAAGGGCGATGTAGAAAAATGAATTTCTGCATTTTGCCAAATAAGTTCTTGGAACGTGTATATGCGTGTTTCATAGTAATGTGTACAAAATATTTATAGATGTTTCCTTGAATCGAGTGGAGTTCATGCCATCATACTCCAAATTTCGAGATCTGTTTTTTTGTGTGGGATCTAGTCTATCGTGTCGGTTTATCAATTTCAGGAAGTTTGAAGCATCTTTTGTTATTCTCTATTATTAATAAATGTTTTTGATATTATGAAAACTTGCTTACACTATTTTCCTTACCCCCCCTCTTTCCCTTCATTTCCAAATCGCTGTGTACACATCACTAAGACATCGGAAGCTGAAGTAAGCTTTTACACTATCTCACATTCTGTTTCCATGTCGGCATCGACTATTTTCATTCTGTTGGCGACCACACATAGATAGATGGATGTCATGATTGAATCATTCTGGATTTGTTTGTAGAAAAGTTCTCTTGTTTCAGTTTGGATTTCGTTTGCTTGGCAAAATTCGATGATGAAAATCGTCTGCTTCCTATTTCTCGGACCCTTTGAACAACACATTTTCCTATTGTTATCCTCGTATACACACACTTCACATCCCCGTCGCTCTCTTTCGCTGTTTCTGTCTTTTATAATTTTAACACGGATTCTCTTTCATCAAAAACTTTGCTCGGCACATTCCATTTTTGCAGCGTCTTGGGAATCCATTCTTTGTTACTGTCATTTCTCGCATGAATACACGCGCGACGAGGCATTAATTATGGTAATAATATTATTTATGGAAAAGTTTATGAATTCATAGTTCTCTAAAGTAAATATACAATCTGGCCATAATGCGAATGATGGATTTGGTTTTTGTTTGACATTCCCGCCCCGTGCACACATTTCGTAGTTTCTTTCTCACTGCCGTCCCACCACTCTTTCAATAATAATAATAATATGGCATGGCGTCACATCGCATCGCACGCTGTGCATGAACATTGAACACGCATTTTGTGCCAATTTTCCATTATCTCAAATTCCAATTAGAGTGAATGAAGTTTATCTTTTGGTTTTTCTCGTATGTTTTGACTGTTGAGTTTTTCAATTGCTAACAAATTTTCCCTAGTCTACTATAGCTGTCTTTTGCTCTGTGCACTTTTTGCACATTGCTGAATAGTTGAATACCCTGTCTTAAGCTGTCAATTTTTTTTCTCTGGTTTGAACATTGCGCCATTTCGAAATTTGGAAATTTATCGTTCTCACTACATACACACATATGTATGAATGCTACAACAGGTATCCAATACGTTTCACATATCTGCTACTAAATGCAGTTTTAATTGATTTCTACAGTTTAGTCCGTTCATTCGATTTTAATTAGTTTTCCATGGCGAATGTATTTTTCCGTCATGTCGGTGTGTCGGGGTCCACTGTATATGCGGCGATCTCTGATCTGGTTTTTCAGTATCTCTGGTTCGGTTCGGTAATTTCGTTGCAATTAATTGTTTTTCCTCTCGATATCCGGTTGCTGCTGTTGCAGGGCACATTCTATAACTTACAGAGCCACCGAATCGTCGGCAATTTTGTCGAAATCGCTGTTCGGCACTATTGAGTGGCTATTGTTGTTAGTCGCATTGATTGGTGTTGTGGTGTTAGTGCCATTGGTTAGTGTAGCATTGTTATCGGCTGCAATTTGGCTGATTGAATTTGGTATGTGTCAAGTATCGGCCGGTGTTGTTGCATCGCCGCCGTATCCCTCATCGGGGCTATCCGCTAGCGGACCTGTCAATTGCCGCAATTTATCACCATTGTATTGTTCGGCCTCTTCTTCTTCGGTTTGTTCGGGTATCACATCTTTTTCTAGGCTGCTGCTATTCAATATGATTTTTTTCGCACTTGTCGCCGTTAACATGAGATTCGGCGACGTTGAACTTATGATTGGATCAATTTTTGTAACATTGTAGCCGGGCAATGCTGTCGGCCATTGTTGTGGCTGTGTAGTGCAAAGCACTGATGAATTACTTAAGATACCTACGATGGGTTGCATAGCTTCATTTTTATAACCATCCGGCGGCGATGGGAATTGTTGATCGTTTACTTGCGGATTATCGCCCGGTTTTGGATAACCTTCGACCGTGTATCGAATATCCTTTCTCAAATTGTATGTGTCAAATGCGAATGTTGAACCCTGATTGAGGAATTCAGCTTCCAACGAAAACCGAACGCCATGATTATGTGCAGCTTTGGCTTTCGGTTTGTGCGGCAGCGTGCGGTAGAAATTCACTTGATTGCTTGACTGATTTAATAAATGGGGTTGCACCAGCGGTGACGGCATGCCTTGATAATCTTGGTAGCATCCGATGGGATACGGTTTTTGTGCGAGATTCTGTGCTAAAAAGCAGCCTGGACTCAAGTGTACATCGACTTGATGATGATACAAATCTTTATTGATGCCTTGAGGTAAGGTCGTCAACGGGTTATATTTGATGGCAGCATTGGCAGCGTTACGAAGCATTTTCTCACTCGGATGATAGCCATTTTCGCAGTTCAAACCCTGTATACTGCACGGGCCAATCGATGCTTGCTCACTGGCTGCATCATCCACATCGATATGCGTACGACTCTTTACACTTTCAGCATCATTTATTAAATCAGGATTCTGATCTTGATAATTTCGTATTGATGGTGGGCTACAGCATTGGCTGCCTGTCACCGCCGCTATTTCGCTACTATGATTGTGATTGTGATTGTGATGAGTGAGTAATGATGCGCTCGGCCCAATCGTCAATTGCATATCTTTGTGCTGAGTGCTGTAATTTCCATTTTTTAGTATAGGATATAGTGTCGGAGCATCGGGCTTCGTACCGGAAAATTTGATTTGGTTTGATTGCAATTGCAAACTAGCATCCTGTGAGCCACTCTTGAATTTGCGATTCCGTTTCGACTTTCGTTTGCATTTCAATACTATACAACAACACGTTAACACAATAACAAATGCCGCCACTCCAGCACCAACAATTATTACGATAAAATATTCATAAGCAAAATTGATTTCTTCCACCACTGGCTCTTCCTTCATCAGCACACGAATCGTATAGTTTGCAATGAATTTTCCGGCTGAATTCTCAGCGACGCATGAAAATGTTCCATTCATTTCAGGAACAACATTGTATATAAACAGTTCACTGTGCTTGTCATCGTTGCCTTCGTCAATGAAATAGTAAATGTGCATGTTCTGCGATGTGAATGTATCATTTTGCAGTAGATGGCCCTGAAACCACCATGTTATCGAAACATCTGGCGACGATGTGATTTTGCACATCAGTGAAATGTTTCGACCCTCGGTTAGCTCGAAGAACTGCGATGCTGGTATTATTTCGGGTAAACATGCCAGATCATCCGTTTTCAAATGTTTGATGACTTGACCGGCCAAACGTTCGGGGACCATGCACTTTGGATCTTCAAACTGCTGCGGCACGTTGTAGTTGATGAGCCAAGAATGCAAATCGATTAGTTTGCAGTCGCAATTCCATCGATTACCTTGCATATTGATACCATGCAGTGATTGCGGCAAAATGTGATGACCTTGCAGCGTGCTTATGCGATTTCCATCCAACCTGAGCCACTCCAAGTTGTCCAAGCCCAAGAATGCTTCGTCCTGCACCCGCTCCAGTTGGCAGTTGCTCAGTTCAAGGGTCGTTAAAAACGAGAGATACTGGAAACGAAAACAGAAAAAGAACGGGATTAAAAATGATTACTTAAATTATTTTTATCATTCCAAAATTTCGAAATATAGGGAAACATGTGGGTGTAATATTTGTATTTGTGAAATTTTCAAACGGAGAGTGGATTGTGTGTGATTAGTGTGACACATTAATCCACGCTCGCCACAAATTCGTCATGCAGTATTATAAGAGGGTTCATTTTACCTTGAAGGCGTTCGATTTTAACTCTCGAATCGGATTTCCGCTCAAAATTAATCGCATTAGTGACGTATAGTCGGTAAACGTTTCCGATGGTATAACAGTGAGCATATTTTCCGACAAATCTAATTCGACCAAATTCGAAAGGCCACGAAATGCACGGTCATGAATGCGAGACAGTTGATTCCTGGGTAAGAAGATTTTCTGCAAATTAATCAGCCCCATTTTGAAGAAGCGTTCGCTCATCAAGTACTGTAGATTGTTGCCGGTGAAGTTCAGCACTTGTGTGCCGGGATCAATTCCGCTGGGCAAGTCGGTGAGAAATTTATCACCGCATTCGACACTCTGTTTGCCACCTTTCCATTTGCATGTGCAAACTTCCGGACACGTATACACAGCCCTGATTACGATGCTCACAATGATAAATACGAAGTAAAATCGCTTCATTTTCGCATCATTCATTGCTTTCGCTGTCTCTCACTATTATTGTTGGTGTTGTCGTCGTCGTCGTCGTCGTCGTCGTCGTCGTCGCCGTTGCCGTCCTCGTTTACCTAGCGTTGATAAATTACCAGAGACTAGCGTTTTCGGGTAAATTGCGATTGATGTGCCTATTCTATCTATTTTGCTAATGGTAATGCTCTCCTACCGTTAGTATATCTATCTTTCACTCTCGGTGCACGTGTTTACCGAAATTTCATCAGAGAATTTATGCATTCCGCACTAAATACGTAGCAGCTAGAAACATATTTTTTGTCGTTAAGTCGTGACAGCTTTTCGTTTGCTGCGCACTGTTTTTCCTACGTTTCGTACGCTCTCGTTGATTCGGATTGCCGTCAGTCAGTCAGGGGCAGAAAAAAAAACTTTCGAAACTCGTTTAATCTGATTACATTCGCAATTTTTAACTAAACATTTTCGAATAAACTCGCTTCGTTCGCCGAATTGTAGCATTCAATAAAGAAGAAACTTTGAGCTACGTCGGTCAAATTTCATACAGATTTTTCTCTTCCGTTCGTGTATTTCTTTCGTTAAATTTGTTTTCTTTTTTCAAATGAAACGAGAAAAAAGTTAACACATTCATAGGGCTTTTTCCCTATTTTTCTTCTCTCTTTCCTACTCGGTTCCAGTTGATATATCCAAACATATATATAAATTCAGATTGGTTTTAAAGCTATTTCCATATTTTTCTATTCTTGTTTTTGTTGCCGTTGCTGCACTGGCATTTCTACGTTGATGTCCATTTGTGGTCATGACATGCCGACTCCGCCATTACACGAACTTCAGTCCAACTGCAAGTGATGCAAAACGAAACGGGAAAAGATTGGAAACGCGACAAGAGAGAAAAAAATTGAATTAGTTTAATTTGGTTTTTTTGTGCATGTTCATCGAGCAGTAAAAAACATAATTCGCTTATAGTCTACAAAAATTTAATACCAATGATGAATGCAGCTTTATCAGCAAAATTTTAAACCAGGTCAAAAAGCTTTTTATTCGCGATTTCATCTCCGAAATTAATATAACCAGATAGATGAATTGAATTCCATTCGTGATAATGATGAAAAAAAAAACCTTTCAATCATATTAATAAAGGACAAAAAAGGAGCATATGCAAAAAAAACCCATTAGCCAACATCAATCGCACTGGTAAATGCCTGCAGCCAACACACAACAGTTACCGAAAAAATCGAAGCGGCAAAAAAACAGCGAAAAATAAAATTAAAGCTACTTAATAACATCAATCGAGTGGTGGAGGTGGATGGTTGGTGGAGGTTGTGAACAAGCAAAGAGCAAAGAAAAAAATATTGGGTACACGGTACATACCGTTTAAGGGCAACGAGTTTTAAAATACAACTACACCACAGTAGCCAATTGTGGAAAGATCGAAAGCGTGACCAAGGAAAGAGGAAAAAGTAATAAATGAACGAGATCTTGAGCTGAAATTGGCAAAAGCATGCCATACCACGGAGTTAAAGTACTCTCCCGCACCCGCTTACTGATCAAATATTTAATAAAATCAAAAATTCTATACAGTTTTTTGCGGCGACGACATACAATACATATGAAACGGTGGTATTGTTATTAAAATGGATGCCACTATTAATATACTGTGCGGGAGGTATACCATGTTAATTGGTGTTGATAGATGTGGTCGGGCTAGTTGAATTGACTTGGCCGTTGAAACCGGCCCACTGCACAAAATCTGACATACGTTTAAATTAATTCATTCGTTAACCATGCTATATTATTATTTGCTTAATGCCAGCAACAACTCGCCCGTTCGCCGTCTCTCCCTCTCTCTCCTATTCATCCTCTTTGGCTGTGTATCTCTGCATTTGGCATCATCATAACGTTGTATTGCAATATTTTGCCGTATGCATGAGTACACGACTAAATGTAACCGCAACCGAAATAATGGGTTTTCAATTTCATGTTTTCACGAAAATTGTATTTTTGGCAATGCACATTGCACACCCAAAGTGAGCCACTGTCAGAGGAAAAGCACACAAGCTCACGAGTTATGTAAACATTCCGCATACATATTCAAGTGTTTTTGGCCATTTGGCTGCTGCTGCTTCTGCCTCAGCTACAACAGAACGAATGAGTGGCCGAATTAGTTGTATTAGTGGCAATTTGCTGTATGAACTTTGACCCTTCAAGCGATAAAAATTTATATTTTTGGCTTTTGCTGCAATTTTCCCTAGTTTTCGCTATCGTTGTGAGCACTTCGACTCTGTATATTTCCCACACTGATCCAGTGCACATAATGATTTGTGTGTACATTTCGCTGGATGTGTCCGTAAAATGGGCAAGACAAACGGAAAATGAAGATAAAAAATATTCTCGTTGCAGCAGTTTCACTAAATCCGGTTTCAAATAAAATGCGTTAAATAATGAAAGCGATGGCGTTTGGGGAGTTTGAGAACAGCAAGAGAAAATTGGATGAAATTATGGCCAAATGAAGAAAAAAAACCCGACGACTGCGAAAAAATTCTTCAGCAGCAAATAGCATCAAAGAGTCCCAAAGAATGTGGATCGAGCGAATGAAAAAAAAGTAGCATGAGATGGAAGAAATAGAAAATAAAACGACGAAAAATCAATATTTTCAATCGGATTTGAGTCTTGTAAAATGTCAATAGAATTCACGTAGTTTTGAGTGCTTTAGCATTCGTTTGCCTTTCTGTGAAACGAAAGATGGGCCAAAGAGCGGAAGAAGAAGAAGGAGAGAGGTAGAAAGCGAGCGTAAAGATGAAGTTAATCTCTGTTCAGCTGTCAGGGAAGCTTTGGCAATACATAATACGTTCTATTTATTTGCAATATGCGCTGTGTACAATGTACATGCATTTAGAGTGTGGCATCGACTTGCAGCCGACTCATGTTCATAACAACAGACTTTTGGGTTTTGAGGATGGAACGAGCATCGCATCGGGGGAATTCCGAGTGTCATGAGTGATTGCATTGCAAGAATGTCTGAACGCTGTGAGCGAACGCCTGTTAGGGATCTCCAAAACCATATATTTGACAGAAACATCGCAATCATCGTTAACATTATTACTATTATTATTAATGGCAGTGTGTATACTTTTTGGTGTTGTAGTTCATGAAGTTTGGTTGGGCCATGCCTATGACTCTGTCTGTGTCTACGCCACACACACATATACATACACAATCTATGGAATGAAATGATCTCGGGCTAATGAGTTAAAGAGATAATACTCGTGCACACATTGAATCGCATCCATTTTGTGCCATTTGCGGTTGCTGGATTCGAATGGCAAAAAGCTAAATGATTTTTTGTTCGTCGTCTATTTCATCTCCACTGCCACGCCATGCTTGTCTCATTCTGTGTCTGTATTTTTGCCGCTCGGTATCAGCTTCATCGGTTAGGTATCTTGTTATCTTGTTATTCGCTTGGAAAAATTGATGGAAATTCATTCGATTGTTGTTATTATACCTTATGGTTTTAGTAGAGCACCCATCATAAACACGCAAAATTGCATACTGAGAGCAAATAAAGAGAACCTGAATATGGAAGGAACGCAAGGCAGCGGTGACGAAGGTGATGACGAGGACGACGACAAGCAAATCAAAAACACCGTCAAGTCAATATTTAATGCGTTTAAATAGCTGAAATCGAACGGGGGTAAAGGGACCGCCGCGTTCACTCACAAATGCTCCTATAAAATGAAATTGATTCGTGGAAAATGCGATGTGATGACAAGCTATTAGTTTTATTTAATAAATCTTTTGATTTGGGTTTGACATTCGTCGTTACCGTCGATGCGGGCGACGGCATTACATCGCCACTCGCTACTCAAATGCTATCATTCCACGTAGGACGATTGGCTTTCAAATTATTGACGTTATTCGATTCAAATACAATGGGTTCTTGATAGACAGACATATTACCGTTTCATTTCACCTTTTTTTTATTTCTCGATCCGATCGCTTTTCATTTTTCTTTCTCTCACCCCATGCTCTCTGTGTGCGTGCTCTTTTTCTCTCAAAAGATTCGTGCCAAAGATTTGGAAACGTTTGATATATTTTAAGCAGCTCATGGGATATTGATGTTGGATGTAGAGGAAGAGAATGAATGCAAGAGGAAAATAATGCGAATATAAAGTGAACGAAAAGAAAAAGCGAATGTTGCGAATTGCAAACTTTTGATTTATATTACACTACGTGAATGGATTGGACGGAACAAAAAGCGACGACAGTTGGATACACAGCGAATATACAACACGAAATCACCCTTACCTTTTTTCCCGTTCTTTCTGTTTTGTAATTTTAGCGCATCGACTTGTGCAGCATGTTCAAACGTAGTGACGAGTTGATCTTTTCGATTTCACAGGGCAAATATCCATTAAATGTCATCAACTCAAAGTCGTTTTTTATATGCCGATTAGTTTTTTCGTCATCGTGCATAATTTTCTTTTCTTGAATTGATCTGCTCGATGCTTGATTGCTAGGGCTTGGGAATTGATTTTTGGTCGTCGTCGTCGTCGTTGTCGTTTTTCCCTCGTTTATTCCGTTGAACGTTTTTGATGTCTCGTCGAGCTCGTTGCTCGGATAATCCAATTTTTATATTAACTATATCATTGAACACAGAGCATTCCTGCTATCATTGCGCTTACACGCACACTCAAATTTCACTCAAAGCATTTAAATGTTATCGGAACAGATTTATTTATTGAATAACTTCTCGTTTTTTTCTTTGCTTTGCTTCTTCAATTGCACGTATTTGGTTCGCTCAATCGTTGGGATCCCTTTTTTTCGTGGGTTTTATTTACTTATTTTCTCTTTTTTTTGAGCCATTTGATAGATGTACTTCTTATTTTTATTTCCACATTGGTGTAATTTTCCCGTTTATCATTGGTAGGTCGATTTAGATTTAGTTACATTCACAAACATACTACACAACAACAAAGTTTAGCAAAAAACCTCAACTGTCAGATTGGAGAGATTGTTAGATTAGTTTCAAAATCATTTCTATAAAGCTTTATTCATTTTATCTTGTTTCCTTTTTTTTTCTCTCTCTCTCTCGTACTCGGGTACGCTGTCGTTTTTTCCCTTTTCCATCGTATTTATATATACAATACAATAAATGCTGGTGTTTAACCCTTGCGTTGTCAGTCGCATCAATCACATGCACCACAACTGTTCTATGCTCGTTCTGAGTACTGTAACTGGTTGTTTTTTTTTTTGCTTTCGCTCGGTATTTTTCAATTCACATTAGGGAGCGATAGATTGGGCGAACGTGGATTTTAGCAGACAACACTCAGTGCTCTTCCTTCAATCTATCTCTCATCCAATATCATCCACCGCATCGCATATAAAATAGCAACTATTTCGATTTCGTCTTTTGACAACTTTTCGAATTTTTATGTTTTAGCTTTCAGCTCTTTGCTTCTGGATGCGTGTAATCCAGTAACCGCAGCACCATCACCACACATATGTACATACATATACACTGACATGACAAAGAGCGCGCACAAATGGATTCAATGTGGTGTGTTTTCAAAAGAATTTCCAGATATATATAAATTGAATGCGTCGGTTTAAATGTATAGATGGTTGTGCGTTTTTCTTCTATTTCTTGTTTCGAAGGGCGCCTTTTCACCAAAAAGCATCCGTGCGCTACTATTTTTTTCGTTCTTTTTTATTCTTTAGTCTTTTTTTGCGTGATGCTCTCTTTTATTTTCAGAGCGAACGAACAACAAACCACCGACACACGAACGAACAAGTTAAAGAAGAAAAATAAAAAAAACCTTTTCAAGTCAAAGATCCATTTAAACACATTTCTTCCTCGGCCAAGTTTTTCTCGTTTGCAACCGATGGCCACTGCACATATTTCATACCAAGAAACAGCACGTAAAGCGATAAAAAGGAAAACAAAAAAAATAACACAGAATAAAAATCGATTGCCGAATTGAGTACACACCGAGAAAGCACACACTGAGTACACAGACACACAGTTTGAGTTTTGTGAATGTGTGTGTCGATAGCACATCAACGGCACCGAACCAAAAATTTATTTTTCTATGTTCACAACTTTGGCAATAAAAAGTATCTCCCTTCGAAATATGCTCCTATCAGAAATTTTTCGTTGAAACACATACGGAATACGAACGATAAAGCGAGAGCTATGAGAATAGTGTCAAATGCGAAGCGAATCACTCGTTTTCTTCACTTCACTCGGCAGATAACCTTTAAATCAAACAGATTATTTGCATTTTTTACTCAATTTTTTCTTCTTTTGCTTCTTTACTTTTAGTTCTTCCCGACTTGGTTCTTACTTTTTTACCGTCTTAAATTGTTTGATGCGTGCTCAAAATTCCAAATCACTATAAAACGCTTATGTCACACACACAAATGGAATGCATTCCGTTCCACGAGAAAACAATTTGTGAAATGCTTTACCGAAAAACTTTTGAACTGCTTTCTGGTTTTACGATAATGTTTCTCTGCTGCCTTATTTTTTCGGTTTATCGAACCAATTGAAATAGGCGTAACGCAGTCGCTGCAAACGCTTTCATCGACATTCACTTCACGACTGACTGACGACAACTCGCTCACTCCAACTGGCACCGTGTACATTCCACTCGCTATACCATGCCCATACCATGCTCATGGATGGATGACGATACTTTGCGATGCGAGAGAGAGATATAAACGCGAACCATCGAAGGATTCCAACATTTTCTTCATTAAATATTTCCACCGCTCAAATGCGTGCACACATCTAGCGCCGCACAACAATGTCTCACACCGTGTCTCATGTCGTAATTTTCCTGATGATATTTTCAAAATCGAGTGTCGGTCGAATGCCGATTTCGAATCCCCCGAAAGAGACGTTACATAAAAGTGGCTCCTGCTTGGAGCCATTGGAAACGAGTGTGCGCGTAACGCATGCGGTCGATTCTCCACCGTCACCGCAGCAGCTACTGCTGCTTCGACTTTCCCGTCTGTTGTTTATTTTTGCATCGCATCCACCTCGAGAAGCTAGTTTAACTTTTTCCGATTAATTTTTCCTGTGGAGCGATCCGCTTTATTGCCTTACATCTGCATTCATCATTTACTTTTGCGGTTCTATCATTGCTTCATTGCTGCGTTATGCGATAAGCTGTAAGCTGGATTGTGTGTACAAATGTACATCACGCTAGAGACAAGGGAAAAAAGGGAGTAGCGCGCGTTACTGGAAGTAACTGGGACAATCGTTCCACTGGAAGCGTGTATTGCGTGCTATCGATGCGCATGTGTTTGTATTGAAACAGGGTTCAGATTTTTGTACGATAACTCGAATGAACGCCATCGAACTGAAACAAAACTATCTGAAAAATGAATCTGCCAGACGGAAAATCGTTGTTTACATACCACGCATGTTCATCAGATGAATGGGAGAAGAGGAAAAAGAAGCTGCGAAGAGTGTAAACTTAAAATGCCAGCAATATATGTGCCGAGATAGCGTGGTTAAAAATGGTTTGCGTTAAGCCCACAAATGTTAAATTGCTGGCAGTATACATTATAGTGCTGCTGCAATGCAACCAAGCGTAAGTATGGTTCGAGTCGTTTTTGTTTCGACAGAAGATCCAAATTCAAATTGAATGTCTTCGAGAATTCAGGATGAAATATTATATGTATGCAAGTGTGTGAGAGAGAGAGAGAGATGCGAACAATGTACGCCTGTACATATGTTTCTTAATAAACATGCAGTGCTAAAGGAGCCATAAATAAATGAGGTTTCATGTGTGAATTAGGCGTGCTTTCAATGGAGCAAAATGTCGAAAATACATTATTTTTATGTGAGGTACTTGTCGGAGCATTCACTCCAATTAGAATAATAAGCCGATGTGCACAAAAGATGCCTCCTTCAAGAAAACAGCCATTTTCATGTGTAATTTGTAACAGAAATTTCGAGGAATTTAGCCAACATTTTATTATACAGCTTTCGCATTTATCGCGGGCCGAAACAGCGAGCTAGAAATGAAAAGGGCACATACACACACATTAGACGGCGCAAAAGATTTGAGGAAAATTTACGTTGAATGAAAATAAAGACGCCGGTCTGTGTGGCATACAGAAACCCATGGCATCATCGTGCATACAATAGACTCAAAGTCATAATTAAATAAAGTACACACGAGAATGTGCCTGCCATCGTCGTCGTCGCCTCCTACAATGGCATCATTGTTAATTTTATTGTTATTCTTATGATTAATTCCAAAGGTCTACGTGTACTTACAGTTGTACAGTTTGACGGTCATGCTACCCCGATTTGCCACATGTCTCCTCTTCCTCTTTCTCTTTCACTTTACATTCCTTTCCTTTTTAGGTATTTGTGTTTGTATTCATACGATAATGACACGCATTTAATTATTTATCGAATTATGTTTTGAAGCAAATTGGAGTAATTCGCTTCGAATGTCACAAGCTCAAAGCACAATGATGGTATGTAGTAGACAGACAGTTGGATGAGCGTTTGTTTGAGCTACAGCAACAAATGGCCTTTTGATCATATCATAGCATCGCTGCAATTCCATTCCAAGTGGCGACAATCGCATTATGCGCGTTGTAAATTGAAACAATTTAACAATTGTGCTCTTAACAGAAATGTTTTATTATGGAATTTCATTGCGAACCGAAAAAGAGTATACGTATGGAAAACAATAGCAAAATAGCCTAAATTGCACTAATTCGACTTACTCATACGAATTTGTAATTAAATTCCCTCTCGTTGTGTGTATATGGATGTTGTAAGCTAAAATTATGTTCGCACCCATTTTCACAATCGATTTGAATGGGGTGTGAGCCAGCGCTATGATATATGTGTAATGGGGATCCGATTTCGAAAATACAAAGCTTAAATTAAGCGCAGCATTGTGCAATATAGTGCATTTGGCTCAAAACAAAACAAAAAAACAAATATAGAACTAAAAGGGATAGAATTGTATAAAATTAATCGGCTTTCGGTTTTAGTTTTGCCAAACTCTCCTCGCCAACGAGCTTCTTAATTACATCATATTTATACAGCACTACGGATAGGAGAGCCCCAGTGCATGCACCACACCAATAAACAATAATATGATCGATATTGCTATAACCGCTGCAGCCCCACTTGAGCGCCGTGGCCAATATCGGATTGAAATAACCGCCGGAATAATTGAAAGCTGCAAATAGAAATGGAAATAAAGAGGTTGAGTGAGTGAGCAATGGAATGAGAATCATAGCACAAAATGTACGAGGTAAACATAGAAAATATTCTGTATGCGTCTTTGCTACGTGCCAACATCATCAAATTGAGTACAAGTTGATTGCTGAAAATTGATTTCATCGATGAAATCGAATTGATTACGTGTATCAGCACTGCGTAGCAGCAACACACACATACACAAAAAATTATAATATAAAGTAAAAAGCGAAAATGTTATTAAATATTTCGAAGTGCATTGGAGTATTGCTTTACCCGCGACAACAAGGCCAGTCCCGATGAACGAATCAATGAATGCTGCATGCCTCATTCCCAAATCAGCTATCGTTCGTGACGCTAGTCTGCATAGCAATGTTGCAAAACCTTCGATAAATGCGCCCAAATAAGCATTCACCTAAAATGGTACACACAAAGTACATATTAGTCGTTCAAACACAGCCGATTTCGATGGAAATCTTTTATCTCTCCCTTTCTCTCGTTCCCAATTACTCTGTGTGAGTGTGAGTGTGTATATTTGTGTTTGTATATTCACTTGTGCCGCTTACTTGCAAATCGGTTGTACAACTTTCAAAGGCGCGATTCTCGTGTGTGTGAGCGAATTCAAACCACCAGAAGATTTGCACAAAACGGTAGACACAGCAGCCACCCATAAGCTGAGCAAATGTTTTCAACAATACCAGACGCAACGACGTATTTCCCTGGATCCAATCTTCCATCTGCACGTAGCAGCAGGCAGTTGCATCGCCCCAGACCATTGACCACAGAATCGTCAAAAAGAACAAAAATATCGCATAAGCCGCGATACCGAAATTATCGGCGACTGAAGTATGTTAATAGGTTTTGAGGTTTTTGCATTGTGTTGTGCATATAAGCAGATAGAGTCGAATCAACCGCCAAAAGAGAGATGCGGCAAAATGGAGAGCGAGACGGCATGTAATAGAAGAATAGACCAGGGCTGGAATTCTAAGAATTCCACCAAAATCGTTCGGAATTATTTTTTTCGTACATAAGACCATATTGGAGTGAAAGAGAGAGATTCCACTATTTTTCAGCTCTCCACCGGAATTATTCCGATAACTCAAGGAAGAGTGGATTGTGTGAGAAATAATACCGGTGGGACGCTGAAAAATAGTGGAATCTCTCTCTTTCACTCCAATATGGTCCTATGTACGAAAAAAATAATTCCGAACGATTTTGGTGGAATGACTTAGAATTCCAGCCCAGAGAATTAATTTGAACTTGAATGGTTTTTGCATTGTTTGTTTGTTTGTTCGTCTGCTTGTGTCGGCCACACTCACCAATAATCAGTTCGAAGCAGCAGCTACACAGTTCGGCAGCCGCAATCGCTTCATACAGTAATTCCTTCACGAGACATGATTTAACCGTTCGCGACACAACAATTCGTGCAATCGCTGCAAGCAGACAGCACAAGCCAATAAATGAGGCACTGATCGCCAATGCCGTATTCATTTCGGTAAAGCTTTTTACTGTCGACGTCATTTTTTGTTGTTGTTATTATTGTAGCCGTCGTAGTCGTAGTCGCCGTTGTCGTTTGTGTTGATGTTTGATTTTCACGAAAAAAGAGAAATTACAGAAAGAATTCTCGTATATTTTGCAAGCCACACAAATGATTGGCACTTTGACGCAATACACAGGGAACGGATTCGTGCAACGAACAAAAAAATATATACCAAGGCAAGATCTGGTCAAGGGGGAAGAGAATGATGAAACATTTTTTGTTTGTCTATTCACGGTTTTCAGCTCATAATAATTAGTTCATTAGATTTGATGAGTCATAACACTTTTTATGTACAGTTTTCGTATATATTAATAATGAGCAGCAGTTGCTATGGTTCTTAAATCAGCGCGTAGAGTTATGATGTGATAAAATTCGTGCATTATTCAAGCTATGAATTTCCAAAGAAATGTTTGCATTTTACCAGTGTATCAACACCATGATGATGATGTAGGAATGCAAACTGTTTGCATACACCGTTTTGAAATGATATGCCCTACTTTGAATACTCAGAACACTAACAATGAGCACTCTCTGATTTCTCTCTCTCTCACTTTAACTCACACTCTTTCTCTCTCGCCTTGTGTATCAATTCCAATTTACAAGCTGTTGATATGAACGATGCTATTATAGTCTCGATGGTGTCAATTGATTCCAATTGCTGTTAATGTGTGTGCATACACTGAATGACGGAAAATTATGCAATATGAAACTGTATGGCATTGAACTTCAGAAATGATGACGCTTTTAGTTCCAATCTATTTTTATGCAAACTAGGAGTATTTTCAATTGGTACAAAGGCTCTTTTTTCTACTGATTTGCTCACTATAATTACGATTTTTATGTATAAAATACACTCAGTATTTTGTTGGCACAATCAACTTGTTGATATTCCGATAAATTCACACTTTTCAACGATTCCACCAGATTTTTTTAATCAATTTTTTCTTTCGAAATACTGATTAAACCCACAGACAGCTGGTTGCCTTCGTGATTTCTACGTTTAAACTAAAAAAAAATGTTTTACTCACACTATTTGTGGTCTCGTATACAACAAGTCTCGCCGTTGAACGAGATGCGATCACATCTTGCATTATATCACGAGCATCACTTAGCGCATGCGTTCACACAGCCCAGCACTCGATCGCTCAACTCAATTTAGCACATTAAAATTGGTTTGAGGTTGAAGTCGAAGTCGTCTACACACTATTTACATCATTGTCTACACTAACAACACATCAGTCGACGAGGAGATTTCATTAATTTTTAAATCTAATAATTCAGGAATGAAACGATGTGAACGAGTGAGCACATTGCTACCGACAATTGTGTTGTTTATAAATAGGCCGAATAAAATGTAGTTTCATTTTGATTGATGACGATAAATTGAATCAAAACAAATACGATTGACTTGGCAAATGTAAAAGCCACTGAAAATATATAAACAACATAATAAAAGAACGTTTAATAGTTTTGTTATCAGTTAAGTACATTTATTGAAAAACTCTGAATGGCGTATTGTGTATGTGTGTGTATGTGCAATATGCACCAATTAAAAAACTAACCAATAGTTTACACAGATTACACAGATATATATATATATATATATGTATATATAAAACGGTTTGATGATTTTTTGTTCTTGTTGCAAAAATATTCATCACAATGTTGTAAGAACATTTTCTATATTACTAAGAATCTGATGAACTATGACCAACTTTGAACAAAGGTTTTAATAGCTGTTCAAGTTTTTGCATGTATTTTGAATACATGTCGCTTCTTATTTCATCGGGGAGTTTACACTCAAGTGAATATCGGCAATATCTGCGTCATCATATCCCCCGATTCGTTCAGCTTCTTCCGCCTGCCAAGGAAATTGATCGGAAAAATGAACCGTATCCGTATGAATATTAAGAAAATTCATTTAAAAAACAAAATTTAATTTCAAAGTAGAAATTCACCTGAATTACTGAATTACTACACTTTAGGAGAATTAAATGTAATAATAATTAAATCTGAAACAATATCTCTCTCCCACTTACCGTGTCGGGTAGTTTTCTTCCAAAAGTTTCGGGTAGAGCGAGAGCAAGCAACCCGGCAAGCATGGAAACTCCTCCGAATAACAGGAGCGGCAAAGGTATTGTCGGATAATAATTATTCTATGGAGCAAATTCAACGTACACATAATACAATGTTAGAATATTCGAGTGGTGTTGAGTGCATATTTCAAAATTGCAAGAACTTACTAAGAGTGGTACAAATGGTGCAATTAGAGCACCGAAACGAGCGACGGTCGAAGCGGCTCCAACTCCTATCGACCGAATTACGGTAGGTAGCATTTCAGCCGTATGAACGTATGACGTTGAGAATGCCGATGTGATACCCAGCTTTCCAAGCAGGAACAGCATGACCAAGAGCCAAGTATTTTCTGCAGCAACAACAACAGCATGAGCAAATAAGAACAACAAATTCATGAAAAATAATGAGAAAATTCACAGAGCAAACCATGTGCCACAATTGAATTTTCCATATTTACCGTGCGGTACAAATCCACCAGCGACACAGGTGAAAGCACACAGGAGTAATGAACCGGCCAATGCCCATCGTCTTCCAATTTTATTCATCGCAATCCAAGATAGTGTGTAACCAGGAATTTCAACTGTAAAATTGCAGGATTTTGTATTCAACCGATGCACCAGCTCACATAGCATATTCATTATATTGCTACTTACCTAAGCACACGAGTATAAAGTTCACATACTTGTTGCCACTCAAGCTCGTCGAATTCAACGATAATCCGTAGAATACAAAAGCATCGGTCGCCCAAATGAAGAACAGTATCAAGCCACGTAACACGAGTACTCTTGAACTTAAAACCTCTTTAAATGTTCGCCATACCTCGTGATGTTCATGCTCTTTATCAACCTCTTCTAATTCTTTTTGCTTGCTGGCTTCCTATTATTTGAATTCGTTTCAAACGAGGGAGAGAGAGAGGAAGAGAGGGTGAGTGAGAGAGAAAGAACAAAAAACGAAACAGTGAAATTTCATCATTTAGCTGGAGAATTGCAGTAGGGAGTTACATTACACATACAGTTTCACTGTGCGTTGGTGATTCTAATTCAAATTGCCGTAACATTTGTTCCGATAATTCGACACCATTCACATGAGCTGCTTTCTTGATGATTTTTCGAGCTTTTGAATAATCTTTGCGTGCCAACAGCCATCGTACCGATTCAGGCACGATCCAATAATAGCCAATGAATATCAACGGTGGCACCGAAACGAGCAACTGCAGTATAACCCAGTCGGGATACAGCCAAAATATCAATCCAACTAATGCTTCACCCACCGAATAGAAGTAATTCAGGATAATGCCAGACATTTCACGTTTTTTCGGTCCAACCATTTCAACACCTAGATGGATACAATATTAAATGCATAATTGAATGAACGGATCGATAATAACACACAAAAAACTGAATACATATCCGTCGATGCTCATGGGATTGAGGTGTGTCGGAGAAAAAAAAACATTGCGTGCAGTCGCCGCTTAATGAAAATATTTGGATTAAGTTACAAAGCAGCAACAACAAAAGGTGTGTACATGTGTGGAATGACGAACAATAAACGCACTCGCTCTCGCCCTCTTTCTCTCTCTGGCTGGTCGACCACCTCCCAATTCGGTGTGCATGGGAATAAGTTGCGTGCCAGCACAATCACGTCAAATGGAAAATTCAAAACATTATACATAAATAAACGGCGGAACACTCCCTCGACAAGGAATTCCCACTTTATCCCAATGGTTCAGTCTCTCTCGCTTTTTTATCGGAATTACATCCCTTGCGTTGTGTTTGAGGTCAACTAAATTACAGTAATCACGCTTCATCGACGCATTCCAAACGGTGTTGCGTTGTTATTTACAAAATACATGTTTATCATGTTTACAGTCGGCACACACCTTCGATAGAGTAGACTAACTAATTATTCGTAAACATACAAGAGGTGGATTGTAACATGCTCACTCATTCATTCACTCACACTCGTCCTCTCCACCTCTTTCTCTCTTTCACATTTTCACTTCACATGTCTAACAAAACACACCATTCATTTGCTGCTTGTGATATGAAAATTACCGTACGGGGAAAATGAATTGATTTTTACACAAAAACTAGACAAAAAATCAACAAGAAAATAGAAAAACAAAATAAAAATTAAGTACCAATGATAAAGGCCAATGGGAATACCCCTGACGTCCCGACCGCATTTAAATAAGCAAAGAAAACGAATGAAGTGTAGTTGCTGGAAATAGCCTGGCCGATGCCCGTTATGGCCATGAAAATGGTCGACAATATAAATATTATTTTACGACCATAGCTAGAAATACAAAAAAAGGGAAGAGAAAAGCATCACAATAATAAACTCACATGCTCATGATAGGATCGTTTTCTGTTATTTGATTGGGTTTTAAACATCTGGATTAGCAGCCCGTATTTAGAATGAGCAACGAAAAAAAACGAGTGCATATAAAAACGAAATCGTTTTTTCATGAACTTACTTGTCGGCTAGGACGCCAGCTGCTGCAGACCCAGTGACGATGCCCGCGAAATGGGCCGTACCCACCAATGCCAATAAGTATTGATTTTCCATGCACGTTATCGACCAGTCTTCGACAATGGTTCTTTCATATTTGTCGTACACCCAGCGATTGCACTTAATCACATTTTTAACCGGTAGTTCGCGCCCACATATATACGTTGAGTTGCCATCGGTTGATGGTAAATCGTATCGTTTGCATTGTTCAGGTGTAAATAATCCCGACGAATCAGTGGTGCCCGGTACAACAGCGCTCACCCATGGTTCGTCGTAATTCGGATTATTTGCATCATCACAACCGGGAACAAAGCATCTTTTTGTTTATGCCACATAGAGAAAACACCAGAAAAAGAACAAAACAAAACAAAACAAAACAAAGCAATCAATTTAAATTAGCCGAAAATGCCTCATGTTGCGACTAGTCATATGCAAATAAATTGTGTGGTCGTCATTTAAACACAATGTTACATACCGATAATTTGGGATGCCAGCTGTGAAAACGTACGATAAAGAATTGGCGGCTCCAAAAAGTACTGGCAAGCAGAGCAGCAGATAATTTGTTTGTTGATACCTTCCAAACTGCCCGATCTCTTCCAATATTAAATCGAAATCCATAATTTAATCGCTCGTCGATGCGTTCCGCTACTGTGGATAATGGACGTGTGTGTGTGTGTGTGTATGGATGGTGGCCGGCAGGGAGGGGAGCATAACAGACACGAACAAAACAAAGCAGAAGAGAGCAAATAGAAAAGAACGGAGAGAAAAAAAAACAGAAAATTTAATTCGAATGTTATATAAAATTAATTGCCATCACTTGGACATGCATAATTTTAATAAGTTGGCTGATGTGCAAAATAAACTGCAGCGAGTGCACATCATTTTCAAAGCGTTAATACAGTTCAGCGGAAATGTAAATAAATTAATCAGAAACGCGATAAATGTTGCTGGCTTTTTGGCCACATTGAATAATAACATGGCTGCTGTGCACTCGCCCTCTCACTCACACGTTACAACTGAATGATGATCGTGGTTTATATTCGAAATAAATAAATAAAACGATGGTGAATTGTGGGAAAAAACATAAACCATCACCATCACCATCACCATCACCATCACCACCACCACTACCCTCAGTTTTGCGCTTCACTTGTGCACACTTAATTGTTTTGATTTGATTTGATTGATTGCTCGATAAATTGATAATTGATGGACTGTTGCTGACGATTTTCGCTGTTGCAAAATTGTTGGAACTCTTCTCGCTTATCGATTGCTAACTACTATACCGGAATTTATATATATGCGTTCATATTTTAAAAATGAGCCGCAGCAAAAAATAAGATAATTTTCACAATAGTTCAATGATATTCCCGTTCCTCTCTCTCTCTCTCTACATATATCTCTGCCTCTCTCGTAATATCGAGGAAAATCGCGTGTACTTTTGATGAATCGAAATTGAAGCTGACAACTTCGACTCGTTAAATTGACTGAAATTATGATTGATGCCAGGCATTAAAACGGAACAATTAAGTTGCAACGTTGATTTTAGACAAAATAGCTGTTGGCTGATTTGCGTCACTTCACCAATGACAATATAAATTTTCGAACGCTCGAAGGTATCGAAACACAAAAATAACATGTAAAAATCAATATTGCATACCCTCCTTTCCATGACTTTAAATGATTTTTCCATCTCCATTTTTAATATCAATCTCGGTGTGTTTGTTTGTGCGTGCAGTGTGATATCGATTGACAATGGACATTGAAAATGTTTCAAATCATTTTGGTGGAAACGGCAGCGGTGGCATCAACGAAAAAATAACGACAATGACAACAACAGCAGTAGCAGTCGTAGCGGTTCTACAAGCATTGGATGTCCCTGTACACTCATTTTTCTACCGTTTTCAAAATTCGCTAGCTCGAAAATGTACATATAAAGTGCGGCAGTAATTTATGGCAATAAATTTTGATTTATTTGCAAATCATCGTTTGGTTTGACGTGCAACACTCGCTGTAATCGTTTATTGTCTCTCATGATTTAAACAAAGTCACGGCTCGTTTATAAAATGCGAAGGTAGAAGGTCTCATTCTTTTATTCTTTCTTTCGAGAATGTATGTGTGTTTGTATTCTGTCAAATGCTGGCTTTTTAGATAAATTTGATTAGAATGGGTCGAATGATGCAACGTTGATAGCGATAAAACGGTGAAATTTCACTTTTATGGCCAAAGTCACCTTTGCTTACTTGCTCTGAACACACAATGAACAAACTGATGTCTGACGCTGACAAAATGTAACTGAATTTACTTCTTTGAGAAATGGCGAATATCATTCAAGAAAGCAGTTCTAGGCGGTATATTCTAGCAGAATTCGGAGAACAATGCCACAAAGCTTTATATTCGAAATATGATTTTACTTATAGGATTTGAAGCAACAAAAAAAATATTGTCGCCTTGTGTGGCATAATATAATTTAAAAAAAATTGAAAAAAATTAAAAAATTAAATTTTTTTCAAAACTTGAAACTTGATTAAATTAAAAATTGAAATTTATTTATTTATTTATTTCACCGTCTAATCACAGACTGAATAACATTATACAATTCATTTACAATTTGACAAGCAGTGAGATACTCCCGAATCGAATAGCCTAGCCACCAGCCCTAATGACTTCGAAGTGGCGCTCTGCGGCCTCCGACCGTGACCACCACTATTCACTATACATACAATTCTTCAAAAATACTGTTGTCTAAATTGAACACATTTCTACTAAATATTTGCCTTGATGCCGAGTCCAAAAACGATTGCTTCACTTTGTTAAAATTTCTACACGCTACAATAAATGGCAGAAATGGTTGGCGGCCATTGGCCAGTGGCTGTGTTGGGAAATTTATGGAATAGCAATCACACATCGTTTGTTCGGGTGATTAGAAAAGTGATGTGATATTTTGCGTAATAGTACAGGTGACTGTCTAAAATGCCCAACCGAATGGAGTGGTTTTTTTTTTCATTAAAATAAAATGAAAACAAACCCGCATTTACCAATTTATTTGAAAACACAACCTGCAGCAGCACAACCAACTACAACAACAGCAAGCAAAAAATGAGTCGGTTACAATGGTCGGCTCGACCATTACAATTATGGCTCATAAGTTTCAAATTCTGTCCGGACGTTGAACATGGATTTGGTCAAACGATATTGTTTCTGTTTCTGTTTCGAATCTGTGTGGAAAATATTCTTGTGTGGAAAATAGCAAGGTCAGGCGGTCAGGTGGGTGGTAATTTGATATTCGAATATCGACAAACTTGACGTCTTGATTGATTAAAATCGGGTGAACGACACATTTCCGTCGACTGAAATTTAATATCGATGATATTTTCGGTGAATGATTACCCTTTATTTTTCTTATCTCTTGCGCCATTAAAAAATTGAATAAAGATAAAAATCGTTGATTTAGCGATTTCATGCGATAAGCACTGTTGAACGTGTCCATTTATTAATTCTTATTTAATACCTATCAATTAAGCAGCTTGCTATCGCGATTCAGAAAATTTTCAACGCGTAAAATTCTTGAGTGTCAGTTTGTGGAATGCAGGCGATCCAATTATCGTTGAGACATTCGATTAATATTCATTAAGACACATCGTTCAACTTGCAACATTGTCCTCTGTTTGAAAGAAGAAGAAAAAGCAGATTTTCTTTCCATCTCTGTCTTGTGTTTAGTCTTGTAACCGTAGAAACGATAGAGTATCGAAATTAATTGGCCAGCATCACGCCAACAATTAGAACCACTTAAGCATCGGTTGCGCGCGACCTTGCTTTTATACGCTTTCACAAACTTTATGCTCAAAACACACATAATGCTTCATGCTTGGAGCCGCAAGCTTGCTGGCAATTGGGTAACCGGACAAAATTCCCGAAAAAAAAATTCCCGATTCACAAAATTCCCAAAACGAAATTCCCGAAAAAAAATTCCCAAAAAAAAATTCCCGAAAAAAAATTCCCGAAACGAAATTCCCGAAGACAAAATTCCCGAAAAAAAATTCCCAAAAAAATATTCCCAAAACGAAATTCCCGAAAAAAAATTCCCGAAGACAAAATTCCCGAAACGAAATTCCCAAAAAAAATTCCCGAAGAAAAATTCCCGAAACGAAATTCCCGAAAAAAAATTCCCGAAGACAAAATTCCCGAAACGAAATTCCCAAAAAAAATTCCCGAAGACAAAATTCCCAAAATAAAATTCCCGAAGACCAACAAATGATGGCAACCGGGGCATAAACAACGCTACGGCTTCGCATCGCTGTCGCCAACTGGTGCTACACTCACACATAATGTCAAAATCAATGTCAAATTCGTCAACACCAGAGTGGAAAAGTTTCCATTCAGTGTGTGTAGTACATGTGCTAGCACCAGTTGGCGACAGCGATGCGAAGCCGTAGCGTTGTTTATGCCCCGGTCGCCATCATTTGTTGGTCTTCGGGAATTTTGTCTTCGGGAATTTAATTTTGGGAATTTTGTCTTCGGGATTTTTTTTTTTGGAATTTCGTTTCGGGAATTTTTTTTTGGGAATTTCGTTTTGGGAATTTTGTCTTCGGGAATTTTTTTTCGGGAATTTCGTTTCGGGAATTTTATTTTGGGAATTTTTTTTAGGGAATTTTGTTTTCGGGAATTTCGTTTCGGGAATTTTTTTTCGGGAATTTTTTTTTGGGAATTTTTTTTCGGGAATTTTGTTTTGGGAATTTTGTGGATCGGGAATTTTTTTTTCGGGAATTTTGCCCTGGAATCCAATTCATGAATGGAAAGTTTTCTCAATCGATACGGAGTCGGCAGTTGCTCGAGTACAGAACATGTGGTTGGGAATATGGATAATATTACACAACACGTGCGTTATGCCCCGGTTTTTTCCGCCACTGCACAACAAACACATACACAGCATTTTGCATTTAAAGCGTGCAAGGGATAAACTCGTAGCTTGCGCAAAAGAATATCGGAAATCAATCATCACCTTGATTGCTAGTTTTTTCACTTGTAATGGACATTCTATGAATGCCCTATACCACGTAATGCACTTACTACAGGTTGTAGTCACACACACAAATTTTTTCACTTTTATCTTGATTACGACGCCACACACGCTATTTTTAATCTCTCTTTCATTACGTTAACTGTACGCAAATTCGTATTTTTAGCATGGAATCAGCTTTTTTTTTGTCTCTTTTTCCACGCAGTAACACCGCGAATTTACTAAAATTTTCACCGAAGCAAACAACAACAAAGAGATAGAAAAAATCTCGACACAAACAGCGTCAAATCAGCGTAATGCTGATTGAGAGACTAAGAAAAAAAGAATGAATTGTTCTCGTTACTTGTGACTTTGACAGCAATTGTTGCTTGGCATCAGACAGTCGGCTTCGTGAGATCGGAATAACTAAGGTAAAAATAATGAAAAAAGAAACACAACACTGTGAATGCAGGAGAAGTTATACTTTGCCAATGAACAGAATGCAAACGATGCCGCTAGTCAATGAAAACAACCGTACCTAGAAACACTTGAGTATTACGATACCACCGAAACAATCAGTTGCTTGATTTTTCCAATACGTTCTCACTTGTTTGATACAAAAAAACCAATACACAATTTCATTTGTTTACTTTGTTGGCTGAAATGACAATTCATTTATTTATCAAAGTTTGTTTTGATTCATATGTTCGTATTGTATAAGACAGCGTTTCATGAGCCACAACTTACTCGATGCCAAGAAGCGTGTATTAGACCACAACGCAAGTCACCAATACCAACGCCCCGAACCGATCGACACCGTTGAATTGAATTCAAATTTCCGTATAAATTTGATGCACGCCACGAGTCAACAGAATCGCTCTCGTTCGATGTGTGCGTGAGATAGACATACACGCAAGTGTCCGATTTGTTGTATGGCAAATCGGTAGCGTTGTTATCATGACACCCGTATGGAAATGATTATGGACTGTTTTTTCAACACAACAATGACAAAAATACAGAAAATCTGCGATGACAAACACACACCTGGTTTTAACGATAGAAATGTGATTTATACCACTATATTGAGCTACTGTATAGCCGTTTTTGATGTTTACTTAATGTTTGATATTAAAATTTAATACAAGTCCGCCAAAACAATTGAATTTCATCCAAAGTTTTTTTTCCCGATAAACTTAAACAGTTCCAAAGCGAATGTTGTGCGTTGAATTTACAGGCGGGAGCGAACGATGTTGATGTTACGAGTATGCGTTCAGCATAAAGTATGTACGTAAATCGCATAGAATGTGCTTTCTGCAAAATGGAAACGGCTGCGCATCGGCACGCAACGTATCTGTGCGGTTGATGTTAGACCAACTTCTTGAGTTGACATCGAAATTCATTCGGTAACAGAAGAGGCAACCAGTTCATGTTTTTTGCCACGATTTCATTTCTGTTTCGTGTTGAATGATTTAATCTGCTGCCGACGCTGTCGTGATGTGCGAAGCAGCGGTGTTTGAAAAAAAACCTGAAACTCAAACAATAACATGGAATTATTTGCAATTTGCCACATCGGCTAATTTAACTGTACACGAAAATGTGGCAAACAATGTGTGTATATCTTTCTGGATTGATCATGATTATCGTCATTATAATGTAAATGTGTTTTCAGTAAGCAATTAGCTTGAATTTGTTCGGTTGTTGAGCGGAGCTACAATTCTCTCTCTTTCACAAATATGCAAATTATCTCACGTGACAATGTATTGAACTATCGAAAATGTTAAAGCCACATATTCTCTGGAGCAGAACAGGTTTGAAATGCTATTCATATTTATATAAAGGCATGATCCGATATCTAGAATGTTTTTATTGAGTCATTTGCATTTTCCATAGCAATGGAATCTTGCGGTTTAATCAAGACGTATCACACACTCTTCCCCATTTCATTTCTCGAATCTCTTAAGTTGCATGTGCTTACTGATTGATGCATGAATGCAAATGGCTTTATTGTTGTTCGTCGCCCGTCGCCGAGTCAACGACGTTTACTTCACTCGGGGTAATTGTGATAAATGACAATTTTATTGACACCAGGTAACAAAATGCATTTGCATGGCAAATGAAAACGTTAGAGGGGTGTGAAAAGGCAAAATGAATACCCGCATTAAAATAAGAACGATGGACTCAAGTATAAACAGAGATTCTCGTAAGACAAGAAAAACATCGACATTCTTGCAATTTTTACTCTTTTGTAATTCCTAGGGGATTCATGCCAAATTTTATTTAGCAAAATCTATTTGTATTATTTAAATCATGTAAAATTCACGCTAGATTTCAAATATTTTGTATTATTTCCCGAATGCGTTGTTATTGTTCATATTCACCTTGAACAATATGTTCTGGAAGTGGGTTTTGGTGGATCCTCAGGATCGTTCAAAACTGCTCCCGGTTCTGGAAGTGGGTTTTGGTGGATCTTCAGGATGGATCAGACTGGGTTTGACAATGCCCTGGCCCATCCTGAGGATCCACTTCCAGAACCAGGAGCGGTTTTGAACAATCCACAGGATCCACCAAAACCCATTTCCAGAATTTTTGAAGCGATAATGACGACAACAGATTGGACATGGTTCTGCTGACAGTCGGTTTATTGAACAAAATTGAGCAAAATTGAAATTATGCATACATATCTGTTTAATATGTTGAAACATAAACAAATTCATATTATTTGTTCATATTTTAAATATGGAAATTGGCGTGAGTCCCCTAGTGTAATTCTGCCATAAAATTCTAATTCGAATTCAATATTTCCAATTCTACGGTATTAGATCTAATCTAAGATGATAAGTTTTATTTTCGTAGCACTCTAAGTCATAGAATGTTCTATCATTTATCGTGATTAATTTCGATTCTATTTTCGAATTGAAGCCAGGTGACTTGCTTTCAAGGAGGCACATTTGGGATAAACCGTATTCGTTGATAGAGGTGAAATTCAATTCAATATTTGATATATAATCCGAAATTGCTTTAGTGTGACTCTTCCCATTACGTAAGCCCGTATTGTTGCAGATGCTAGTAAATGCAATGTAATATTTTATTGATGAACGTGTTTATGTTCGTAGCAATTTGAGAAAATTAAGTTATCACACACAACAATGTCGTTAACTATTTTCACAAGTCAACTCGTGTGCCCCATTTGAGCAGATAACAACAATTGTATTGTTATTGTTATAATGTATTGCGTGATCTATTGCACAGTGAATGTAAATGGTTTTTGGCTCGGCTGAAACATCACCTAATGCAGAACCAAGATAATTCCAATCGAATAATTTCCATTTGATTCAATTCACATTTGCCATACAAAATTAATCAAACTTAATCGGTTTCATTTGAATGCGTTTGTTGAGCAGGTCATAAACGGATAAAGTGACTAAGAAATCACTATATACTTGTGTATATATAGATGCATTAGTATACGTAGATAGTTGAATGGAAGAGAATAGAGCTGAATAAATCTAAATGAAAATGAAACCAGGGCGACTAGTTAAGTTCATGTGCATGACCCCAACAAATCATGTGAATAGACCATAAATAATGATGCATAATTTATTCAATAATTCATTCGATTGAAATATTCCGTTTTCAAGTGAATTCACTGGGAGCAGCACCACACTTCCCAGGCCATTGGATTATTTAGATTTGCAAAGTAAGTCACGCCTAGACTTATTGCGTATATAATAATGCGAATATAGATTACGATGCGTATACGTAGTTCAGGAAAGTGATAATGTTTGTGATCTTTGACAATAATATTATTGTTGTTCAGTGAATATTATTTGCTTGAGACGTTGTAATTAGGACTTATCTTCGCATTATATTGTCGTCTAAAGGTTCTTTGTTTTTCTGCTCTCTTTTAATGGCGCCCCAAGGGAGTATCATAAATCAGATCCTATTTATATATTCGCTCTGCGATTTCAACTTTGATGGCTTTAGCATGCAAATTAAACGATGCTCGCCGTCAATAGATTGCACCATTCACTTTCGTTAAAAGTAAATGATTGCCAAACATTTGATGGAAAAAGTCTAATTATTCCATTGCTGGATCATTATGCTCCTTTTCAATGGGTTCCGTCAATTTTCAACGCATCCATTTCGCCCTCCACTTGAACCTCGCATCACAATACCTTTCGACACCATTTTTTGTCTGCCTTCTTGACCCGACAACGTCAAATTCAATTGGTGGAGCTTCTAACAAAAACCCGAATTATTTTTTTAATCAATGCCAGTTATTCAATTAACGACGAGCAATGTTCGCACGTCGCGTCGTTCAAAGGTACCAATTGAATACAACCATTGTTTGGTAGAGATGCTGCATCACAACATGTGTTCAATATATTTGCGACGTGTTTCACTCAATAAGTGTGTGGCTGTGTGTTTTTTTTCTATCATCGGTAACATCGTTGCATGTTTCTAATTAAAATGGTCAGTGTCACCCGACAAGATACTGTCATACGATTACAAGGGACAAAACGACGAATGTCAATCGGAAACGAGCACAAAAAAAGGGTATCGAAATCCATTACGTACATTGATCCAATTGTTCACATCAAACAAAGGTCCATGATGAAAATCAAACCGTTTTCTCCATGGATGCGATGGCACCTCGGCACTTTAGCTTTTAATTACGGTTTCGTATGCCAATCACAAAACCTGCTCTCACATTTTTTGTGTCACTTGATTCGAACAATGCCATGGTATTGGTCGGTGATTTCCAATATTCTAAATTGGTGATGAAATGTCCGTAAGATATTACCAAGAGATAGAGATAGGGACACATATACACACTAGAAATGCATCGATTTCAACATTTCAAGCATGAAACAAATTACATTAGTGTGTCTGTATATATATGTTTTGCGCACATTTTCTGACGCAATAATAGAGATTGAGCGTACGATATGCTCTGTTGGACACGTTTTTATCCCATTATTTGCATCCTACATTTCCTTATTCCATCAACCAGTTATATATATTGCAAATGCTCTTTCATGCACTTTGCAATACAAAGCTCAACACAGCAATCTTGTTGGATTTAATGGACTCGATTTCAAATCAGCTGTTAAATTACAAACGATTCACTTGGTTTATTCAAACCGAAACATACACAAGAAAATGATGCATGACTTCAACTGATAATTAATGGATTTGTGGAAGAGTTGTGCAAAGAAAAAAGTATATACAATTTATGGAGATTTTGCGCTTAAATTATTATAGCATACGCAACTCTGAACCAAAAAGAAAATATTATGGTAGCACAACACAAAAAGCGTACACACAAACACAAAACAACATAAGGCATTCCGCCGACTGTGAAGAATAACAGTTAAAGCGCGCCCGCTCACTCAGCATGATCGCATCAATACACACATGCACACAAAAACACGAACGAAAATCGGCTCACACGGTTTTTGTAACGCACACACCATACAAAAACAGCTGCGATCAGTATAGTCGATTGAAAAGCAGCGCGCATTTTCATTTTAAACGTAAAGCGCAAGCATTATACACTTTAGACTGTAAACAAATGTTCTTGTGAACAGTTCGTCGTGGAACATTCTCTCGGAAGAAATTCGTTCGTGATTTGCATGTAAATTTCTCTGGTTCTCAAGTTGATTTTAATAAATCAAAAAGCGTTGCAAAAAGTTTTCATTTGAAGGGAGTAAAAGGAGTGACGAGAAAGAAAAAATTGAACAAAAACGCAAACTTTTCTATAGTTTTTTTTTTCTTCATCTTTTGGCCGTTAAACAAAATAAAACTGTAGCAGCATGTCCAAAGTGGCATTGTACTTTCGCCGATGGAAAAATTATACGCGGCAAAAAAGTAAGTGTAGTTTTTTTCCATTGTGATACACTGTGGCACACAGCAGTTAATCACTCTCTTTGGGGTTCAATTTTTGTCGGATTCCGATGCGGTTTGAGAGTTCGTGTGTTTTTATCAGTTATTTTTGCCGACAGTAACATTCGTCACCGAATCTCTTAACGTAACGAGCCACAAAAAAAACCCATCGGAAGCGGTCAAAGATCACATCATTTTATCATCATCCAAATATACTGATGTACAGTCTACATAGTGGTCCGTTTCGAATGAGACACAAACGATGGCGTGCAAAGTGTAAAATAAATAATCATCACTTTTGATACTTGCATCGAATGTGCGCAATTAAAGATATATATTTATAAAATATCATTAACACTGTGCATGGAATGCGTGCACAAAGTAATGGCCAGTGAAATGTACACGATGACAGACGGCGACATGTAAAAATAGAAATCATTGAAACTGAAAACAAACGAAAAAACGAATAAAAAAACACACGGTGACAATTCCAATTTCAATGTAAGCCAGAAGGAAAATTGGCATTAATCACACCTTCCACGATGGAGTCAAATGCAATTATCTAAAGCGCACATGACTCGACAACAGCAGTCAGCATGGTGTTAATTACTTTGAACTAGATTTTAGAACAAGATCGATCTGGTGTCTCCAAGTTGTCAGCACATAAACACATACACGACAAAAAAAATTACTATTAATTTTCTTATACATTCGAATGAAAGGTTACATTTGAACCACGTTCACTCCGTTTGACATTCGATTTCCTTTCGAATTCGCCAACAATAAATAGCTCTTCCAAACGAATTGTACACAAAACATTTTGAACTTGATTCAGAGTCATAATCAAAATTTCAACGTTAAATTCTCACAGCAATTGGCACGGTGCCAATTTGAAATGCGGCTTCGATTCAGAATCATGAGTTCAAAACATGCTCACAACGATTCGGTTTGGTGTTTTTTTTTTCTTTCGTCATTTGGCAAAATTGTGAAACGGAATTTTAGGACATTAATTTGCTAATTTATTCTTTGTTTGTGTTGACTTTCCGTCAGACACGTTGAATATTTTTAGACGCATCTCATGTGATAAACAAGTTTTTGAGGTAAAATCTCAATGTTTGCCCAAATATCGCTATAACGAGTCCAACATGTGTTTAATCTAACTCATTTCCAATTCACTTGCCGCTTTCAGTTTGATGTTTTTGCACATATTTTCACGTTACACATCCGAACCGTATTGCAAATTCATACGAGATTTCGTGTAGAATTTAATGGCAAAAATATCTGAATCATTTCGCTTGAATTTGCTGCATAGAATATTTGCCTCGTGCAATTTGTACGTCAAAATGCAAAAGATTTCGTTGGAAGCCGAGAGAGAAACGAGCAAATAATAGGAATTAGTGTGGCAGACACGGTGAAAAGGAGAATGAACTAGTCAACACATAGAATAGATTTGTTTTGGCTCTGAATAGAGTCGCGTGTGCAATCAGTCATTGATTGTGTATGATTCGTGCGGCGGTATTGCCTTCATTGTAATATTACACGTGCCTGAGTTTGGTGCCAAGCTAAGCAAAATCGAAACCAACGCGCAGGAAAGAGAGGAAGAAAACTTTGGCAACGTCTAATTTTGTTCTGCTTTTTTTCCTTCGTTGGCTGCGTCGGAAATTGCGACGCATTTTACGTTCAAATGTTTGGAAAAAAAAATACTATAATCTATGATGGTTCTACGTCGTTTTCGTTTAAAGACCAAAAAAAACAGCAATCGATTTGAAGCAAAATGGAAAACGTAAAACTTTTTGACTGTACGCCAATTGTGTGTGTGGTGTTTGTTTTCCGTGCGCTCGCTGACTACTTTTTATGCATCGCAATAATTAATCAATTGGAAATGTTGCGTTGTTTTTGCAAAGGAAGTCTTTGCAATAATTCAAAGTATCGATACAAAACATGCAATCAACTGAAATGCCGGCTAACCTTCGGTTCGTAAATACTAATGCCATTTTTTTAACTCGATAAATCGCCAGCTTAATGTTTCGTTACTTCACTCTACCTCTATTACACTGCTCAATTATAATTATTGAATTGTAGATTGGTTTGCACGAGCTAAATCGAAAATCCCAGCATTTGCAAAAATTACGGTGTTTGGGAACACATCGACCGAATTGTTATTCTCATCATTGATAGCAGTATTTGTGCATAGAACGAACGAAAATCCATATAAAACTTAATTGAATATATTCAAAGCGATGACGAATATTCCATATCTGATATATGAATGCACATTGCACACCTACATTTTACAGAAAATATTGAACATCCAAACAGTAACTGATTATTACATTGGTGTGCCCAAGCCCATTCAATAATAATAAACCAAACGTAGGCATGCATTTGCATGCATCGGTATTAATAAATTTAGAATCAACCAGAAATTAACTGGAATATTGTTCGTGTAATTCGATTTTCGATGACAGGCTTCGATAACAACTGATCGTTCTTTTTTGTTGTGTTTTTGTTTATTTTTTCCCATTTGTGTTTATTTGTGCAGGTTATTTATATTTTTTGTATTTCATTTGAAAACAGATGTTGGCGAGGATTGGGCATTTGCGACGAAATTAACTGATTTATGCGAGAATTTCGAGGACGAGAATGAAAATGGATTTCCAGAGTTGGAGATATTTCAAGTCAAATTCTTGGGTTGTTCAACCATTCACGCGGCTAAATCGGAAGCAGTAACAGCCAATACAATCAAAAGCATAATCACAGCAGCAAAAGGTGAATACCCTTAAACTTTGGAATAAATCAATCAATGTTCGAATCACAAAAATAAATTAATCACTTTCGTTGTTTTGTGCCAGTGTCCAACAAAAAATTGCAACGTCTGAAATTATCGATCTGTCCGAAAGGCATTGAAACATTCGATGCGGTGACAGGCGAAACATTGCACAAAGTATCAATCTACCAAATAAGTTATTGCTCGGCCGACGCCGCACACAGCAATGTGTTTGCCTTTATCGCAGGAACAGGACGTGCAAACGACAGCGATGACGAAATGTGTAACAACGACTCCGATGAACTCACTTGCTACGCTTTTCTCTGTGCCAAACGCAAAATAGCCTACAATCTAACGATAACAACAGCGAAAAATTTCGAACGTGCCTATGATATGTGGAAGAAATCAAAACAACGCAAAGTCGAACAATGCGAATCGGAGCGGCTGAATGGCAACCCACTACCAACTACTAAATCAAATCATTCAAATGTACAAAATAGCACTGACAATCACATTCAGAGTGATGCTCCCAAAAATCTCCTAATCGATTTCAATTCCGATATAATTGCGCCGGTTGAACGACAACGTCTATTGCAAACCGCTTGGGTTTCATTCGATGACGAACCACTTTTGAACAACGACAGCAACAATGACGATCCACAACCGATGCACGGCAAAATATTTAAAAACAATTTGTGGGACATGAATATCATGTGCTTGTAAGCCATTAAAGCCATTTACTTGATTCAATTTTAGGATTTTTGAAACTAATTTTAAGTGACATACAATTTGCCAAAGTGCCTTTTCTACGTACGATTACCGCTTATATATATTTGATAACATGAATTGCAATAAAAAAAAATTGACAGTTTAAGAATAAATAATTTCGGATGTTTTTTCTGGTTTTGTATTGTTCAATTCCACTATTATTGGTGACGTGAAATTCAAGTGATTTTTGATTGACTAAATTTCCGAATTTCGTCAAATATCCCGTTTTTCATTCATTGAATATTCATGGAATATGTGTCCGGGGTCAATTCAAAATTCAAGTGGCAACGATATGTGATAAAAAATTCATACAAATTATGGCATTTCAGTAATTTGATATTTGCATATCGACTCACTGACATTTTGGATGGTTCATCGATTTGACTTGCGAAAATTCATTGCAGTTTTTGGTTTCGGTATTTTTTGTGACGAAAAAAGAGAGAGAGAGAGGGAGAGAGAGAGAGAGAGAGAGAGAGAGAGAGAGAGAGAGAAGTGAACAATTGAAAAAGTCGAAAATTCTTCTTTTTCCATTGATATTTGTATGGAATAAGCAGAATTTGAGTTCATTATAATTACTTTGGGAACTAGCTAATAAAAAATGTTTCAATTTAACATCGAACTATAGTGAAGTAACTGTTTGAATTGATAACAATAGCATTGAAATCGAAAACTCAATACCTTTTTTTCTTTGTTCGATAACACAAAAGAATCGTTGGGTCCCCATCAAAGTAGTCGACGCTGTTTGTTTGTTCAGCTTATTAGATGAATATACAACAGAACATGAGCAAGCGTACCTTTTATATCGCCGCTGCCCTTTGGAAGTAATGTCGCGCGCTATTCATGATCTGGGATTATCGCTCGCAATTCAACCTCGTTTCAGTATATTTTTTTTTTCAATCATTTCAATCATAAAAAGAAGAGAAATCGATTTGGTTTGTAATTTGCTGCTGCAAACTTCAATTCCAAGAACCGGGATTTGCACTTTTACTCCACAGTGCTACGATGCTAATTTCGTGTATTTATTTAGGATTATATGCTCAAATATATATAATAGCGTGGTAATGACCAGTATCAGGTCACATTACATACTTTAAGATCTTTTTTATAGATTTCAAACCTGTGTAAATGGTTAAAATTATCATAACTGAAGTGTATTCGAAAGTGTTCACATCCAATAGTGCTATCTGGAACGAGAAACTTTTTTTCATCAAAATAGTACAATTAACACTATGACTGTTCTTGGGGCACCCAGGGCCCCAGCGAACTTTAAAGTTGAATAAAAGTACTAAACAGTGTATAAACCAACCGGAGTTAAGTCTCATTGTTTAGATTGAACATTTCTCTAGGCGAATGACATATACACATATGCATATGTGTGAGTATGTGTAAAATACAGCCTGCCGCAAAACATGTTACGCTGGATTGTTCTTAGGGGACTACAGGGCCCCATGGCTATTTTATATTATAACTGGACTATGATAAGAGATATCGACTTGGTGTCTATGACGAAGTTGTAGTACTCAAGCTGCTCTACAACTTTGCCCAAGACACCAAGCGTTATCTCTTATCAGTTTCGGGGAACACGCGAGAAACCGCAGAAAGATACTTACTGGTATGAGAAATTCACTGTACGCTTTGAACCCTGAGAATAGCCATGCAATTTAAAAATGGGTTTGAAATCGATTTGATTTTTTAATACATAATTCTTTATTACTTTTGTTTGCTCTGTAAACATCCTCCGATAAGAAAAACCTATTTTTATACATATACACTTTATTAAATTAGTTCAAACTCCAAAAGATACAGCACTGCATATAGCCACATACGATGTCATTTCCCGTTTGCGGGGAAATGTGGATACACAAATCTGCAGAATAATCTTGTGTTTTGTTCTCTTTGCGAAAGAAAAAAAATATGACTCAATTGTTCTCAACCTCTGCGATAAAACAATAATTTGTATATCGCTTGCGCTTGAATGGTTTCACGCCCTTTCAAATGCTCGGCAGGCGGACAAAATCATTAGCAGCATTTTTCCATGTTCATTCATTTCTTATGTACTAATTGTATGTTCTATTTTGGGTATTCCTCAATGAACGTATCCCAGCGAATCGAATTCAACGCTCGACAGTCATCATTCAAACACGTTTCGTGGCATCCAAAATGTTCTTATTTGCGGGGAAGCGAAACATCACAGTTAAATGTGAGCACCAAGTCAAGCATTAAACTCGAACCGCTACGATTAAATCATTAATTATCTCTGAATAATGTATTAATCGAATGTTATTGTTTTTTTTCCTTCCGAATAGCAATCATATGGTTTGTTACAATATAATTTATAGAATAAAATTATAATTTTTCTTTTCTCTGTACACGGGGGGCGACATGAAACAAAACTAGAAACGAAGAAAAAACAATATTCAAAAGCCAGTCAGGTTAATATTAATGATTTGAATCGGGGACGATTATACAAATAGATATATATATATATAGCTCTTTATTTCAATTATCCTCATTCTCTCTCATAAATCATGTTTCATCAGCTATTAACTTTAATTCTCTAATGTGATACTTGCAAAAGGCGAAAAAAGTGTTCGATTGAATGAACTTCATTCGATTTATGTGTGTGTGAGAGAAGAAAAAAATAAACTAAAAATAGAAAACAATTAATATTGATGCCAATTTGATTTGTTACTTTTCTTAATGAACTGAGAATTGTTCTCAATTCAATATTCGGTACATATATCTTAATTTAAATATTTTTTTTCGTTATTTTGAGCGTTTTTTCTTTCAATATAGAATATTGTCTTCATCGCTTGCATGGCGTTGAAGCTCTCTCCTCCCGTCTTTCTGGTACACTTTGTTTTTACATTTTCATGGAAGCTTCTCTGGTTTGGATTTCTTTCAAATGCATTTTGTCCAAATTTCTTTTGATTGCGTTTCATTTAAATGCTGCTTTGGAATGGAATTGATTCGAAAAATATAGAAAAAATGCTTAGCGTTTTACGAGGAGAAATTAATTGAACGACGTGATAATTGAATGGTGTGCGTATGATTCCGAAATTATATACCACAAATCACATAACACAAGGACGACGGGATTAAATGTGAATGCTTTCAATCAGCACATAACAGTGTTCGAATCATCAGGATCTCAATCTCAATTTGCAAATCAATACCGGTTGGCGGTCTTTCTTTCTTCAAACAAATTTTTCATTTTCTTTTCACAACATCATAATAAATAAAAAAAAAAATAAATTTAATTTTTATTTTGCTTTAACAAATGGATGAATTTTTGTGCTTTTCTTTTTGCGGGTTCTTTTTTTTCTCTAAAATATTATTATATGTTTGTTTTCTAGTCTTTCACTCACTGGTGATGTGGATGTTCCGTTGTTCATTCTACGAATACGTGAATATGATTCTCTTTTTTTTGTTTCTTTGTTATTTTGCAGTAAAAAAGAAAGTAAAATGTTTTTATAATTGTTAAATAGTTGTTTGTTTGATTCAATTTTTTTTTTGATTAGAAGAGTATTGTTGAAGCGTGGCTACTGTGCTCATTTAACTAACCACTTACTATGCCTACAAAAATGTGTGTGTAGAAAAATGTGCCATGGTTGATTGGCAAAAATGGTAAATTTGTTTTGTGTTCTTTTGACTATTGTTTAAAATCTCATACGCACTACAAAATTGTTTTTTTTTCTCCTTCTCCTTCTTCTCTGTCTTTTTCTTTTCTCATTTGGTTCTCGTATGCGGTATGTGAGAGATGTGTTTTATCGATTAGTTTTTCTCCTTGATATATCAACTTGAAATGTTTTTTTTTTAATAATTATTTCTTTTTGAGAAAGTCGACTGACATACAATCGAAAACCAAACATCAGCGGTCATTGCTTACTTTTTCTTTTTAATGTTTGGACTTTGCGTTGTCTCTGGTTTAACCGGATCAATTGAAGATCAGGCGGATGTTTCCGTTGGTTCAACCCAACATTCGCTGTCTTCATCACTGTCCGAATCCTCTGATTCAGATAATTCGATTGCAACACGCCGTGCCAATATCGATGCAACATCGTGGAATGCAGTCGAACGTTCCTTCTCTTTTTGCTCGATCTTTTCCACTTTTCTCAATTTAATACCTGCGGAGAAACACATGAAACATCATTTGCATATTAGTTTCAATTGTCACAAATGCTATTGATATAAATTCTTACCGTCACGAATGGCTTTCAGCAAATCGTTTCGTGTATCGTCAATCGTTGGAAGAATCTTTTTCTGCTGTGTCAGCTTCTGTGGTGTAATCAATTTGCCACCGCCTGCCAAACCGTTGTTCAAGTCGCCGTTTGCAACCGGTTTGTAAATGTTTGTATTTGGACTGTGATCCATTGGCGGTGGTGGTGGCGGTGGCGGCGGTGCAACAGAGTTCGATGCCATCTTGGGTGATAACTTTTAATTAAAATTTTCAAATTCATTAATGAAACAACGAAATGAGCAAATGTGAGTGAAATCAATTTGGTGTCAATGGCAGACTAATTATCTATTACCTGTTCCGGTATCGGAGGTGGTGGTGGTAAATCGTTGATTGCGTTCATTTGTTGGGTCATTTGTATGTTCAAATGATTCAAATTATTTATTTGACTATTGAGTTGTGCCATAACTAATGCGTTTGGATCCATGACAGCGCCGCCAGCGTTCAGCTGTGGTGAACCGGATCGCGATGTGCTGTGACTTCGACCCAAAATTTTTGCAGCAACCGATGCATTGCCATTGGTCATTTGCTGCATCGGCGGTGACGAATGCATGGATTCCATTGGCACTGGTGGAGGTGGTGGCAATGCGTCTCGCGATTGCAAATTTCGATTGCGAGTCGGTGTATTGGCATTCGATGCATTTGGTGTGTTTCCGGTGCTTGGAGGAGCGGGTGGTGGCTGTGATGGTCTTGACTTTCCTTTCGAAGGAGTGCCTGGCGCATATGGATTCTCTGGTGACATGGCACCAGAATTGTGATGACCGTACATATTCTGCGAATGATATGTCGATTCATCGTACAGTTGCTGGCTCGTTGCATAGCCGGAATGGTGTTGATACGCGTTCGGCGAGCCCGGCATGTAACCATCAATCTGCTCGCTTTGATAGCTGCGACGAATTTCAATGGAATCCGGACGATTTGGTCGTCCGTCATATCCTATGCTATTGTATGCCGAGTCTTGATTGCTCATGGCCGAATTTGGTGTACGATAAATTACATCATTTGGCATCAACGTTTCACCATGACCAATGGCAATTTGACGCTGCTTCTCACGAGTATTATGTGGCGTACGCACTTTACGATTGTTACGCTTACCTCCGGCTGTTTCCGTTCGTGGTCGATGCATCTAAATTGGAGGAAACAGATTGTTGTTTAGTATTGCATTTTTCGGGGCAATTGAATAATAATAATCTGGGTCATGTTTTTACCTTCTTTCCTTTATCATGCAAGAACCGTTCGGTGTCTTTCAGCATTTCTTGTCGCCAGAGTTCGAAGAAGTAATTTGGATCAGTATAGAATTTAAGGCCATCTTTGCCGTCATCACGATAGCAATTCAATTTGTCTAATGGCGGAGGCTTATCGCATGTCTGTGGATATAATAAACAAGTGTTAGATCTTTTCCGAAACAATTATATTGAAAAAAAAGTCAAGTGTCTAACTCACCAAATAAGTCGCAAGCATCGCAACTGGCATGGTGGCTCGTGAGAAGATTTGTTGATCAAACTGCGTAGCACTTTTGAATGCTTTCTTCATTTGGATATCCTGCAGTGATACTTCCTCAACGTTGCTATCTAATTGCGTAACTTTGATGGCCAATCGATCGATACGTGCTTGAAGTGAATTCGACCGTTCAGACAATTGGCCAGCTTCACGAGCTAATTCTCCAAATAAATCCTCTGAGTGTTTTGATAGCGACGATAACTGTCGTATGATGTTGGTAAGCGTTGTATTTGTCACCGTTTCCAATTCGGTCGGTTCGGGGATATCCTCTCGGGGATACACCGACCGAGCCACAAAAACGGGCTCGATGATACGTTTTGGCAATGGCATCTTTCCACTGTGATTCGCAACTCAATTGAAATGTCGTTAAAGTATTTTGTAGGAGGTCGCGTTTTGATTTAACACCACACGTTTTCCATTTAAATTGTACGAATAGACCCGTCTACATGATACAAAATGCTTTCCTGGAAAATAGAACAGAACGAAACCGAAATGTCAGTATATGATTTCAAACTTTATTGAACAAAATACAGAGATTGAAACTAAATTTACCGAAGACGATAAAGTTTCTCGTCTTTCAAATACAAAATCAACAACATCTATAACTCTATTGGTAATGACGGCCACGTCCGCACTGAAAGGGTAAGGAACTGCAAATGATGATGTGCAATGGCAAGAAGGCCGAGAAAATATTATTGAGTCGTGTTTTGTGCAGAGAGTAAAAAAAAGTAGCGGCGCATGTCTACGAATTGCAATGACATTCGAGAAAGAGAAGAAACAATGTTTTGCGCCACGCGAAAATGGTAAGAAAATCAATTCACTCGTAAGCCGAAATTAGAGGTTGCTTTCGCCTGCACAATTGCCAAAGGAAAAAAAAAACAGCGCGGCTACAATGAAAATACTACAGCCATACACATGCATAAGCTTATCGCGATGGCATAGCGTACGATCCGATGGACGCACTAATACGTTTGTCTCGTTTTTCTGTGCAGTGCAATGGCGCGCGCGAACTGCATGCTTTGTCGGCTAAATCGCCCGTGTGACAACGGTAGGTAGGTATTTTGTGTATACACTGTGAAACCTGTTCGAAGAACCTGGTAATTGGATTAATTCGACTTTTGGTTTTCTTTTTGTTTTTGACGAACGGAAACCAGCCACCGTGGAGTTAATAATTGCAAGAAAATTCCACATGGCAATGACATTTTGCAACGTAATCAATTCCGATTTCGACGAGCGAGCTCGGATCGAGCAAGTGTCGATAGTTTCCTTGTGAAAGTGACAAGTTTTGCTTGAGCCACGACCAAAAGTTACAAACAGTTTGCTGCAATTACCAGTTAAGTAACATCAAATTGTATCAAATCGAATGCCTAGAAAGTGGTTTGCAAAGTGAATTTTTACTGCACAATCGCTTGATCGGAACGACAAATCAAATCTCTATCCCTCTCTCTCGCATTTCGATTTGGAATACGTATAAATTATCGGCATTGCCGCATTTAGTGATTTTCCATTAGAGACAGAGATAGAGAGTAAGCATCACAGATTAATTAAACATTAATTCAATCGATAGGGCATTATCTCGATAATATTCGGCTGAATATTTCAACATGCATTTTATCATCAATGCGACCCGTAAGCGCCGATGTGAATCGAAATGCGTTTCGACGATAACTTCAATCCCCAAATCACCATTAAAAATTCAATGCGAGTCGCATTTTTGTCTACTTCAGTTGATGATACATCGTTGAAATTCTTGTATTCATACCGTGCTCCAAAACATCTGTCAAAATTTGGTTTTCAAATTTTTCGATGAATTTTGTTGAAGCATCACCATAGTTTAAAGTAAATATGTTATTTGTCGGAATTCTAAAAATAGTTGGCTGCCAACGTGTTCGGTTATTATTCAAAACTGGAATGAACGTCATGAAAATTTGCGATAGCGTCATTATCGAAAATGCACTGCATTCCGCGCATCGTTTTTGCATGGGTAATGGAAAGCCATTTAAATTAGCGGTCATAAATAAATGGTTTTCGTTGAGTTATCGCCCAACATACATACAAGGTCTATTAACCTACAATTGAGCCACATCAGCTAAATCAAATGCATGATAAAATTTAAGAAGCCGTGAAGTTTATCCGACCAATTATCGATAAAACACAACAGAACAAATAAAGAAACGAAAGACAGAAAGAAAAACATGATCGCTTGTTTTGTCTTCCCCTCACCGTTAAAAACAACAAGAAATAAATTGATTGACGTTGCGATTACACGCACGCACATTGGTTAATATGACTGGAAACTGTGTGAAAGAGGAAGAGCCACTGTCTCGAATTGAATCGAGAATAAATGCTATCTGGGCGATGAAAGACGATGTAATACACGAGGCAGCATGCGATTGCGTTAGAATGAATAAATATATATCGAGAGTTAGGTTTCAATCATAAGAAATAATAAAAATGAATACATTTCATGCTTTTGCTCTCTAACGTGCTGCATTTTTTTCATTATTTACCGCACCCAGCTGCAGATACTGCTGATATGATAAGTTTTAATAACAAACACGGCGATCTATTATGTCTTATTTCGTTGTTTTGCTTTTGTGCGCGTTGTGGGTTTGTACGAGGCGCTGCACCGAGAAACAACCACACATACTCTACATCAAAGACTTTTAAATGATAATTATTTTAATTATTTTGTTTCACTGAGCATTTTTTTTCCTTCTACGTTGCATGACATGCATCTTCTTCGCACTCTGCACGCTGTACCTATTACACTGGGCTAAGATTTTTAATATGTCTGCCGTAGACGGCAATCCATAGAAAGTTTGAAAGAAAAAAAATTCTGCGCTCTGGATAATTTCGCACACACACGAATACAAATTCATTGTAGCTTAATTAATTTCGTTAAACAGAAATTTATGATTTTGCGTTGCAACAAACAGCAAACAAAATGCGCGCAGAAGATGCGTTCTCGCCATTATAAAATTTACGATGCAGCCGATTTCAGTTTTTAATGGAAATGGGAACGAATTTTATGCATACACATGTTTGTATGAAGAAAAAATTCAAATCTATTGGATGAGCAACTACGCTGAACATTAACGGAACTTGAGTGGATTACTGCATCCACCTCTTGTTCGGCCATCGCATCATCGAATATTTGTGATTTATAATAACTCCGCTGAAAATTAGTCGCAATTGTAAAAATTGACTTGGCATCGAACAAATATCGTATTTACAAAAACGACAGACGTTTTGTTTTCAATTTTCGTGCGAATTCTAATTCAAAAACAAAATTATGCGAACAAAACACATTTTCTACCCAATTAACATTCAAATAGATGCTATTAGTAAGAAAATAAGTCCCACGATTAAAAAATGGGAGTGAAAGGCGAACAAAGCGGTTAACAAAAGTACACAAAAACAGAGGTAAAAATCAATTTTAATTGTGTAATCGGCATATAAAACTATGCATACTCAATTATTGAACTATTTGTCTCTTTTTTCTCGTTCAAAAAATTGTTCACCTCAGAATGACATCACACTTCGTTTCGACTAATAAAGTACCAGCCACACTACGAAATGGAGATGTATTTGAAAATTGAAAGAATTCTATTTGATCTGTGTTTGAGCTATTTCAATAAAACTTAACTCGTGCCACAAAGGAGCAATTCGCATGAGCTCTCAAGTTGTCATTCAACAGAATATCGGCTATAAAAGAAGAACATTTGGCACGTTGGCATCATACTCTTTGTTCAAGAAAAGTGGAAATTAAGTGGTCAAACTAAGCCCAATTCGATAATTTTATCAAAATGGAACGTTTTTTGTTGAGCACTTTTGCCGGATTCGCTTTGATGCAGGTAAAATTTTATTTAAAATTCTTTAAAAAAGAAAATCGATAATTTCAGTTTGTAACAAAAACAGTTGAATTGAATGAAAATATTTTTTCTCTAACACTAGTTGGCTTTAGCTGAGCTCGCAATTGACTCCGAAAGCAATCGAAATAGCATCATCGACATTGATGGTAAAGTTGACGATGAAGGATTCTATATGGGGGGAAAATATGGAATTTGGCCGGAAAATTTAATTGAACCGGTACAAAAATTAAAGTGTTAATTCTCTTAAATGTAATATTTTTTGTGTTGTTTTCGATATATTCACATTTCCATTTTTTTTTTCGATTTTTGGCAAAGGGAGAGACACCAAAGATAGTTTCACTAATTTATTCTATTGTTTCCTAATGTATGCTCTTTTTGCTAGTTTCCCTCAATAAAAGTGCTATTTTTTGCTAATATTTCCTATGTGCAACGTGACAGTTTGACAGTTCACGTACAAGTAACACTCATCAAGTTATTGTTGTATGCTTGGAAAGAAAGCAACAAAATTATATTTTGGCAATTTTTCTAATGTTATTTCATAGAAAAGAACAAATTGTTCCATTTAATTTCATAAAATAACTCGAAAACTTTGTTTTAAACGGTTTAAAACAGTAAATAACAAATCGCTATTTCTTCAATAATATTGCTATTTTTTGCTATTTTTGCTATTTTCCTCTAGTATTTATATGAACTTCAAAAAAATAGCTAATGGTGTCTCTCCCCATGATTTTTGGCTACTGCAATTTCTATTGTTTTTTTCTCCTCTTTTTTTCAATCTGTATTTTTTCAATAATAGATGTGGTTGAAGAAACCGGTATGCTCCAATCCAAGGAATTTACTAGAGAATTTGGACTATTTGTCGGGAATAATCAGTTCAGTAGAGCTCTACGATATTATTGATCCAGAGTTGATCAAAACATTGCAATCAAGTGTCGTCGTGAAACAAAAGGAGCTTATTGAACCAATGGAGCACTTAGTAGCAATTGCAAAAGCGTATGAAGATGCATTGAATCCAGCTGCAGATCAGGCGGTCGCAAAGCTTGCAAACATGACCGACGCAATTACTTTTGATACGAAGACCGCTAATCTGTTTGATAGTCAGATCGAAGACGTCAAAAATGATCAAGTTACAGAGGGTTGCAAGGAAGTTGAAAAGGCTGATGAATATCTGAAAGGTTTCAATACCATAATCGAGGAGAGCAAAAAAAATTACGCAATCGCTGTGTCACCTAATTTATTGCAAATCACCAATGAAATTGAGGAGCTCAGTAAAAAATACAATGAAGCCGACATCAATTTCGAGGCAGCCAAACAAGAGATCGAAAAGCTTGAAACGATAATCAAAACCGAAACGGAGGCTGTCAAAAATAATACCGGCGGTTTGAAATTGGAAGAGTTTGTACAACGCATCAAAGAAGAGGGATGCAAATGTGAGGAGTTCTTTGAAGGCTTCCACGGTAAATTCGTAAAACTTTTGAAGAAATAATTTTTTTTTTAATTCAAACTAAGTTGAAGTTCAAACTTGCTTCCTTTAAAGATTTGTCTCATTTAATGGTATGAAAAGACTTCTGTAAATGAAGACATATGTCAAAATTGGTGCTTAGTTTAAAAATACAGTTTAATAAATTGACATCAAAGAAATAATGACATGAGTTTTATATTTTCTTGGGGTAGACATGGCTCGTTTGTGTGCAATATGTAAAAATTCTTACCATTTATACTACGTCAAACACTTCACAGTTTTTTCAAACCTTCTATGTGTTCACCAATAAATGTGTATTTTGTTGTCACATCCGAAGCTGTTTTTTAGCACTACATGAAATGTAGAGCTACTAATCTGCGTTTTTTTTTCTAATACTTTTTCGAGCCATGAACAGAATTAGAGTGGCTTTCAATTTTATGCTCATATTTTTTATTCAATTCAAACTAGTGGCAGTAACGACAAATAAGTGCATAGTATCTCGAAACGCTAATCAAATTTTTATTATCAAATGTTATTTAAAATTTACATTACTTTTTCCTTTTTTTGTATAGTACTCTTTTACCCTTTAGTATAAGTAATGGTTGAGATAAATTCTCTGCGCATATTATTTATTTGATTTAAAGGAGTTACATTAATGAAGAATAATGAAGAAAAAGTTCATTTCGTGGATTTACAAATAATTTTAACCAAACTGAAATTACAATTGGAATTGACATTCAAATCACAAATATAATTCAAAGACTACTTTAATAAAATACATTTCATGTAGTGCGCCAATAAAATAGTTTGTTGTGGAACAACAAAATAGAAAAAGTATCTATAAACTCAAGAACGCAGAGCGGAGCAGAGCGACGCTCTGCGGTCTTGTTCATATATCGTTGACGTTTTGCACTTGTGATCAAATTTGTAGGTGTGTGATGCGCATTGCATACATCCATCGGATGAATATGGAGAGTTCATTGACTAAATAGATTACAATTGGCGATTAAATTTGTTTCCTCGAATATGAAAATCTCAGTAGATGCGTTCTCGCCATCATCAAATTTACAATGCAGCCGATTTCAGTTTTTAATAGAAATGAGAACGAATTTTATGCATACAAATGCATAACGCAAAAGTTCAAATCTATTGGTTGAGTAACTACGCCAAACATTACCAAAACTTAAGTGGATTGCTGCATCCACTTCTCGTTCCGTTCACTCATGAACCGTCGCATCAATATTTGTGATTTACGATTACGCTGGTGTAAATAAATGGTAATTGTGAAAAGAGACGAATCGGCATCAGACAAATGCGTAGTTTGGAGGGAAAATGTAATACAGAAAAATTGAGCGGAAAAATGTCGATGATGAATGAGCGGAGAAGAGATAGCTATATAGATAACTGTATAGTAAACTCTAGTGAATTATATAGCTATCTCTTTTCATTTGACATTTTCCATGCAACTGTATTACTTGTTCGCTCCAAACTACTCAAATATCAGTTTTTGCAAAAACAACATACGTTTTTTGTTTATTTGGCGTTCAATTCTACCGCGAACAAAAACGTTTTCATACCCAATTAACATTCAAATAGATGTTATTAGAATCAAAAAGTGTCGACAACAATGTGTCATTGAAATGGGAGTGAAAAAGACGAACAAAGCGCCAGATAATAGTACGCAAACACAGCGGTAAAAATCTAATTAAATTGAGTTTTCGGCCATATGAATTATGAAACTATGCAAACTCAATCAATAAACTCTTTGTCTCTCCTTTTCTCTTTCAATGGAATTGTTTACCTCAGATTGACATCAGTTTATACTTCGTTTCGACCAATAAGGTAGTGAAAAAGTTATACAATCGCTATGTCTCCTACTCTCCTGGCGGTTTGGTTTGGAAAAAGACATCAAACGAGAGGGACGCAAAAGTGAAGCGATCATTGAAGGCTTCCATTGCGAATTTGTAGAACTTTTGAAGAATTAAATTTTTTAATCAAACGAAGTGTAAGCTCAAACTTCGTTTAAACAATTTTCTCATCGAAGAGTATGAAAAGAATTCTGTAATTAAACCCATATATCAAAACCGAACATGTTTGGGCTTGCAATAAACATGCAGTTTAATAAATTGGCATCAAAGAAATAATGGCATGCATTTTATGTTTTCTTGGGATAGACATGGCTTGTATATGAGCTGTCATTTCAAACGCATTTAGCTTGTAAAATGTGAGTACAAGCATATTACGAACTGGTAACAGTTAATTTGATTTCATATTCTACAAAATGTTCAACCGCAATTTAAACGCATCTGTGGCTTATGGAACCACACACTCAATTGAGTTGTATCAAATGGCTTTGCGCTTACTTTTTGTCAGCATAATAAAAACGGGGGAGAGAAAAAAACCGTTGACGAGAATGAACTGAACTCAAACTAAAATCGATAAATCGAATATTGAACTAACATTGGATTGGAAAGCTACTGTCAACTTTTATTAGAAAACTTCAGAACTTTCATTCAACTGTTCAATTCAGTTTACGTTCGATTTTGTTTCCAATTACGTTCACGTCATCTGTTTCACAAAGTTGTTCAAGGATGGAAAATTGCGAGCAATTTAATACGAATAACATTCATTCGGTTTGAAAACCATTCATTAAAATGGAACGTCATTTGTTCATCGTTTAAAATCCAAAAGTAGTCAAAATGTATAAAAATTTCGAAAAACTTTATTAGTACGTCAAGCTTATGTTTTTCAACAATTTGTTTTTCAACAAATTGAGTGACTTTATGAGCAGATATTTTTTTATAAACCTAGGGCCATACAAATCAGTTCGTAGTATTTTGGTCCATCGTTATGAACGATGATTGTAGGAGAATGTTTCTATCTTGAGGAAAGAAATACACTTAAACTTTCAATAGTGGATTATTGGCATCCTGTGCCATTCATGATTCGGTTTATATAAGTTTTTTCCATTTTGATTCACCGATTTTTTTATGTTTTTCCTTCAATAGCTTTAATTTAAAATTGCACCGCCAAGAATTGCAAAGTGAGCAAAACTGTTCAGAGAGAGCTTCAAAGTTTGTATAACTTTCGATTCAATTTCAATGGTGGTGAATGTTTTGAAGATGGATAATGTTTCTCTTTTGATATTGTTTCGATGTGTTTTGTTTCATTAAATATGGATTGGATTATTTGAAGAATTTTCATAGGAAATCCACCTTTGAAGACAAAGGTGCTATCAAAACCAAACACTCGGAAAAGGTACAGACGTAAAAAAGGTTTCAGCAACACTTTGACTGGAAAATTCTTGGTGATTTGCTACGAAAGATGTAGTAGCTAAACTTTAAAAATTGAAATGTTCAAATAAATGTAGTCTGTCAATGGAAGCCGCTGTGAGAATTCTTTGACTGTAGCGCGACTAGATTTCAGACATTTAATCACTTACAAATATGTCAGAAACAATGCAAATTCTCTTCAAGTAAATAATTTCGATAAAAAAAATTTAAACTTCGTTTTCGGTTATCATTGTTCGTCCAAAAAATTGTCTTTTTAGCAATATATAAAAGAAATATTCCTACAATTATATACCACGTCAAACACTTCAAAGTTTTTCAAACCTCAAAATGTATATGTTCACCGTTCAAAGTGTTCTTTGTTGAACGGAAGATGTCACATTGGAAGCTTGACGTTTTACTCTTGTGATTGAATTTGTAGGTGTGTGATGCGCACTGCATACATCCATCGGCTGAATATGGAGAGCACAAATGTGTGATTGTGGGAATGTGAGCAATTTTGATGTTAGTCAGCCAACGGTGCTGACACGGGCCGGTTGACGGAAAAGGTCAATTGACTAAATAGATTACATTTGGCGATCAAATGAGTTCAGCGAATATAAATGGCTTTATAAAATAACAAGTGCGAGAGTACAAAGTTTGCTCAATCAAAGTGCCTTCATTGAATGTGTTTGTCGGCATTTGTCTGTCTGATATGGTTACTCCGTTTGTTTCATCCGCCCGAATGGGAGATTGCAACTACGCAATTCGGAAAAAAATTGTCTGTGTTGACAAAATGCCGAAATAGCCATAGCGAATGTGGAGTACATTCGAAATGAGGCGACTACACAATATGCAATTACCGGACATGAGCGTAAATACGAGAGTTGAGTCAATCACGTTTTGTTCATTTGTTGCTGATTTAGTAGATAAAGAGACAAGCAAATCTCTCATTTGTTGACAAAAATTGTTTACTGCCCAGAATGATGGGACTAAACGCAATTAGATTAACATTCACAGTGGCATAGGCAAACTGTTTTTGATGACATAAATACGAAAGGTATTTGTGAGTCGATTACAAAAATATGCATGACATTCGTTCGGCGAAGAGACGAGAGAGAAAAATGCAAACAACACAACACACAACACATCATTACGTGCACTTTACTATTCAATGCATTCGAGTTCACTCCACACACAATTATTGTTATTCACAAAATGCAACGATTAGAGAAGGGGACTTATAATCGACGGCATTTTCTCTTTTTTCCCATTTGCCAGTTCTACGAAAAAGAAACACATTTACCGCATATTTAACGCACTACGTATGAAAAACAGCGCAAAAATGGGCATCCACAATTGATAAGATTGTATTCAGAGTTCCGAACAGCAAACGTTTGAAAATTGACCGATTTGAAACAAACAAACAAACAAACAAAAAATGTTAAAACGGATTTCGACTTGACATTATTAATTCATATGTTATAAATATATCTGTGTGATGCCGTATTTGTACACATTAAAACGTACGACATAGTAAATCGCCTTTTTCGTGGAATCCATGTTATTCGCCATACGAACATTGGCTACACATTTTTTTTCTCGTCTCTTGCTCATATGTGACATTTTCGGTTATCGTTGATTCGTCTTTACCTCATTTTCGGCACGATTGAATAAACGCATTTTTGTTGTTAGTCATCTATCAATGAGTATTTTTCATGAAATTATCAAAAAGATTGACCAGCCACAAATGGTCTCAGTTATCCATTGAGAATGTTATCGTGTTTACTCTCTGTCGTTCAAATATTTCGGCTGCCCGAAAATTCCGGAGCCATGCAAGACGATGAATAAATTGTGGTCATTCTTATTGTGTCGTGTGTGGCTTCTATTCGTTAATATTGTCACACAAGTCGCATTTTGCACATTGAATAAACACAGTGTTCTGTCACGAGAGATTATTTGTTGGGTGCGGACGTAGAGTGTCATGACTAATTTCTCCGTTTTTTCTCTTTTATCTTTTCGCCTGAAGTCGACTTCATTTATCATCCATTCCATAAGCGATAAAATGCATTTTACACACTCTGTTTCCTGTTCGATTACTTACACAATTGGCTCTCTCGAATTTCCAATATTATTTAGCACACTAAACTGATGTATAACTTATCTATATTTCGTATTTTTTAATTCCTTTCCATTCACATGCAAATTAAACCCACAGAGCACCACTCAACATCTCTTTCTATGGAAAAGTCACCGCTCACACAAACACTTCGTACATAAAAAAAAAGTTCACCTTTTTAAATTGCGCTCATCTATACACCATTTGTGAGTAACAATTATTTACTTTTTATCGAATTTTCCAATCGATTATTCCACTGGGAATGTTCTCGTGCAAATCACGGCCAATGTATACTTTTTGTACGTTTGCCAAACTAGGTAATGTTTGATAGAAATCTGTTTCTTTTGCAGCAGACACAAAAAAATTAAATTTTCTTATGAGAAACTCCGCACATCACCTTAAGTTGTACTATTGTATGCATTATACAACATTACTACTAACACTAGTTAGTGCTGGTTGTTTGTATGACTACGACTACGACGTCGACACAATGACGGCCGCTACTGTTGCTGTAAAACAGAGCCGAGAAGAGGAAAGAAAACAACAACAACACCACCAACCAAGAGAATTATTGAGTTGGAGAGAAAGAGCGTCTGTGCGTGTGTGGCATATACAATATTGAGCGATGAATTTTACTACTCTTTCCTGCCTGCATATTCATGGGTGTGCGTGTTTATGTGCATAAATGCGCGTGTCTGCGTGCTTGTGTGTATGTGATGAACCTCTTGAGAATCGGAGAATTTAGCACTAAAAACATGGAGATTTGCGGCGAATTCGAATATCGTATCGAATTTTATCCGATTCAAATGGGTGTGAATGACATTCACTTCAATTTGTTTACCTTTGACATTTTTTCATTTAAATGGTTTTTTCTCGCTGACGTCTGAATATAATAAAGGCATTTATTTCCGTCACAATTCTGGTTAGTCATTTTTCTTTCTCGGTGGCTAACCTAAAATCGTCTGGATAATGAACAATGTGACGTAGGGCGAAAATACGTACGTGGTAACACCATCGCACTTCTCTTCATGGTATTTTATTTCGATTTCGATTTGCCGCATGATAGCGCTTTCCTACCGTTTCATTTTGAGTGAAATAATTTTGTGCAGTAAAATTAGAGAAATGTAACGAATCTTTATTGTGAATATTATTTAAAAAAAAATATATACGCTAGAGTTATTCCTAAACTTATGATTGATGATAACTTTTCTTTCGTTTTTTTTCTTCTTTTTTATCTATCGGTGACACATCATCCATGGTTGATACTTTCCATTCTGTTTCATTTTCTATATTTATCATGTCGTTTGCTTTGCTAGAGGTTTCGCACGCCTACAATCAATCCATCGACGGCATTTGCCCCGGCTTTTTTCAAAAACTCAGCGACTTCCTCTTTTCTGAAGGATGGAAAGATTTGAGCTGAGCGAAATATTATAATGAGCCTGAAGATAATGCAAACTTACACTCCAACTTTGACGATACCATGGTTTATTTGTGCCAACACCTCCTTAGTTGAATTCTTCAATTCTTCCACTTCTCGCCGAATTGCTTTATTATCTTCGACTCATTTGTCCATTTCCGCCTTAGTATCTGCGACCAATTTGTCCATTTTCACCTCCAATTCTTTTCGCATTTCATCCTTTGCTTTGGCTTCGGCATCTAACCGTGCTTGAATTTCATTCAATTGTTCTTGAAAGGTGAGTTCTGCAGACATCGTTCGACTGAGAAAAAAGAAAAAAAATCGTTTTTAATATGGGATACAATGCATGTATGCGCACATTTGAACCAATTTCGCTATGGTTACATAGTGTCTTGTTTGAAAAAGACAAAACGAAATTCGTTGTCATCGAATATTTATTCTGGTTGTACGGGCAAAGTTTCATAGAATGTTAATATGGCGTATATAAAATATGCGCGAACAGAACTCACGCCAATAATCGTTTGAAAAAATCGAAATATTCTACGTAAATCCGATCTAATTTTTTGGTTTGTATCGAGAAAACGTTTCTCAAATGATGTAAAAATAGTTTGCAGAAAGGGAAAAGTTGCTTACACAATGAATTTTCACAAAGGAAAAACCAATTAAAATTGTTTGATTAGAACAGAAGACCCTTAGCACGACTATTCGTTGAAGAACTTCAAAATAAAATGAACACCATGAACTTCGAAATGAACACCATGCACTTGTAATACAAACAATAACAACGCTTAGTTTTGCAGCATCAAAACAAAAACAGTTTCATAGGAAGTTTCAGTGTGCGAATAAAACGCAACGATATCTGGTGTGAGGCGAGACCACCATATGTTTTATACCACACAAAATTGACGTTGTTCATCCATACGACTGCAAAACTGTTGTGAGACTTTGAAATTTTCACTAATTCACCCCGTACATTTTTTGTTCAGAAAAAATTGATTTCGATCATGGAATTGTTTAGCAAAATTGTGGATTCTAAAATGAGAATTGCTCATCAAATGTTTTCAATAAGTTCATTTCATTTCAGAAAAATGGTCGTGAAAGCCAAGCGATTTTCTGCCATGACAAATGCACTACACTGTGGACGAAGCATTCGTTTGATAGAGAGTTTGTCGCACTGTGAATCGTCTTCAAAATTTGTCAAGAAAATTACATGCAATATTTATTATTTGGCTCATAGGCTGCAAGGTCCATGTGTTGATTTCTTAATCTGTCCTGGCTAATGAATGAATAAAAGAGGAAAAGTGAAAAAATAACTTGAAAAAGAAATTCTTCATTTTGAAATTGATCTATGCATATCCGATGTGTGTTTCTCTAGATCAATTTTTGATTGACAAATCGATTTTCTTCAGGAAACAAATTACAAAACGTTGAATGCATTTTTTTTCGATACAAGATAAATCCTATATTTCACTTAAAGATAATGGACAGGATTCAACTAATAATGTGTAATAAGCGAGCAGCGTTTCAAAGCATGTCTTTGCGAATTCTTCTCTAAGTTTTAATCCGGCATCGTAAACACTATTCCGAGCGGTGGCCAAGTGAATCGATCCCTTATTTAAAATGGTCACAATGTCCAAGATGAATTGGTGAGGTATATGCTCAGCGTACGGTTTCGTCACGAAACATCTCAATGACTTGACAATCGATGGTTTCGTCTAATACAATTTCATCAATGCCACGATCTTCAATCGTACACACTCTCGATGGGAACAAAAATTTATCTAACGTTCCGGAGAGTATAGGCCAAACATCAGCAAATGACTCTGGATACTGTCGAGCCACTGGCAATCCAACATGCAGAACAGCCAGCAAACTTTCGATTGCTAGTTTCCAAGTGCTCGATGTCATGCATTTGTACTTCATTGCCAATGGAATTTTCAGAGTGTTGATTATCTCTAGCAAAATGCGCTCTTCAATTACAATCGGATCGTTGGCACATTGTAAATAAATTTTGACAGCAACATTCATTGCCTTTTCACCAAATGAAATGTAGTTCATGCTAACCCATTCGATTGTCGAGTGATTTTGATTGTGCTGATGTTGATTTCGATTCGATTTGTAAGGCCTGTGGTGATACAGAAAAAAATGAATTGGGAATTAAATCAAGCGGAATGGATGATTGATTTCAAGGGAATACACACCTAGTTTCAAGACGATCAAACGTTGGTGGCACAGAGGCGAATTTACTGAAATTTAGCAGCTGACTAAAAATAATTGCATTCATTGATTTTAATGGGGATGAAGGAGGTAGAACTTCTTTGCACAAAATATCCATGCACTCAAGCACACCGTCATGCAACGGAGTTAGAAGCGAGTCCGAAATGGTTATACATTATATATGGCGTTGAATCACTATGCACGGGAACAGCTACGGCATTCATTAGCACAGTGCACAGTTGGCGAAGGTCGTCTTCAGTGAATCTGTCGGAATGGAATGAAATTGTTAGTTTTTGAAAATAAAAATAACCCGTGGCATTGGCCAGTAATTACTAACTTGTGCACTTTCCATGCAATCTGCAACAACATTTGTTTCGGTTTATTTTCAATTTTCATTAAATGTCAATTTTATTTTCTCGGCTTACATTCCAAATGTCCATATTTTCCGTGCCATTAATATCGATTCCTTCAACTGGCATTTGCTTTTCCATGTCATCGTCGTGCTCATTGCTCGGTTTGTTGTAGAGAATTTCTTGGAACGATTTCAAAGCGGCCAAAGAGACTCCATTACTTTTGCTTAAAGCAGCGTTTTCAATGAACTCCAGTAGCAGCGACCACGCCCGAATGAAATCGCCGAGCGTTTGTAGCATGTGCCGTTTGGTATTGAATACTCGCGACACACCTGATAAAGTTAACACTTGAGTTTCGGCCCATTGCTTTTGTGCCGTGTTTCGTGAGTGATGAATTAAAATATTCCCGGTGGTATCGACCTTTTCACTGCTCGCCGAACTCGATAGACTTCGCACCTTATCCAACAGAGGAAACAGAACTTGCCACAATACTGATTGCCATGTCGGCGGCATCAAGAGATTCCCATGGGCTGAAATGGTTAAAAACAGTGTTTTTCCTGCCGATTTTCGCACTGCAGGTCGTGAATCGACGCACAAGTCGCCAAGACGAGCAAATAAGCACATCCACAGCTTATCAAAGTGCGGTATATTTAGAGTGCCCGGGAAATCGGGCAAAACAGTTTGATCTTCGGACACGGTTTGTGACAGCTTATCTTGGTTTTGATTGGAGTAGTCGGAAATGTTCCACTAGATAAGTTATTGGAAAAGAAGAAAAAATGATCCGATCAGTTGAGAAAAACATAATTCATCGCAACTAACCATCAAACCGACAGCTGTCAGAGAAATATTCAGTTCCTGCGTTTGAGATCCGAATTTAGCTGCCGTGTTGACAGAGCGCCAAGGCATAACGGGCAAAAAGTCGGTTACAACTAATTGCAAGCATTGGAATGCTATTCGAATCAATGCTTCGCCATGGCGATCATTAACAGCGCCAATGATGCCCAAAACTAAAGGCCATCCATGAGTCAATGTTTCGCCAGCTCCATTTAATACTTGTAAAACACATTCCAATTGCCGTTGACGAACGTCGCCATGCGGTACAGACGACAGCTCAGCCAATGGATTCAGAAGTAATGTTTGCAGCGTCTGTTTGGAAAAAACAAAAGAAAAACATTGATTGTTACAAATGGTTTCGTTTTATTTTAATGAAATCTGTTTTGTTACTTTGACTCACCATATTATCCTTTAGTGGTGTTTCGTATTTGTATTGCAGTGCTGCTTTCACGAGATACGTAACCGCTTCTACGCCCCACTCACGCATTCGAATATGTGGATGTTGGCACACTTCCAACAAGTGATTTGTTAGCGGTCGCCACAATACTTCGATGCGAGGTAGATTCACTAGACCCGTTTCCAATAGCTTTGCCACAGCGAATAACGACGGTTCCTGCGAAAATCAATTCAAACAAGAAATATAAACTTTTCCACCTCGAACATTATAAGGAGTGAGTAAATTTACCCGATTCGAATAAGCCAACTCCATTGCCTCTTGTGATAGTTTACACAATGCATCGATTAAATGATGTAGCGCAACATCATCCAAGTACTGACTAGATTCGAACAATTGACTCAGCATTTGAGATAGAACGGGCAAATCGGCCATAACCGATGTGGTTATTCCAGCTGTTGCATCGGTGGACAATTTTGGCACAACCTGTAAACTTCCTCCCGTCGACGGTTTCAAACCCAATATCCAAACTAAATGTTGCAATGTTGCGAGCACAATATGCCAAGAGGTGCCCAATATACACCCATGGCAATGGGCCAAATGTAGCATCGCTCTCATGCATTGCAAATTTTTAGCCGTTAACATAACCGGTCCTTGTTGTGCGCCAATTGGAAGCGATGTTGTTGGCAAAGGCGTTCCAACAGCCACAACTTGATGACGAAAATCATTTTCGCCGCATGACGATGTCATATATTGATGATTTAGGTCTTGGCTCGGAGAACGAGAATGAGCTACAAATAAAAGAGATACATTTTAATGCAAATTTATTTTAATAAAAACTTTTCCGCAACTTATCGAATATTTCTACTTGAAATACGAAATTATTGAATACGTACTTATGATGCCCGAGAATTGATAGCCCATATTCAGAACTGACAATGCATAATGCGGAGGTAAGGATGAGCGGCAAATTGCTGTTATGAAAGCATCTCGTGGTGTTTGAATATCTATTCGGTAAGGGGAAGGTTTGCATAAGTTATGATGCTAAGTTGTTTTTTTACCTATTTGCATTACCCAATGTACCGCATAGTGCGGCATAGTTTTGCATTGCCTTCAAAACATTCTCAGTAACTGATTCATCGGTAGCCGCATCAATTAGAGGAGTTAAAGCAGCCAGCAGACCGCACCAACTCGATGTTATCAGTTGGGCGTGTAATTGTCGATCAGCTTCAGATACGTTATCCTTGTACGGTGTAGGTTTCTCCTCTCCAATCTGAAAATTCGAACAGAAACTCAGTTAATAATTCAACTTTAACTTTGAGCGAATATAATTATAGTTTTGAACTGATATTATTCAAAAAGTTGTACGAAAAATACGAGCTTACCTTCGATGGACCAAGAACAGCCAACGAAATCGATCGAACAATGTCCAGAAGGCAAGCGTATGCCACGGAAATTCCAAATCCATCCGGTATTGGTGGTGGTTCAACTTTGTCGAGCATCTCCAAGCTATTAGAGTCAAAAATATCCATATTAACAGTATTCAAAGATGAAAAAACGATGCATATTTGATACATACAATGTTGATTTGGATTGTCCGGTTGGGAATGTAACAATAAGCGGCAGCCAGACACTTCTAAATAGGAATCCGGCTTGTTGTGATGCGCCCGGTACCATCGGTAATGTGCTCATCATCGGCAATGTTTGAGTGGGTGTCGAAACAGCTGCAAATACAAAATTGAATATGATATAACTATTTCCATCAGAATAATTTCGCATCTTCTGACACCGTACCATTAACACTATTCGAGTGTGTTGGTGCGAATAGGCTTTGAACGTAGGCTCCGAGTGAGTTGATGATATCTTGAAAGATGTTCGTTGCATGATCCTTTAAATCGTAACATTGGCAAAATGACACGAGCAGCTCCGGCTGTACGGTCATTTTATGAATGACTTCGAGTGCCAAGGAGCGTTGCCAAGCAGGTTTATCCGGATCCAAAAACTTAACGATTAAAGATAGAAATATTTCGCACTCAGTCACTAAAAGGCGGTGATATTTCTGTATTAGAATCGATACGACACGCAATAGGCGCATGCTAATAGGAAAATATGGTTTGTCCAACGCAACTGGTTGCTGAGGATTTGTCTGAACAACGGTTCGGTATTTGATATTCGGTGAAAAGAGTTTGATCACAAGCGCGCACACCCGTTCTTTTAACAGGAACGAGAATTCGGGATGCTTGAAGAAAACCGGGGAAAATGTGGTCAAAACCGTTTCCAGAAGTTCCAACCCGAATGTGCGAGTCATTTCGGTCATTCCAAGCAAGAACCATGGCTGATCAGCATTCACAAGCTGTACCAAGTCTTGGAACAGCAAAAATGCATCGGACGCACACACGTTGAGTCCTTTTGGTGCTTGGCCAGGGGCTTGTTTCAATTCTTCAATATTCACTTCTTGTATCGGTTGCTCTTCTGACGTTGAGGCTTCCGATTCCTGATCCTCAGTAATGACTCGTTCGAACACCAGTGAAACTAATTGCCGCACCGTGGCACCGGCCGTATTTATCGTTGTCGAATCTTTGGTGAAATGCAAACGAAAGCATAAAACAAGTGCTTTGGCCAGTGTTTCACCGTGCACAACGCTATTTGTCGTCAGTAACAAAGTAACCGTTTGCAACACTTTAACTTCTTCCGTTCCATGCTCCATTAACATCCACAGAGTATCAGTTATATAACGAGCACCCTTTTGATCGACTACTTGTTGTGTTATTAATCGTTGCATCATTCCAAGGCAATACTGAAAGAAGTGTAATGAAGAACAAAAGGAAACCATTATGAGCATTAAAATGGAAACACCATATCCATTGAAAGTGGCAATAAAATGACGAGAGTCTGAGTTAAAAACGAACCTTGATAATTTTCACATCTTTCGATCCACAACCCTGAACTAAAGCATATAAAATTTGATTGACGACATAATAAAGTTGAGTCGATGGCGTCGATGACGCTGCTTCCAGTTTTATTATTGCTTCTTCACATGACTAAAACGAGGAAGGGAACAAAGAAGAAAATGGAAATGATGAACAATTGAATGCGGAGATAATGTCGAATAATAAAAGTGCGAGCTATATTTAACATTGAAAATCAGCGATTTTTCAAACGAACCTCTTTGATTTGTGGGTATTTTTTCTTCGTTTCGTTGGCCAATGTGCGGAAATCGTTTTGCAAAATCTCCAAGAACTTTTGCACCGCTTCGTTACTTGAATTACCACTAACAAACGACATGATTTCTATTGATTACAAATTGTCTCTCTACCACGAATAATGAGATTTTGTTCCCGCCTCAGTCCGTTGCAATTTCATTGAGTTGAGTTGAGTTTTTGTTTTATCGGAATTTTTAATGACATTGGGTAAGGTTAAAGCATTTGCAATTCATCATTTTGATAACTGTGCATTTTATCCAGAAAGGTATTAATGTGATTATATCGGTTTTTTATTGCATTTGCTGCTGCACAAAAAACGACGAAGTTTACAATTCCAGCGAAAAGATATAAATGACAAAAAACATGTCACGATCGACTACAAAAATACATATGAACACAAAAGCTGTAAATTATTGTACACGTAGCGTAAATGCAAACAAACAATTAAACGACTAATTGAAAAGTATGAACAATTATTTCTCCATCCACCGAACAACTATCAGATCTCAAACAGCAGCAGAAACATATGGGTTTTTGTTTCCGTATCAATTTACATTGTTTGGTCCATGCAAATATTCTGTTGACACTTCGTAGCCACTTTTTGCACTTATGATATTAATTTTCCTTTTCGAAGTATAGACGTTCATTCAAGCTTCACATATGAATACACTACAACATTACACGCACGATTTTTTTTTGCAACACCAAGCAAAAGCAAAAGCAAGACCAATAATCAACCACTGTATCGAATATTGTAAGATTCTGTTGAATTTCTATTGTTAATTACCAAGCTATGTACGGTGTTTTGATATTGAGTAACTCGTTCTCTTTTTCTATCACAAAAATATTTTGTGTTGTTTTCGGACGAATTTTGTATAAGCGTCCCAATAAAAAAAAATAGGAGCAAATTGTTCGCTGTCAAAGTTGCAATTGGTTTCGATCAAACGTCAGAATGATGTGTCTTGTTGATGGTGCGCCATCAGTGATGCATTCAACTAAATTAGTAAACAAACCATATTTCTTTTCGGTTGCAGTTGAACTGCTGCCGTTGTTTAGATTGCAGCGGCCTTCTTCGGTGGTGGTGGTGCTACTTCTGGTTCCTCGTTGGAGCAACTGACTTCTTCTGTTTCACGAACGGTGTCTGCAAATATTAGAAATGCAATAAATTTCACAAATCCCATTCACATTCAACTCTTTTCAAGGACTTACTTATGAAACCACCTTCATCTTCATATGTTCTTGTGACAGTTTTCTTAACTTTAGCACGACGTTTGCCACTTGAACTTCCATTCACTTTGTTGCTCGCCATTTTTTCGGGCGACGGTGTTTTGTTTTCCTTTTCTTTCTTTACAACCACCTCTTCTTCAGTGTCCATTGGCTCATCTTGACTGTCTTTACCATTTGTCGTGCTCTCTTCATCGGATGACGAATCACAGAGTTGCATCACACGAGACCGATGTGACTTTGGCTCCAATTTCATCTTTTTCTTTGTTTGTTTCTTTTCGGCCGATTTTGTATCTTCATTCGATTCTGTAGAAAGAACGATGTTCATTTTTAGTACACCGTTTTGATATTGTTTTACCTTTTTTTCATCAACCACTTTACGTTACTTCGACTGGTTCATCGTGTTTGCTCTGTCGTTCAAATATTCCGGGTGCCCGAAAATTTTGGAGCCATACAAGACGATGAATAAATTGTGGCTATTCTTATTGTATCGTGTGTGGCTACTATCCGTTAATATTGCCACACAAGTCGCATCTTGCACATTGAATACACACAGAGTTCTGTCACGAAAGATGATTTGTTGGGGACGTAGAGTGTCATGACTATATGTTCCAACATTATTTAGTACACTAAACTGATGTATAACTTATCGCTATTTCGTTTTTTTGATTCCTTTCCGTTCACATGCAAATTAAACCCACAGAGCACAATATCTTTTTCTATCGAAAAGTTCCGCTCACACAAATACTTCGTACATGAAAAAAAAGGTTTACCTTTTTAAATTGCGCTCATCTATACACCATTTGTGAGTAACAATTATTTGGTTTTTATCGAATTTTCCAATCGATTATTTCACTGGGAATGTGCTCGTGCAAATCACGGCCAATGTATACTTTTTGTACGTTTGCCAAACTAGGTAATGTTTGATAGAAATCTGTTTTTTTTTTCAGCAGACACAAAAAAATTAAATTTTCTTATGAGAAACTCCGCACATCACCTTAAGTTGTACTGTTGTATGCATTATACAACATTACTACTCACACTAGTTAGTGCTGGTCTTTTGTATGACTACGACTACGACGTCGACACAATGACGGCCGCTACTGTTGCTGCAAAACAGAGCCGAGAAGAGGAAAAGAAACAACAACAACACCACCAACCAAGAGAATTTCGTTCCAATTCAAAAGAAATAATTCGAAAAATTTAAATTAGGGAAATTTAACCAATGTTTATTGTAAAGATTATTTAAAAAATGTATATGCTAGCTTTATTCCTAATCTTTTGATTGATGATAACTTTTCTTTCGGTTTTTTCTCTTTTTTATCCATCGGTGACACATCATTCATGATTGATACTTTCCGTCTTTCTGTTTCAATTTCTCTTCCAATTTTCTGTATTCATCATGTCGTTTGCTTTGCTAGAGTTGTCGTATGCCTTCAATCAATTGATTGACCGCATTTCGCCCGGCTGCTTGCAAATCGTCAACCGCATTTTGCCCGGCTGTTTCCAAAAAGGCAATGACGTTTTCTTTTCCGAAGGGAATTGATGAGCTTGAACCGAAGATAATGCTATAACCGAATACAATGTCAACTTACGCTTGATTTCTGACAAGAATACCATGGTCAGCTATTTTTTCCATAACCTTGTGATATTCTACCTTAAGTTCTTTCAATTCTCGCCGAATTTCTCCGTTTTCTTCTCGAATTGCTCTGTTTTCTTCGACCAAATTAGCCATTTCCACTCGAATTTCATTCAATTGATCTTGAACGGTACTTTCTGTAGACATCGTTCAACTGAGAAAAAAGAAGAAAAAAATCGATATGAGCGAACAGATCTCACGCTAATAATCTTTGAAAAAAGTCGAAATATTTCGCGTAAATTCCCAAATGTTCCTCAAATAATGTAAAATAATTTGTAGAAATGGAAAAATCACTTACACAATAAATTTTCACAAAAGAAAAAGCAATTAAAATTGATTACAATAAAAGATTTGATGAAGAGAGTCAAAATCAAAGGGAACACTAAAAATTTTGAACTGTTTGTAAAGCGAAGCAGTATGAAAATGGCGAAGGACAAAATACATTTGTCTATAACAACGCTTAGTAGCATCAAAAAAGCAACATTTTCATACGCAGTTCCAATGTGCGAATGAAACGCAACGATATCTGGTGTGTGGTGAGGCGAGACCACCGTATGTTTTACACCATACATTATTGACGCTGTTCACCCATACGACTGCAAAACTGTTGAGATACTTCAAAATGTACGTACTTTGAAATTTTCACTAATTCGCATTTTCTGTCATGACAAATGCACTACGCTGTGGACCAAGCATTCGTTTGGTAAAGACATTGTCGCACTGTGAACCTGTTTTCAGAATTTGTTAAGAAAAATTACATGCAATATTAATTTGGCTCATGAGCTGCAAAGCAGTGCCGAGTTAACCAAATTTGGTGCCCGAGGCAAAAATGATTTTGGTGCCCCTTGCAATTTTTTCCCGTTATATATACAAATAATTATTGATGAAATGAACGTACATATCGAATTTTTTTTTTAAGAAATACCATTTTTGGGGCACCAAAAACATTTTTGGGCCCATTTTTGGCTGCGTGTTTTCTTTTTCAGATTATTAAAAAAAAATCCCATGCTTGTGGTGCCCCCAAGAACGTGGTGCCCGAGGCAACTGCCTCATTTGCCATATGGCTAACTCGGCACTGCTGCAAAGTCCATGTGTTGATTTCTCAATCTGTCTTGGTTAATGCATGAATAAAAGAGGAAATAGTGAAAAAATAGCTTAAAATAGAAATTCTTCATTTTGAAATTGATCTATACTTATCCGATGTGTTTCTCTAAATCAATTTTTGATTGGGAAATCGACTTTCTTCAGGAATCAAATTACAAAACGTTGAATGCATTTGTTTTCGATACAAGATAAATCCTATATTTCAGCATAATTCTCTTAAAGATATTCACATTACAATGCATAAATAAGCCTAATGAGTAAAAAAAGAGAGAAGGTACGATGTATGGAACAAAGAAGTCAATTTAATGTTTTAAATATCCATATTTTTATTTTCGCCTCAAAAACAATTGATGTTTTTTCTAACTAAATGTTAAATATGGAAATGCATTTGGATCGGCTGTTGCATCGACATTTGATCTTGGTGTGTGTGTGTGTGTACTTTTATAACAAAATACGGGAAATGCGACGCACGGCTTCGATGAGCATCTTAACGGGATGCTGAGACTGACACTTGCCATACACGGATTGTGTTGTCACTGTAACCAGCGAACAAGGTTTGACCATCGGTCGACCAGGCGAGCGACAAACATTGTGGTGGATCGGCCTTTGAGGTTTGTGAGATGACTTCTGGGCGAAGTTCTTCGACGGTTTTCTTGCAAGCCAAATCCTGTAAATAAACAATGATTCGAAATTAGTTTTACATTCTCAACGAAACAAATCAATCAATGGTAAATTCCATTCAATTTTTAGCAATCAAATTCGATTGATTGAAACGAAGTTGTTTGACTAGACAGGTGTTATATTTCGAATGAAGTGTCAAAATACAACGTTTAAAAGCCAAATTTCAATCTGGCATCTTGGTTAGTAGTCCGGAATGAGATAAAATCGAAATTTTTCATAAGCGGACCGTGGAGTGAAATCAATGCCATTTCAAAATGTGAATATCGCAATTTTGAAAATGAAACTCACCCAGATTTTGATTGATGGACCGTAGGCAACGCACAACCAGTAACGGTTTGGTGAGAAGCAGAGAGCATTGATGCTGTCGTTGTGGTCCAATGTGTGCAAATGTTTGCCGTCATTGAGATCCCAGAGCAAAGCTTTGGTGTCTTTGCCACCGGATGTGCACAATGAACCGTCTGGGGAAACGGTGACGGTGTTCAAGTAACCGTTGTGACCTTTGTGGTTGATCTTAAGTTTGCAGTTGGCCAAGTTCCAGACCTTGACGGTACGATCCCAACCGCATGACACAATGATTGGGTTGGTGTGGTTTGGTGAGAAACGAACGCATGACACCCAATCGGAGTGACCTTCATCTTGGATGGTGTATTTGCATTCGGCCAAAGTGTTCCACAACTTGATGGTCTTGTCACGTGAGCCAGACACGATTTGACGGTTGTCAGCACTGAATGCAACTGACAAAACATCCTGTTGTTCGAATGAAATGGAAATGAAAACGGATTAGTACAAAGAATCAAGCATTGACATCTATTGAAATAAAATTAAGGTTAAATTTTGGATGTTCCAACAAAAATCAATTGAATCGATGGGAAACGCCTTACACTTTAACAAGCTAAACTTACGTATTATGTTTTGGAATGGACGCCACACGCGCTCCACATTCGGTAGAAGCCATGTTTTGTTCTTCTGCCACTCCGAAGAGATGGCTCTTACAAACTAAATGTGGCACTGCTCAGCCAATCAGCCAAGGGCTTCAGTCCAATGGAAATGGAAAGAAAACACTTTGACGATGACTGCATCGCATTTGTGCTCTTTTCTTTTTTACTCAAAATTGCAACTGTTTCACCAGTTTACAATTCGATGTTTGCGATTTTAGACCGTTGCTTTGTTCACTGATTTTTTTCATGTTGAACGGAATTTTGGAAATCTTTTCTTCACCTTTGTATGATCCTTGAAACGGCGGGTGGTTTTGCCAGCAGCCAAATCCCAAAGACGCAATGTTTTGTCCCATGAACCGCTTAAAGCGTAGTTACCATCGGATGACAAAACTACGTCGCTGATAAAGTGCGAGTGACCGTACAAACGCTTTTGTGGGATACCATAGTTGGTGTCGTCACGAGTCAATTTCCATACGATCAATGTCTTGTCTGTGCAAATGATTAACACGAAAATTGTGATTATTTAGAGCGAATTTATAAAGAAAATCTTTTTCAAAATCATATCTAAAATGAAGTAATATTTGGTTTTCGAAGGAATTTCCATGTTTTATCGGCGGATGATCAAAATATTTATTGATGGATTTTCGGAACTTTATTTGGTGGAACGTGGTTCCCTTTGACAGATTGCTCAATACACACTACCGGCACACTTTTTACATGCATTTTTCTGGGATTTTTTGCAAAAATTCACTTACCACGAGATGATGACAAGATCATATCAGGGTATTTTGGGTTGGTTGCGATTTGGGTGACCCATCCGCTATGTCCCAAAAGGGTACCACGACGTTGAAGTGTTTCAGTCATTTTTACTTTCGTTTAAAAAACTTCGATTCACGTCTGTTCACTTCCACGAGCGAATCAAAAAAGAAAGACGAACGACAGCGCCGCATCAACCGTAAGTCATTGTCCACGCTGAATTCGCCCGTTGCGGTTCAGTATTGGCCGATGCAAGTGCCGAATGACATTTGCACAATTTGAAAGCGGCAACAATCGGAACGAAATTGACAGCTCATCCGGAATAAAATCGATGAATAATGAGTCTAAAAATAAATACATGCAATTTTCATCATTTTATGACTGAATTTTAATCTAATTTTAATTTTTTTTATTTTTAATGGAAAAATTGAGCAAATCACTAGCTTGAAAAAAATGCGAAAATGCAATTCATTTCAAATTTGATTAACCGTTCAACCTCGTTTTCCTGTGATGCCATCACATAACTTTGTACCGCTGAATGCGATTCGTTCTGTATGTGACGGTGTCGCTAGCATCAGAATTGCGCGCGCATCATTCGTTTGTCTCGTTCTTTCTTGGTGTCAAATTCACCAGTACATACATATATTAGCTCTCTTGCACAGCCAGCCCAAGTAGGCAACGCTGAAAAATTCCATCCAAGTGTTCGTTCGCCCCGTGTATACCATACAGTTGAATGTGTCCGTAGAGAACAGTCGTGTGAGAAAAAGAGATGCCTGACGTCATGGTATAGTGTAAAATAAAATTCAGCCATTTTGTTTGAAGTGAGGTTTAGTCTAACATCGTTCATGCGGAATTTTTTTACGTAAAAAGAAAATTTCCTCATCAAATCAAACGAAATTCAATCGAACTTTTAACAAAATCCACGCAACCAACCGTTTGACACATCATTGTTCAGTTTTAAAAAGTGTTTAATTATGGAGGATAAAGCAACGCTTAAAGATTTAGATCAATTTATCGAGCAGCTAAATGAGTGCAAACAATTAACAGAGACGCAAGTGAAAACGTTGTGTGATAAGGTAATGTGAAGGATTTTTGTCATGAAACATTCAACCATTTCAGATTCGATTCGATTTAAGCCAAATAAAATTATCAGCTTATGCGACACTCTTAGATATTTATTGATTAGTTGAACCAAAAAAAACAGACACACACACACACACACAATAAAGACAAAAGAAATCCATCAAATTGATATGATTCAGTGCCATTCGGTTTAAAGATTATATTCGAAAAATTACCAGCGACACATACCGTTCATGCACACTAAACGATGAATAGCGCAATTGAACAAAAGTCATCGATTTTAAAAATACAACATGAAATATGCATACATTAACGGGCATAGAACATTGAGATAACATCGCGACAAAGATATTGAGCTCTCTCAGTCAGTAATAATGGCTCTTCTTACGTATGTATCATTATCGTCGATGAAATAATAACCTGATTTTCAGCAAACATGGAGTAAAAAATCATCGCTCTTTCTCGTTGCAAACATAGACTTTCTTTCTTCGGTTCTTCGTCTTTTTTCTTCTTTTATTTCTGTTCTGCCAAATTGTCGCTCTCGCTTACTTGAACCGTAGAATATTTTCCGTCGTTTGTGTATTGAATGCCGCACACATATCCACCGTTCCCTCTTCGGTTGGCAATTCTATCCAGAATTCGTTCTGTTGCCCATCATCACACACACCACTACCAACACACCCATAAACAGCGAAGACAAGATGAAACGCACTGGATTTTATACACATGGAACGAAATGAGACCCATCATTCTTCTCAACGAAATTTGTAGATATATACAAAATGATTTTGATGCGATCACGTCTTTTTTCTATAATATTTTTTTTTGGAAACGTGCGCGTTTAATGTTGAATCGTGCGATTTTGGCACGATGCGATTTTGAGAAAATTATACCAAGCGAAACAAGTGAACACCAATCAGATTAACAGACTTGAATCGTTTTATTTTTGCTACCTTGGATGCTGTAAATTACGATAATCTGTGGGTTTTTTTCTATATATTTTATTGTCGATTAAAATGTAGTGGTTCGTTTGCTCGACGAGATATATCATTCTTTTCTCTTGTCAAGCGGTAAAATGCTCATTTCTCTGTGAGTTCGGTGACTTTGCTTCAAAAATCGGTCGTGCATGATTTTATTGGAATATTTACAATTTATTCATCATTCGAAATTGAGAAGAAAAAATGAAAACAATTCCGATTGAAACAAAGAAAAACCGTTTTCAGGGAACTGTGTCAGTTGTTGTATGACTCAAGCCATCGTCATAGTTTCACAATGAAAAAACGCAATTACGTGTATGTGGCTGGCAACAAGTACAAATATTTTTGAAGACGTTGCATATTAAAATTGTGACTTGAAGTGCTAAATGTTTTTATGGTCATATCAAATGGCAAAATTATTTCAAATAAAATGAAATTTGTTATAACACTTCTTCCCCTTTAAATCAATCAAGAGAAAAACCAAGTCAATTTTCGGCTGTGGGAATAATGGGCCGGAATTTGTTTCATTGGAAAGGGTTTTTAAAATAGTTTCCGTCACATGGTGGTGCATTCATAACATAACAATGTAGTTCATGCGATGATATAGAATGAAACATCTGAAATCGAGTTGCCAACATTGTTACAGTTTATTTAGTTCCGTTCGTTTATTTATTCGAGGCCACATCGGAAGTGAAATTCGTTTAAAAATTGAAAATTTTTGTATCGAAATTGAATTTTAGCTATGAAATCGACATGAATTATAACGGCAATACAACCGTCGAGAAAAACAACTTGGCTGGCTATTAGCAATGCATATGAATCGCAACATTTGCATGACAATGTCATTCTGTGCAAGGCGCCACCAAAATAGAGCAGAAAGACACCGGTTAAACGGGGCGATTCGATCGATTGATTTATATTTTAAATTTTTCATCGATTTGTGTTTGTTCAAAAAAAAAAACACACCATACACCTTTGTGAATGTGCATGAATGACGGCGTCAACACGTTTGATCGCTGTGCCCGCATTTATCGCTCGAAACAATGAATATACGTGTGTGTGGAAAGGTACGAGTGATACCTTTTTGCACTGCTTTTTTCTTCTTATTCGCATTGTTTGTTTTATCTATACTCGTTACGTACACACTCATGTGATCGATGTATGAGTCTCAATTGATTCTAGAACCAACTGAGACGAATGATGATAAATGATCGTAAGTGTGAGCGGCAGTAGCAAGGTCAATGAGCAGAGCAGCATCCTTGTGACATGTAATCGAATAACATACAAATTTAATGCCATATTCACGGTTTACATGTTCGATTCAGTGAAACGCGCGCATTCATAAAGTTGATTCTCGTGAGGGTAATTCGATGCATGTGAATTTGATATTCGATTTTCGTGCGCCGTTTGCCTTGTTGTCGCTTTTTTCTCAGGTACACAGACATAAGAAAAATAACGATTACGCAAAATTCAGTAGCCGTTCATGTCGTACGATGAAACATTTAGCAAGTTGACTATAAAGAAACAAACGAACTTATCACAATGCGACCAAGTTAGATAACTCGACAAAATGATAACTAAATGATTAGTACCACTGGGTTATTTCCATATGGTAAGCTCAGTATCCATTGCTCGAAGATGATTAATTAGTTCTCGGTAGCAGCAAAATTCCGTGTAAAGACGCAAAATGGGCAAGAACGTTCACAAAATGCCGTTGTTTGTTTGTTGTTTGCAAAGGTAGCTCCGTTTTTGCAAGTCTGATGAGAATATTCTTTTCCATATCGCTATTCATTCATACGGCTGAATATTGTTGATTCTTTTTTGCGATTTTCGATCGAATCATCTCACTCAACTATGTATTTCGTTCATAGACAGTCAAGACATGTTTGAATTGGAATACCCTCTTGTTGATACAATTCTAAATGGTGATATTCATTAATGTATACGCATAGCGTATATACGATGACAACACACTTATAGCTAGCTGCTCAGTCTAACTCAATTATTCCATATATTATCTTCGTTAATTAGTCATCAAGTTACATGAATTGGGCGAAGCGAAGCTTGGTGTTTTTCAGTTCCAAAGTCGCGATTGCATCAGCAATAAAACCGGTATTGATATAGCGGCTACTATGACACAGAAAAAGTGCATTTGATTTGTTTTTTAAATCAAAAATTAAGTCGCCTTAGTTGCGCTTTTGTCTATTTTCCATCATTTTTATTATTATTATCGTAATTAGCGCACGATTCGAGCTTAATTCCCGTAATGAGTCAGTCGAAGCATTTCAAGTACGTCAAAAATCAATACTGTGCAAAGTGCAAAGGTGAGGACCGAGTAGATGCAAATGAAATGACTTTGGTTCGGTGGCTGCTTGGCTAGCGATCAGATTTCAGAGTGTATCTATTTTTTGTGCCTCGTCACTTCACCGATTTATTTTCAAAATCAATTTATTTTTAGTTGCAATGATTCCGTGCGGACTTCCTTTCGCATTCGACTCAAAATAAATCCGAACGTTTCCTTCGCAATTACGAACACTCGGGGTCTTGGGCATTGGCATTATCGGGGGACAAAAAAAGAAATCTTTTTATCGCATAAAAGGAAATGAAATGACAACGACCTCCTTTTTCTGCACACACTGCGCTCTGCACAACGTGCCATACGTGGTCAAATGTGCTTAACTTTATTTTAAACGATTGTTTTCCCGCACATTTTTATTGAAATAGTGGCACTATGGCAAGTGAAAAAAACAGACAATCGTCGGCCACAACATGGCTGTGCAATGGCAGCTCCACAATTTTTGAATGTGCTTTTTAATTGTGCGGTGTGGGCAACGTGATCGTAATATGCAAACAGACGATGGCGAGATCAAGTTGACAAGATACACACACGCTCACGTACAAGTTCGCCGAAACTGACAACGGGAAACCAACAAAGGAAGTTAAAAGAAAGTCACACACATTGCATGTGGCCAATTTGTATGTTTCTCTATGTACTATATTCAGCTAGGCGCGTCGTCTATTTTGTATTTCACGCAACAACAACAAAAAAGAGAAAATAAAAGAGCTTAAAAATAGTATGGAAACATTCGCGAAGAATCACAACACACCAATTTTAGTGAGGGCATTTGCTTTTTATGCTTTGCAAAGGGGGGAAAGAAAGAGATAGAGAGATAGAGAGAGAAAGAGAGAGAGTGCGAGAAATAATAAGAAGAAAAATAAGCGAAACCAGTGCTGAATTGTTATTCTCATGTATCATGCAATACGCCAGCATTCGTCTGTCTCGTTGGCTGAACGCATACATAGACAACAAAATAGCGAGAGATAGAGAGAAAAAAAAAACACGAGGAAATTAATTTCATTTGAAAACTATTCAAATCGGTCGTTTTCATTTATTTCCCAGATGGTGTGTGTCGGATCGCCGGCTACCCATTCAAACAACTACCACAAACACACAAAAGTCAGCTATTTTTAAAATCATTTCGCAATAAAATAAATAAACATTTCACACAGATTGAGTGCAGGATTTTTTCTGTTATTTTTTTGTTTAATGTCGTTTGATTCGAGTAATGGAACATAACCATTTTTACTGGCATTTTATTAGCTAGTACCAATTTACTCGTAAAATAGAAACTGATGGCATCGAGCGTGCCGAAATCACATTGGATGGGTTGAAATGTCATAACGAATGAGCTCCAAATTGTATTGTTTACTTTTCATCAAAAGCCAAAACTTTATGGTTTCGGCCTGTGTGTTTACTATGTTCGGTTCAACCTAGTAGTAGTTTTTTTGTGTCTCATTCGAATAGTGTTGAGTGTGAGTCGGAGATTAGAAAAGCGCTTATGTTTGCAATACATGAATTTCGCTTGATGAAATTGCAACACAAGCGGCTGCATTACATTGAAACGCTCTGTCGAGCAGAAAGAGCGAAGGGATGTCGCCGCTAAAATTATATCTACGTGCACATTTCCCAATCTTGCAGAATAATGGAATTGTAAATTCAAATTCAGCGACAATATTCAGCCTCGGTGAATTAATGAATAAAATACATTCGCTGTGGAATGAAATCTTCCTGCGCTGATTCAATTGAAATGTAAAAATCCGGTGTTTTTCATTCGCAATTATTCTTGGAGTTCGCTCAAAGTTCAGTTTGCTAACGAATAGTCGCATAGCAATGCGTACTTATCAAATGTCAATTTCGTGATAATAATTTGTTTTTATTTGTGTGTCTTATCACGTGTCGCCTCGAGATTACCGTTCTGAACAAGAAACGACGAGCCCTTGCGTAAACTTTGTTCTTCATTCCTACGTTTTCTACAGAAAAAATTATCTTTCTAACGGTGTTTTTTTATTTTCTTCTCTTCTCTCTTTTCCCTAAAAATAGGCGAAGGAAATTTTATCAAAAGAATCAAATGTGCAAGAGGTGAAATGTCCAGTGACAGTTTGTGGCGATGTTCATGGTCAATTCCACGATCTAATGGAACTATTTCGAATAGGCGGACGATCACCCGATACAAATTACCTATTCATGGGCGATTACGTTGATCGTGGCTATTATTCAGTAGAAACAGTAACACTTCTAGTGGCGCTTAAAGTACGCTATCGCGAACGAATCACAATTCTACGTGGTAACCACGAATCCCGTCAAATCACCCAAGTCTATGGATTCTATGATGAATGCTTGCGCAAGTATGGCAACGCCAACGTATGGAAATTCTTCACCGATCTGTTCGATTATCTGCCACTCACTGCATTGGTTGACGGCCAAATCTTCTGTTTGCACGGCGGTTTGAGCCCATCGATTGACACGCTAGACCATATAAGAGCATTGGACCGGATACAAGAAGTGCCACATGAAGGCCCGATGTGCGATTTACTGTGGTCAGATCCAGATGACCGAGGTGGCTGGGGCATCTCACCACGTGGCGCTGGCTACACATTTGGACAAGTGAGTAATTTTATCGCTCAGCTCATTCCAATCTTATCATGTACAGTGTTCTTATAATAGCTCTTTTCAAAATGAAAACTTGGGTTTTTTTCTTTCTTCTGTATCGAATTGATAAGAACGATTAGTTCAACATGTATATGTCAATATGGAAACATATTTGTGTTCACCATTAAAATACTTTAGTGAAAAATAGCATTTTCTTATGAAATTCAACAATTTATTCAAAATTCCATCAAAATTGATGCTAACCATATTTCCACTTGAAACAGGACATTTCGGAAACCTTCAACCATACAAATGGATTAACGCTTGTATCTCGTGCACATCAACTTGTAATGGAGGGCTATAATTGGTGTCATGATCGCAACGTCGTTACAATCTTCTCTGCTCCGAACTATTGCTATCGTTGTGGTAACCAAGCAGCTCTAATGGAATTAGATGATTCACTGAAGTTTTCATTGTAAGTTTCAGTCCCATGCTCCCAGAAACAGACAAATCATCGAAATAAACAATTTCAAGTTACTGATTGACTTATCATTTAATCATTTTCCGTTACAGCCTTCAATTTGATCCAGCTCCTCGTCGTGGTGAGCCGCATGTTACACGAAGAACACCTGATTACTTCCTTTAAAAACAACAATAAAATTTAACGGTAGTAATAATGTTAAAAAGTAATTACATTTACACCAACACACACACAACACACAGCAGAAAAACACAACAACAACAAACCGAAACAACTGCATATGCATAAACAATAATTTTCCTATCAGATTAGTGTTTATATAAAAAAAACAACTCTCTGAAAAAAATTGAGAAAAAAAACAACAATAAATATTAATAATACTATCTAATTGCTACTTTAATTTTACAAATTCAAAAAAAATGCATTAAACAACAAAATCAGTGAATAAAAAAAATAAAGAAAAAAAAGCGAATCATTCAAAAAAAAAATCATCTGAAACAAGAGTTATTCGTAGATGAATAGAAATGCGAAATTGGAGAAGAAAAACAAAAATTAGTAGCCAAGCAAATTACATTTTTTAAAGGAAAAAAAGAAAAGAGGATAGAAAAGAGAAACAAAGAAACAATGTTAAAACTTCTCGTATTGCATAAGAAATGCAGAATTGAATGCATGATTTCGACTGTGAATGGTTTTCTGGGTTCGTGTAAGATAAGCGCTAAAAAAACTCATTCAAAATAAAATTCTCTCATCGAGCCGTATTTCGTGTAATTATCGTGACATTTGGAAAAAAATAAATGCTCATCAATCCGAAAACAATGAGAAAAGAAATTTGCGGAATTGGTTCAGCGACATTTGTTTTTCTTTTCTCTATTGTTGTGTTAAAAATGGGCATTTTGTGGAAGTAAACAAGTTAATGACATTTTTTTGCTTATCTAACGCACTGTTTTGTTTTCAAATGCTGCGTGATGAATAACCACCACTTTTTATTTAAAGAAAAAAAACAAAAACGACGCAATTTCCTAGTGTAAAAATTGTGGATTTGTGCGCAAAAACAAAATAAGTGTAAGTTTAGTGTATCGTGGCATTAGAACAAAAAAAAACCAAAACAAGCAACCAATTGAATTTGCCAAACTCACTGGCGAATTTGGAACAAATATCAAATGTAACACAAAAATCGTCTCGATCGAAATCAAGTTGTTTCTTTGATAAACAGAAAAACACACACACATGAGATAGAGAGAATTATACATTTTTAAAGAGAATTACACACAGAAAATAAACACATGTTCACATTCATTCAATGAATTATGGAATTTACAAGAATCCACAACTCCGACGCCATCAATTTTGCATTTTTACGGAATTTCTTTTCTTTTTTTAAACAAAAAATAAAATCATAAACAACAATCAAATTATGTAATATTTATTGGAAAAGTTTCACGTGAGGGAAAAATGCGTTCAATGCATTTCCTTCGTTGTGTTTCTGTATAGTTTTCTTTTTTCTCCTTTTCGAACTTTTTTTTTATTTCGTTATCCCTCTTCTTCAACATAGACAACAAAAACAAATTTTTAACTCCAATTATACAACATTTTTATTTTAAAATCTTACTAATTAATTATTATTATACAAAACAAACAATTTAAATTTAAAAGAAAAATATGAATAAAGGAACTGCTGAGAAATTACAAAAAAAAAAACGAACCGTTTGCGTGTCGAGTTTTTATTTATGAATGGCGTCATGGACAAACACACAATTTTAAAATTGAAATAAAACTGAGCAACAAGAATAAAACAAAACAAAAACCAATACCAAAACAACAACAGCATCAACAACAAAATACATACAATTTAGAAAAACAAACGTGTTGAATTTGGAAGCGCTATTTTACTCACAAATTGTGGAATATTTGTTTTTTTTTTCACATATACAAATTGAATAAGCGTACTAAAGATGTTTTCTTTTTGGATTACCACCAAAATGGATTGGTTGATAAAAAGAGAGGAATTATATTTAAATTATACAATGATATACATGCATATAATGGCATAAACTTTTACACATTTACATTAAAGTGAGAAACAAAAAAAAATCATGGAAATCAACACAGAACAAATGGACTAAAAATGACTTACAAATGTAATTCGAGGGGAAAATAAGAATCGCATGTGAGCACACATTCAATATGTTCAAATGTATGACGACATCATTTGTTCGATGGTCAAGCATTGTTAATCGATCGTAATCAGAGAGAAGTGGACAGAACGGGTCGCGTTTCAATCGATTACAGTTGACTGCAGCCAATTATCAGTGCTAAACTCTCGATTGCGAATGTATTGTTACATGAATTGAGATGTGGTTTCCCTTGCGCAAATAAAAAAAAAACAAATCTAAACACATATTGCATTAGAGGTGAACTATTAATATAAGTAACTTGTGTAGTTGATTCAGTGCATGATGAGTCAAAGAATTTAGCCGAAACGTGAAACAAACAAATCTTTTGAAATATTCAAAAATCAACACAAAACGACACAAAATACATTAAAATAAATTGATGTCAAACAACTGATATAAAAACAAAATAATAATAAAAATGAATACACAAGTATATAATAGAGGTGATGGTTGTTATTTATCGTCTGTTCTGATTTAGTATCCTTGACTTCTGCATAAGTATTTTTATCATGGGAAAGTAATTCAGTACATTACCTGATGAAGTCATCGCTGCGGTTCAAAACACCGTTCAATGGCGAAATTTCATTCAAACATCGAGGAGAAGTAGAATCGTTTTCGTTGAAATCCTGTAAAATCTTGAATAAAGTTTTGAAGCACAACGAAGAAATAGTCGTTTCCTCAGATGAAAACATCATACGAGGTCGTTTTCGACCATTTTGCTAACATAAACTTTGAACGATAACATCAGATTCACCCTACGAGGTAAAAAAAATTCAGTCATCGTTTTACAGAAGTTTTCAAATGCTTTTTCTATTTTCTTATTATTCTGACCTTGGTTTTCCAAAGCAATAAAAAAACACAGTAAACATCGTTGTTAATACCTATTATTTATCCGTTATCGAATATTCAGTTTTATTTCAATTTTCAACAATCTTCATTAGATCTTTACATAAAAGATATTCCATATCTACAGACAGGAATTGATACAATTTTAATATCAATTTGGTCCGTGATAAGTTCCAGCAAATAAGATTTCATTCAACTTTTTATCATGAATTACAAAAATAAATGGATGATTACATTCAAATTGAGGGGGCCCACTTGAAATATGCACCACAGGTGTACTAGTTGCAGCGATTGAACCTTCTTCATCGATTTCAATTTTAGCCTTATGTGTAAGTTCTGTTCTGATTCCAACTTCAAAGTTTTTCCAATAATCTTTGAAAAGATCACTAAAATTCGCGTTTTTGCATAAACTATTTACTCCCATACGTTCCATAACCTGTGGAAAGTAAAATAAGGCTGAAAAAATAGTTCAAATATTCAATGAAATATTGATCTTTTCAACATACCGGAAACAATTCAGTATCTTTTTCAAGTGTAATCTTTGGAAAAACAACGTCAACCTCACTTTTAAAAGCATAGATTTCACATGTAATGTCACTGCAACCGCTAAATACCGTATCTAACACTTTTGCTGTTAATTTGTTTAATAATTGGTCGATTGGAGTTGATTCCTCTGGCAAGAAAATGAACATTGAAATCGTTCCATTGTCACCTTTCTCAATAAAAAAAACTACGCTACACACAGAAATAAAATGTGGTAGGTTTGTGCTATCTATTGGTGACGAGTATAGTTACCACAAGTCTTAGAAAAGTTACCCCACGCACCAAAATATTACTATGCACAGCACACATGCATTTTTTGGTTGGAAAATTCGCGGAAAAGCGCTACTGTGGGAAATCGGGAAATCGGGAAATCGGGGAAAGTTCAGACCAGTCTCAATCGATCGGGCGGAAAATTTCATGTGAGGTACCGACCCGAAGGGCGATTTTCAAGCGAAAAAACCATCCATTTCTGAGATAAATGAAAAAATTCGGAAATATCGGCAAGTTTGTTTAAATGGAAAAACTACAAGAATCCACAAAATTGCTGATTCCAAAGCAGACGTGTGCAACGGGGAGGGTTTTCCGGTTTTACCCCCCATCTAGGATTTGAAAATGGAGACCCCCTTCGAGAGATTTTGACTAGTTTACACTAGATAGAATCGATTTTCAAAAGTTAGAACCTTTTTTAAGGTCTTCACTTTTTTTCGATATCTATCGACAAAATTTCTTTTACCCCCATCTAGGATTTTTGACCTTGCATGCACACGTCTGTTCCAAAGTTACCATTCCAAATTTGACAGTATAACTTATAACAATAAACGTAATTATTGAAGAGGAGAAAATAATACCAATATCAATTTGGATTTTTATGGTAAGAAATGGATTTTCGGCTGAGCCGATTCGGCTCAATATCTACAATGTGCTAACATGTTTTGCGACCACCAATTGGCATAACAATACCAGTATAAATGTTGACGTTTTTTTAGAAACAATATTATCGCATTTTAACGAGCAGACGAAATAAAATGAGATTTGAGCACGATTAATAAATGTTTTGATATTGTTATTCACCATCGTTCCAAGCAGATTGTTAAGTTTGTGTTGGAAAGTTTTGTTTTATTTGTGTAATTGATACGTTTGAAATTGTATGTCAATGTGAACATAACCTCCGTTAAAGTATGAACGGTTTATCGTCGCATTAATGTCACCACGCATTCGTCATTTGATGTTCGATGTTCTAAGTTCACATATTTTGTCGCACTGTATCGAAGATAGCTAACCTACCCTTTAATTTCGTAACTTTATGCAAACTAAAATTCGATTAAATTATTTTGCGAGATATTTTAACACATTTTTTGGGACTTGTGTATGCAATGTGCGCCAAAGTTCGGTCTATCGCTAAAATACAGCCAGTAAAAAGATTTTCTCCAACGGCCTACAGTAATAAAAGCACTGATAGCTCACTACAATCCAATCGCAAAATCTTAATTCATCAGACCACTATACACCGACGTCAAACTAGAAACCAATCTGATTCGAAGAAGCTGATAAGTTGCGTCGCAAAGGAATCGGTGAACTTACAAAACACCAAGAAATTGTCCATTTCCCAAATACTACCGCAACAGTAAGTAACCAGAAGAAAAAAAATTTTGAGGTTAAGATAGAAAACTAACAAAATGTAATCGTTCGTATAGAAATGTTGAATCAGAGGCCGGCACTCTATCAAACAATGTGGTCGATACAGATGACGATTGTGAGATTGATTACCTTGTAAGACCACCATCAGTGGGGCCAAGTGACTCAAATGAGGAAACTGACGGCGATGAAACTGATGACAGCACCAAAAATCAAAGTGACCGGGCATTAATTGCGAACAATTGCAAGAACTGACCAAAATCAATGGGCACTCAGACATGGACACAGGCTGTGATGCGAAAAACACATCCGGATTAGAAAACACATCCAATCTGGTTATTCTGCAGTCAACATTCAGCATTCAAATACGAGGAAATGGTTTTTTTCTATTTACATAAATATGTACATATATGAATCGTTTTATTGTCTCAATTCAGTTTGGTGCGTGAAATTATGCAACAACAACAAAGACAGGATTTTCGAATGCAGTTCACTACTTTGGAATGTCTACAGGACGCATCTGAGCAGATTCTCATTCAATACATCGAAGACATCAATTTCTTTTCAGATTCTCCACAAACATTGGTCGGAGCACGAATGAAATTCATGGTTATGAATTACTATTTGAATTTCATGCAAAACAACGAATGAACCAAACCAAACAAAACCCATCTTACGACAATTCAGTAAAATAGATACGAACATATTGTGTGAAAAAATCATTCATCTATATTCAAATATGTCATTATTCATTTATATATTTTGCATTACTTTGTAATTGCAAAAAATGCATCACAATGCAAGCTTTGGTGGCTTTTTAGCTGGCCATTACTTCAAATTAACAAATTCATTCTAAGGAGAATGAAATGTAGAAAAATGAGAAATATTTTGCTTATGTTGAGTTTCATTCAAAATGTTATTGTTTTTGATCTTGGCGCTTTAACAGGTCATTAATGCGCAGTTTCTTTGCTAGATGGCGTACGGTACTCATTGCCAAGTTGATTCGGAGGGAAATAATATTGATATAACCATAAAGAAGTTCAAACTGACTTTCGTTAGCGCCATTCCCACAGTGTGTTGCGAACAGTATTTTGTTGCTATTCACAAGGAAAAAACATGATCGTGTCATAAAGGAAATGAAGAAACTACAAGCCAGCACAATGTTGCTGATTCCAAAGTTACCATTCCAACGGTAAGATTTTTAACGAATATGCGCTACCCATGCGTAAGTAAAACGACTAACAGTCACTCAGTTATATGTCGCGGTTAAGAACTTAGACTGGCTAAGTTGATTCAAAAATGTTGCATAAAAACTATTATCCGTTATTGATGATTGTTTTTGTTTTTGTTTTTTGTGCATTTTTTCAGTTTGGTACGTGAAGTTCTGCAGCAATACAGATACGACCCTCTACATGCCGAATACCCACGTATACGGCGATACGCGATTGATTTTCGTATGCAATCAAGTACATTAGTATGTCTACAGGAAGCAGCCGAAAGTTATTTGGTGCAACTATTCGAAGGCTGCTATTTATGCTGCAACCATCGTTCTCGTGTCACATTGACAGAAAAAGATGTCAATCTTGTTCTCTTGCTACGCGGTTCGATTTATTTCATCAAATCCATTTGCATTTTTATGGTAAGAAATGGATTTTCAACTCAATAACTATAATGTATTAACATCTATTGGCATAGCAATACCGGTATAAATGTTGACGTTTTTTAGAAACAATATTATCGTATTTCAACGAGCAGATGAAATAAAATGAGATTTGAGCTCGATTAATGAATAATTTGATATTGTTATTGGTTATCGCAGACTCTTTTTGACTCTGGAGCATAGTTGTGCTATGCACAGGAGCGCCGACCCCGAAAGCGCAGACCCAGAAATTAAAATGATTAATTTTGGAATTGAGTATGGGTAATTCCAAAAGTGAAGACCTAAAAAAAGATCCCCTATTTTGAGATTTCAATCAGTAAAATTTTCCATGTATGGATAATCTGGCAAAATTTGTGCAGAGGGGGGTAATTTGACCCCTTGCTTCAGAAACTTTGCCTCCAATACACTTTAATAAATTCTATCAATAAAAAATAATGACCCAACAACTTGTATGTTTCTTTCATTCCTTTGGGTTTTCCAATTCCCCCTATTTAGCATTTCTTGTAGAAGTTCTTTTTGCTGACTGCGTTTTTAGCGATAGACCAAACCAGCCAACCAAACGAGATAGATGGTCAGCTACGGCTGACGCTCGTTATCCAGATAATTTGCGTGCCGTGAACGCATATAGAACGCTCCGCTGACATTCCGTTTTTGTGACGAGCGATCCATCCAAATTCATGATAGAATCCATGAATTTGTTTGGATACCACGTCACAAAGTCAGAAAAATAATGGATTCAATCATGAATTTGGATGGATCGCACGTCACAAAAACGGAATGTCAGCGGAGCGTTCTATATGCGTTCACGGCACGCAAATTATCTGGATAACGAGCGTCAGCCGTAGCTGACCATCTATCTCGTTTGGTTGGCTGGACCAAACTTTGACGCACATTGCTTACATAAGTCATGGAAAATGTGTTGAAACGTTTCGCAAATTAAAACAAACGAATATGAGTTTGCATAAAGTTACGAAATTCAAGGATAGATTAGCTATCTTTGATTTAGTGCGAGAAGATATGCAAATTTAGAAAATCGAATAGCAAATGACGACTGGCAGATGCGTCATGACATTAATGCCACGATAAACCATTCATACTTCAACGGAGGCATCAAACGCGGCTTATACATATCGATTGCACAAAGAAAACAAAACTACTCAACACAAATCTGCTTGAAACGATAGCCATAAAGGCTATTTTTTATTCCTCTCGCACCCTTGTGCAATTTTATAGCAAATGGCGAGCAAATCTCATACCAAACAAGAAACAGTGACTCCACAGAAAATAGAATCTGCAGAATTCATACAACTAACTCGTGTATGGGACTGCTGGAAAACAATTCTTTCCTGAGAAATTCGAAACAAATCACTTGAAAATTCAATTGAGATGGGACAAACACAGAATAGGTGGTCACAATCATTTCTGACATAAGGAACAATAGAAAAAAGCGGAAAAAGATGAAATCACCCACATAAACAGGAATCGTGGACCGGAGATGCTCACTTGAACAGAGAAAACCCATCGTTCAAGAGATTTGAAATATAATATTTAATTTTTAATACTAAGAATTATTTTTCTTATAATTCAAGCATTCAGCAAATAGTTTCAGTCTTTTCGCCTTTCCTTTTTACTTTTATGTCTACTATTTCTATCCCTATCCCTTTGTCTATCTTCATCCCTGTCTCTACTTCGAGAATATCTTCGGCTTCTTTTCTTTGAATGACTTCGACTCCGATCGCGATGTTTCGATCTTTTCCTCCCCTTATGACGCGATGAAGATCTACTGCGACTCCTAGCTCGACTTCGACGCTGTTCTGTTTTGAGTTGAGTCACGTTTTTGACAATGACTTCTCTGATTGGGCTCTCAGACCATCTCCAATTCGCCTTACTGTGTTCACCACCGTTGTTCCAACTGTAGAATCAAAATTGAACATTATACCCACAAAACATATTGAATCGATGATAATTTTGCACAATAATATCCTCGCATAAGCTTACTTGTCTTTTTCTTCGTTGCGAACAGATCCATTCCGTTGACTTTTCAATGCATTCTTGTGCTCCAAAAGCGTTTCCTCGATGGAATATCGACCATCAGGATTCTTGAAAATGTGATAAAAGCCACAATTTTGGCCTCTCACACATCTATCCTTCAACCATGAACCTATGTTATGATATTTTTGGGATAGTCAAGGTTAATATTGTGGCTAAATTGCGAAAAAAATTATGATTTTTTTTGTCTTCAATAAAATCGTGTAGGTTTTATACTACATAGTGTCTATGTTTCATATTAGAAAGGATACAAATAATTGGGCTACGAATGATCGGCAAACTCTTCGATACATCATGATGTGGGAAACATCCAACTGAAAATGAGGATGTGTCACCTACCACAAACGGCTTTCTCCCATAAAACCGTACAAAATTCAACATTCAACATTCGGCCCGCATAATATCTGCCATTCATTTTGCGCTGAGCCTTTAAGGCATTTCTGGAAAATGAAATATCGCGTTAAAATTTCATACATTTATGGTTTCTTTTTTAACATTGAAGAATACGATTTACCTTTCTGAAGTATATTCAACAAAAACTTGACCTCGAAGATGTGGATTGTAATTGGTGGACACTACAAAATATCTGATACAACCAAAATGCTCAAACTCTTGGACGACATCAATGAAAAATTCTCTAAAATTCTCATTGAGCTCAGTCTCGTCATATTCAAGTGTCAAATCGTTGCCATATTCGGTGGTTGTGCTCTGCTCCAAATGAATATTGCTGAAGAATGATTGTATGTGCAACACTTTGCTTATGTTTGATCTTTGGTGGTTCCAGATGCAGTTGTTACCGAAACGACACGATGCCATCTTCGCGAAATATTGGCACGGCTCTTTCCCTGGATTCGTTTCAGCATTGACTAGCAATTCTGGTGGTTGATCACCTACGCCCTCAACATACGCTTGGATTCTCATTTCTAAATCAATTTGTCGTTGTTTTTCTTCTTCAATACGTTGCTCCTTCTCCTGTTTGGCTTCTGCGATTTGCTTTTGTTCCGCTTCGAATTCCGCTTGTATTCGCTGTCGTTCTTCTTCCTTTCTTCTGGCCTGCTCTTCTAGTTTACTTTTTTGTATCTGCCACTCTTTTTCTATTCGCCATTCAGACTTCATCCATTTCTCGTGTTCAATCTCATTTATTCGTTCAATATTTTGCAATTGAATCAATTCCAATGCATGTTCTTCAGCCAATTTTGTTTGATACGTTGGTGACTCTTCATTTTGTTTTAGAGCTGTGTGTGATAAGTTTGAATGTAGTAAAATGTTTCTTGTCGTCGGATGAAAATGCTTAAGGGGCTTATGTGTCACGCGGGTCAGAGCAAATGTCATAAATCAGTAGAAAAATAAATGGGCAACCGACCGTGTCTTGTAAATCTGTTCACACGTCATATGAGTTTGCAAATCAATGAAACCAAACTATTTAAAAATGCATGCAAAATATTTGCTCATGTGTTTAATGCAGATTCATGCGTTGCCTAAAGAATTATGTTCAATGTGTTCTATTTTGACATTGAGATTCAACTGATTGGAATTGTGTCGTAGAATTCCATACACAGATTTCCATGAGCTTGTGCAAGTTTTCTCTGACTCGTGGCGACAAATGATCCCCCAGAAAATACTTACCTTCATCACGTTTTATCGCAGCCAAGCGTCGTCGTCTTTTGCGTTGAAATTTCTTCGCATTTTTCCGCCATTCTTTATGACTAGAAATAGATCTAGATTATTGAAAATATTTGAATGATTCATAGAAAATCGTAGTTATTACCTCTTCGTCTGTATTTCCATCGCATTTTCATATTTTTTTGAACCGGGCTAACAAAAACCTTGAACCAAACATTTGTTTATAATATTTACATTTGTTTGACAACTGCGCACATTGACAACTTTGTCTTTGATAGATTATGTCCAAACGTTTTCATAGACATGTGATGAGCGGCGACATCTATATTCATTGACAGTTTGTAAAAACGCTTCTAACTTTAAATACAATCATTTCACTATCGCCCATATTCATTTCGAGTGTTTCTTGGAAATCACAGTTTTCCCCAGAATTGACCTTTTTTGTCGAATCAATTGATAGAAACATTTGAATTGAGAATGTTGATCATACCAATGATCTAGCGCAAATGAGTTACTCCGAAAAAGTTTTTTTTCTTAAGAAATTAAAAAAATTGTTGTTCTGATTTCGCAAAGCATTTTTTATAAAAAAAAAAAACAATATCAATCACTAACAACTGCGTACAAAGTATATTCTTACATAGAAAGAAAGCACTGTGAACATTTAAATCAAATTTTTTATTGAGAATTTAATGAAAAAAATCGTTTTTATCGCGTAAGATAAATACGACGCAGATCAGCTGATTTGGCACTAACATTGCATATTGGGCATTTTTTAAGTTTTTTAATCGTTTGCTTGATACAAGCGCTGCAGAATAAATGACCACATTTTGTTGTGACTGGATCTCGGTCGCTAACACTTTCATAGCATATTGGACATTCGAGTGTGTCTTTATCATTATTGTGTGTGTTGTGTTGTTTCCAGCAAATAGGCTCCTCTTCAATTCTTACTGACTCACGCTCAATGTTCCATAAAGGCTCGGCAGCCTGAACTTCTAAAGCAATCTCAAAAACGGCTCGGTCATTTTGCACGAACTTATTTTCTGGACGCATCAAAATGTCCCATCGTATGAATTCTGGATAGCCCCAATCGTGGCCACTGTAATGAAATTTCTGCTCTACAGCTGCAGGAGCGTATGGATTGAAGAAAAGTTCGGACGTGAGCAACTTGAATGAGCATTTTGCATGCCATGTCCAATTTTTGATCATAGGATCTCTCAAGTCACGCAAGAAAATTCCCAAATATTCTCCACTTTTCGTAACATACACCGTCCAACTATTACCACCAAGAATAAATTTAGGTCCAAACTTTAGTCCAAGTTGGCTTATATTGTCCACAAAAATCCGAAAGGTGGATTTTTCCGGGAAAACTTGTGCTGGTTGATACAATCGAATGGGACTCATTGATAGTTCAATATCCAAAACCATTAAATGGCCTCGCAAATACGGCAGCATATCAGTCCAAGTGATGAATGTGCCTCCAACGTTGTTGGAATCATGATTTAATGTGGTGTTTCTATAACTTTGCACATAAGCGTTTTGATTGGGCTTTATTGAATTCATTGTAATTGAAAAATCCACATCGCAAGACCATTCCGATTCCTTCGACTTGTTACACGGTGAACACTTCACGTATACGTAAATTGCACTTTCCCCATCCCAAAGCCCCGTACAAACAGAAATGAACCACGACACTCCGCTAACATTTGTTACCACTGGTGTCCAATGAAAGCCATTACTGATATCCGTTACTTTTATGGAATAAACAAAACCAAAGTTTTTTAGATTGATTCCGCAAGTTGACATGTTGGTATGAGAGATGAAGCTCGACTGATCAACTAAATTTGTTTTCGAGCGCAACAAGTCGGTGTTATCAATCTTTCGCCGAAATGATTAATATGAGTCATTGTTGTCGGATGAAATGCTACTTATGAGAGTCTAATTTGAGGCGTGACTCGTATTAACTCGTATATTTGCCAAAGAGAGTCTGTGCTTCGAATCACAGCGTAGTTTTACAGTTTATATAAAAATCTCGTAGCAAAAAATAATTCTCTCGAATTTAGGCTACGAGTTTCTTCTAAAACTCAGTGTTCGGGTCAAAACAAATATCATCCGTTTTTTAATTGAATACTTTAGTTTGGAGCGTATTATTTGGAATGGCTGAATTAAAATTAAAATTTGTTCAATTTTCGTTCTGAATTGATGGGATTTAAGAAAGAGACCACTGTTTAAGTATCTACTGCCATATTTATCAGAACACATGATTCGAGTCGAAATTCAAAAGAAACAAAAATGCCTTAGATTACAATTTGTTGTTTGCGAACTTACTTTTGGGATTTTTTTGACTGTTTCCGCTTGATAAATTGTGATCTCTATGAAGAAAATGGAAGTGACCCATTACCAAACAAACGATAATTAAATGAGATTTGAAGGATGACAAAATATGATTAGATGTGGATTTACTGGACAAACTGAATATCTAATTGTAATCAAGACATAAAAATAAGAAGAAAAGTATGAAAATGGCCATTTCAAATCCATAGCATTTGAGATCACCAATGATTCATTCACACAACAAATATTATCGCATTGCCTTGTCTCTTTTACTCTCACTATTGTCATCTGCGTCTATTATCTGTCTTGCTTCTCGATAAGTATGCCGTATTTCTTGATAATCAATCGTCTTTTGTTCGTCAGAATTATCAAATGAAATTGATTCAACCAAGACGGTCCTGCTGTCGCTATCGCTTGATGCACTTTATTTAGAAATCTCATTGGTTTCAACGAAAATCCATTCATGACCTACTGAAAGAGCCCCTATTCATAAAGTCGTTTATTTGGTGAATAATCCAAATTTGATGAAATCCATACGGACAATTTTAGACTTCAAATGAAACGGTATCGTTTTCACTACCATTAAAATCTAGTGTGTCAAATCAAATAAAAATGCACAAAAGTTGACTTTGACAAAAAGTTTTTCTATGTTTATTTATTCACTTAAAATTGAACAGAGATTTCAAGACCAAAATTTGTTCTTAACCAATTCTCAAAATTGCGTTTTAGAAAGAAAGAAGCGCCGAGAAAAGAATGAAAACCGAAACAAAGTGAAAAGCACAAAATTGAAAATCGTTTACATAAAATGAAATGCCGAAATAATAGAAACTGTGAGTGGAAATTGATGTGTGATTTCATAAAAAAATGTGTGATTATTGTTATTATTTATTCCATCGCCTGACCACAGACTGAATGATTCCCATACACTTTATTTATTACAATTTATACAAGCAGTGAGACACTACCCGATCATAGATAATCTAGCCACCAGCCCTAATGGCTTCGAAGTGGTACACTGCAGCAACCGATTGTGTTATAATTGTCTATTAATCGACACATTTTTTTTTCTGTTTCTCCAAATACACGACTTCATCCATATTTGATTAATTTACGAAGATGATAAAGTTTTAAAGTAAAGTATAGTTAGTGTCACGAAATTTCTTTCGCTTCCTGGTGGCCTGCTTTCATCTGGTTCCTCGCATTTTCTCAGACATCCATTCGTTTTTATGCAATTGCTTTCGATGCTTGTACATGTTTGAACGCCATACGAACGCTTGGTCACAGTAGGTGCATTTGTAATTCTTGTTCTTCAGATGCATCGAAACGTGATCCTGAAAATTAATTTATTCAATGGTTTTTTTTTTATTTTGAATTAATTGAATTATTGATTTATTCAAATGGGTAAGATGTAGCGAGAGAGAGAGAGAGAGAGAGAGAGAGAGAGGGAGGGAGGAGGAGGAGGATAGAAGGGGAATAAGCGAATGCTGAATTTATCGATTTTATACCTTAAGTGAATCTTCCAGTTTAAACGATTTGTTACATAGATGGCATTTATAGATGGACTCACGATGAACTTGACGAATGTGAGTGTATAGTGCATTTGAATTGGGAGAGACTTTATCACATTGATCACATTGATACTTTCCCTTCGGTTTCGGCTGGGTTTCATCCGTTTGTTTCTGAACATGCTGTTTTTCTACATGGTTATCCAATTGTGTCTTGGTTTTGAACTCCTTTATTTCAAACAAATACAAAGAAAGGGATTAATACACAAACAATAAATATACACCACTTTACAGTCAAATTCGTAGAAAAAAATCAACTCGTACTTTCGAACAAATACCACAGTTCCACGGATTGGCCTTTTGCTCTGGTAAAATTGGTTTTGGTTCTGGTAAAAGATGCGGTGGCCACTCCAATGGTTGCCGATGCTCGTTTTGAAATCCATAAAAATTGTAGGCACACATATTTTATGATTTTTGGAATTGCAATGAAAAGAACTCTTTAATAAGTGCACAGTCGAACAACAAAACACCAAATGTCATAAGCAAATCTTACGAAATGTATGGCTTTGTACGGTCTCTCCTTCCAATATTCACACACATTGACAGAAACTCATTACGTTTATAATTGTGTATATACAACGTATATTATTTACGTATTTACGATTTACGTAGGCTGAACGTTGAAATTCGATGCATTACGTAGCGTTGTGTTTACAATGTATCACATTTTCGTTTGTTTTGAAAATTTATGCCACGTATTAACCATAGATGGAGCCATTGTGAACATTGCAGCATATTTGCTTTTACCAGTAAATATTTATTTAAATGATTAAATAATTGTTTTCGATTTCACACATTATTTTATTGAATTAACAGTTCCTACTTTTTTTTTTATTCAGAATTCTATTGTGATCTCACACCCACCCATAAATCCGTAAGATAATAAAGATGCAAATTGAAAATACGTACCTAATATGTTTGCAACATAACTTTTGACTAAGACAACAACCAAAGAAGAACTAACCTTGATATTTTTTCTTCGTCTTTTCAATTTGGAGAATTTCCATAGCTTTTGTTTAAAACACATCTACAATTTCAAGTGAAATTCATTGATGTTTTATTGTATTATCATATTGAAAGTCTTTGTTAAAATTGTATTTAAATGCTACACTTATTTCAAATAAAATATTCTGATATTTAATTTTGATTTATGATACGTTTACGATTGGTACGAATTCACGATGAAAAGTAAGATATTATTGAGAAATATGAATTTCAAAAATGTGTCATCAACAGCTAGACTGGATAGCCAGTAATGGTTCATGTTGAATAGTAGATGCCAAATCATGTGAGCCAGCATCAAAATTGCAATATCGGCTTCAAGGGTAGATAGGACGCAAATCCAACAAAACGGCATCAGCATTACAATTTGGGCATCTGTTGTTCTCCTGAATGGATTGTCTGATGCAGGCTTTGCAGAAGAGATGGCCACATTTTGTTGAAACAGGCTCACGTCCAACGATGTTCTGAAGACAAATCGAACATTCAAGTATACCGTTTTCTGGCCTTGGCTGTGGCTGTTCGCGACCAAAATCCCACACCGGTTTGGCTGGACTAACCTCCAAATCTACTTCGAACACAGCTTTGTCGTCTTGAATATACTTGTTTGCTGGATCCATCAAATCATTCCAAGCTATAAATTTGGGGAAGCCCCAACAATGGCCTTCAAAATAGAAAGTACGTTCCATTTTGTATTCGTGCGGATGGATGTTGTCATCATCAAACGAAAGCAATTTGAACGAACACTTTGCGTGCCACGTCCAGTTGTCATCTTGTGCATTCCTCTCATCACGCAGGACGACCGCCAAATTGTGTTGCTTTCTCATGAGACGCACGCTCCACTTTGTACCACCCACAGACACATCCACACAGTGCTTTGTATTGAATTTACTCACATCATCGAGGGTGAACTGGAATATCAAGCGTTTCGTTTCGATTTGTGTTTGGCTGCGTGTTTTCAGCGGATTGACTGACAATTGAATTTCGAAAAAAACACGTCCGTCTTGCATGTATGGTCCTATATCAGCTAACTTGATGAATGGTCTTAATCCATGTGATTTTTCGTCCTTTTTGAATACGACCATTGCCAGACTCTTCCTGAACGATTGATGATCCGTTGTAGTTGAACACAGTGTGGCCGTCATCTTTGCTTCACAAAACCATTCGAGTGTGTTTGGTTCAATGACCACATTTTGTTGAAACAGGCTCACGTCCAACGATATTTTGAAGACAAATTGAACATTCAAGTATACCGTTTTCTGGCCTTGGCTGTGGCTGCTTGCGACCAAAATCCCACACTGGTTTGGCTGGACTAACATTCAAATCTACTTCGAATACAGCTTTGTCGTCTTGAATGTACTTGTATGCTGGATTTATCAAATCATTCCAAGCTATAAATTTGGGGAAGCCCCAATCATCACCCTTAGAGTAGAAAGTACGTTCCACTTTGTATTCGCGCGGATGGATGTTGCCATCATCAAATGAAAGCAATTTGAACGAACACTTTGTGAGCCATGTCCAGTAGTTATCATCCTGTGAATCCCTTTCATCACGCAGGAAGAATCCCAAATAATCGCTCATATCAGTATGCTTTGTTTTCTGGAGAAATACGCTCCAATTCGTACCACCAACAGATACGTCAACACTGTGCGTTGTGTTGAATTTACTCACATCATCGAGTGTAAATTGGAAAATCGAGCGTTTTTGCAGGATTTGTGCTTGGCTGCGTGTTTTTAGCGGATTAACTGATAATTGAACTTCAAAAAAAACTTGTCCGTTTCGCTTGTATGGTTCCATGTCAGTTAACTTGATAAAAGGTGCAAGTCCATGACATTCTTCGCCTCTTTTGAATGCAACCTTTGTAAGACTCTTTCTGAACGACTGTTGATCCGTTGTAGTTGAACACAGTGTGGCCGTCATATTTGCTTCACAAAACCATTCCTGTGTGTTTGGTACAACACCCGGTGAGCACACCAGAAATAAATCGATCACATCTTCACCATTGTCTATTCTCTTTGTAACTTTAACTTTCCATGGGACAGTAGCCAAAACAATTTCGGATGTAACGTGTTCTTTATAAAATTCGTCGTATTTGATTGAGAATCCGAATTGCGCTTCTTTTTGATATATTTTAACGTTTTGCATGTTGTTGTGATATATTCACGGCTGTACTCCAACAATGACAACTTGAGAAATGTTCTGTACGCAGTAAAGTTTGCACGATGAATTTGATAGAACCGATCGAATGCAAATGCGAATGCAAATACAAACACAGTACAGTCTGAGCGATATGTCTTGACCGCATTGACATTTAGAAATAATGCTGAGAAACAAGAACGGTTGTGCCAACCAAACAATGTACGGAACAAAAACACAACGATTTTATGTAGCGGGAGTGAGATAAACCTATTTGCGCATAAAGTCATCATGCTCATGCTCATTCTGTACATACAACATCTTTCAGATTCAAATAACAACCAATACATACAAACGCACAGCTCGCTCCTTGCAATCGCAAGTCGGTTGCTTGTCATTCGTTCGAAATGTCATTGCATGTCTCTTTACAGCATTATAGAGTGAGTAGCATGACTATATGTTACAAGGCGCAGAATTGCCAACAACTGTCAATGCGGTCAAGACATATCGGTCAGACTGTACAAAAACTAACTTTAACCCTCTAGTGCATACAACCACCAAAAGGTGGATAACATTTAAACGCCTGTATAATGTGAGAATGAGATCACATCATTTTAAAAAGCATTTTTACTGATTGAGGTGTCTTCTATGTTTTTGTCTTTTGCGCTTTTGGTCTATATCAAGCGGTTGTTTAGTTATGAAGAAGAATATACTACTAAACAAAAGATTGGCCAAATTAATTCTCTTTCAAAAATAGACATAATCGATTTGATCAATATTTGATTTACATCTATCTCATTTCCAGTGTAAATCATGGGGAATGCAGGATTTTTGATATTTTTTCCGCTTATGATCCAAAATCAACCAAGAACCTATAATCCCAGCTATAGGAAAAAAATGCACTAGAAGGGTTAGAAACAGTTACGCGAAATTCAAAAGCCACACAGCCAGTATGATGAAACATCGTTCTTGTGTGAATCAGCTCAGAATGTTTGTATACAAATTTCATTACAAATGCTTGCGATGCCCATTTGGCTTAAGCAATTGAAATTGAATGTTCTTTGGATGTTTTTCGTTGCTTTTCTTCAATTCAATTTTTTTTGCGAATAATAATGAAAATAAATATTCTTTTCAAGTCGAATTCGTTGATGTTTTTTTGGTAAATCATATTGGAAATCTTTATTTAGCATCTATCAACATTCAAAAGCTGTTTCAAGTGGAATATTATTCTGTTGCAATTTTTATTTGAATGATTTATATGTTTTTCGTACGAAATAGATAATAAAATGAAAAATAGAGAGGAGTATGAATATAATCAATGACATATGGGTCCATTGTGGACATATTGATGGCAATATTTCATGTTGAGAGATAGACGGAACGCAAATCAAGTGGGCTGGCATCAACATTGCATAGCGGGCACTTCTTGCGTTCTTCAATTGTTCGCTTGATGCATGGTTCACAGAAAATATGACCACATTTTGTAGTGGTAGGTTCACGTCCAATGACACTTCGCACAAGGCAAATCGCACATTCGAGCACACCGATTTTTGGCTTTGGTTGATCACAATCGAAATCCCACAATGGTTTGGCAGGTTCAACTTACAAATCGATTTCGAAAACCGCTTTGTCTTGCCGAACATATCTGTTAGATGCATGGGCGTGACATGCAGCCACATGGGTACAGTGCCCGTGTACTTCGTAGTGGAAAAAAAGTGAAGCTTGCTTGTCACCAATATTGATGTTCACGAACATCAAATTGTTTATGCGTTATTTCGCCCACTTTATGCACTGGAAATAAAAAGTTCTTCAATTTCTAGCAAATTTCACATATGAATTCATAAACACATCGAGAAAACACAACTATTTTTTCACATAAAAAGCATAAGCAAGATGATTTTTTCGTTGATGGTTGTTCGATCCTGGATCGTTTGTGATTCATCAACGATTTGCAACACATCCATTTTTGATTTCGATATTCCAACTGAATACGATGTTTTGTATTCATTAAACAATTCCATTTTGATCAGAAAATAATTTTTTATTGAAATGGCTGTGACGAAAAACCACGCGAACGATTGCAAACGATAGCACAAACATTAATGTCTAGGAACATCAAATTCGAATTGACATTATTGTCAAAGCGAATTCATCGGGAAACACTGACTTGAAGTTCGACACAAATGTCAAATTAATTCGCCGATGTGAAGCAACAAAACAAAATAAATAAAAATACAAGCAAACAAACATTTTGTGTTGATCTAATCTGCAAGTTTTATATTTTTCCAGAATAAAAACGGTAATTTTTTTGTATTTTATTGTTTCATTCCAAATAAAATCTCTATTGTGTTTTTTAAGTATACATTTATAAAAGATATCTTCAAAAATCAACTTTGAATGTAATATAATTTGTTATTGGCGACAAACAATTAATCGAACGCATTTAATCGAACATAAAATAATTTTCAGCCTGCCGGTTTGCTGATGTTCCCCGAATCGACCGACGAAGTGCCCAGTGCCCACCACCGATGTCGAAGAAGACGAACTAATTTCCGTGATAATTTAAATTTTGCCATTCAACATTCCAATAAGGGCAAACGCAGTGTAATCGAAAAACATTTGGAAGGCATCAAGCATTGGGGCCTAAATCGACATGACAAAATCAATCAACCGTCCCATTGTATTGCGAAATCGACGCCAAAGGAAGAAATTGAATGATAAAATCATTAATCTTCCGTATTTGATGTTCCTAGACATTAATGTTTGTGCTATCGTTTGCAATCGTTCGCGTGGTTTTTCGTCATAGCCATTTTAATAAAAAATTATTTTGTGATCAAAATGGAATTGTTTAATGAATACAAAACATCGTATTCAGTTGGAATATCGAAATCAAAAATGGATGTGTTGCAAATCATTAATGAATCACAAACGATCCAGGATCGAACAACCATCAACGAAAAAATCATCTTGCTTTTGCTTTTTATGTGAAAAAAAGTTGTGTTTTCTCGATGTGTTTATGAATTCATATGTGAAATTTGCTAGAAATTGAAGAACTTTTCATTTCCAGTTCATAAAATGGGCGAAATAACGCATAAACAATTTGATGTTCGTGAACATCAATATTGGTGACAAGCAAGCTTCACTTTTTTTCCACTACGAAGTACACGGGCGCTGCTTGTACGAAATTCCGTTTGTATGAAGCATGTCACGCCGATGGTTAGATGTCTTCATCAATTGGTTCCAGGCTACGAATTTATTATAGCCCCAAGAATCACCGTTGTAGAACAACATATTTATTTTCTTTTCGATTGGCTCAATACCTTCGGCAAATGAGAGCAGCTTGAATGAACACCTTGCTCTCCACACCCAGTTTTCACTTTGTTGTTTCTTTTTATTATGTAAAAAGATTTCAACATGTTCATCATGTTTCCACACCTGCATATGCCAAACGTTGCCACGTAGTATCACTTCGGGTGAATTTTCTGCATTCAATTTACTTATATTTTCGACAGTAAATCGGAACTTTGTGCGTGTTTGTTCGGTTTGGGATGGTGTAAAAAACTTAACAGGGTTTACCGATAAGTGGATATCAAAATGAACTTCCCCGTGTTGCTCGTATCGTTTCAAATCTGCGCAGTTGATGAATGGAACCAATCCGTTGGACCGTGAGCCATTTGTAAATTGAGTTTTCAGTATTTTTTTCTCGTACGGTAGTTGACCAGGTGTATTGGATAACAATTTGATAGTGGCTTGTGCTTGACAAGACCAATCCAATGTATTTGACTCGAAGACCGGTGAACACTGTAGAAACACGCCAATCACATCCTCTCTGCCGGCTACTCTCTTAGCAACTTTGATCTTCCATGGTATTCCGGATAACTTAAATTCGGGTGTCGAATATTCACCGCTGAATGTATCCGTTTTTATGCTAAATTCAAAATAGGTGTCCATCAAATCCAAATTGTTTTTGCTCGCCATTCCGTTGTACGGAATGTACTTTTTTGGATTCGCAAGTAGACACGATCAGGGCTGGAATTCTAAGACATTCCACCACAATCGTGCGGAATTATTTTTTTTGTACGTAAGACTATATTGGAGTGAAAGAGAGAGATTCCACTAATTTTCTGGATATCACCGGAATTATTAAGATTTTCAAGGAAAAGTGATAGTTATCGGAATAATTCCGGTGATATCCAGAAAATTAGTGGAATCTCTCTCTTTCACTCCAATATGGTCTTATGTACGAAAAAAATAATTCCGAACGATTTCGGTGGAATTCTTAGAATTCCAGCCCAGTATTCTTAACATTTTTTTATGTTCATTTCGAAAATTGTCATATTGATTGTATTTGATGAATTTTTTGATCACGAGATTTATTGGATTTTATTTTCAAAAATTTGATTTGTGTAATGAGGATCCACAAGAAATATAATGTTGACCACATATGAAATTATGGACATGGACAATGAACAGGTCATGAATGGTAATCCAAAAAAGTGCTCCAACGGTATCATGGTGTGATGCAATCGTTATTTAATAACAAACAAAAAATGGTCTTCGAACATCCATTCTGAACTTTCATTCGAAGGATTTGAACTAATTGAACATTTTTCAGAAATAAAGAATTATAACATCGTAACTATTCTCCACCATTTCAAGATTTAACACAAAATGTATGCCTTAACCTTGATGTCTTCTTTTAGAAACTTACCGTCATGAAACTTACGTGTTTTCGCATTTGTTCAATATTATTAGGTGAATTTGCCTATAAAATCTGTAATAAAGTCATAATATCGTCAAACATTTCAAACATCATAATCCTATAAGCTTTGTTTGAAGTTTGTATTTATATTTTATTGATAAAAAATTGTTTGCTTCATTAGAATTGAAGATTTATAACCTCAATGGCTTGTCAAACTATAAGCTAGATAAATTGTGTACACTGTACATAAACTAAAGAAAGTGACAATATTATATGCTGCGATCGATTCAAATTTGCTATAGCGTCGTAAATTATTTAAGAAATAAAATATTCCATGCATCGTCACGTCACGTCAGTCAGTCAAACACGTGCAAA